CCAACCTCCCACCGTCACCGTCAGCGCCAGTATCACCAGCCCCCGCCACGCCCGAGCGTGGTCAATTCCCCCCCGTCCCCGGATCCGGGCGGCAGCGTGGTCGGCCGCGTGGGGCTGGGGAGGGGCGAGAAAGCGGGTGCGCTGTGGGGAGAAGCGCGCGCCGCGGGGTGGGTAGGGGAAGGAGGCTCCTGTGGAGATTGTGGGGGCTGTGGTGGAGGAGGGGTTGCTAATGTTGGGGGGTTGGTGGTACTGCTGCTGCTGTTGGTGCGTGGGCCATGTGCCGGTGGAGGGGGAGCGAGCTGTGTGGGTGTGGATGGAGCTGTGGCTGGGGCTGGGGTAGGACTCGCGGTAGTGGTGGTGGTGGGTGCTGGCTGGGCTTTGGGCCTGGGTTTGGTGAGGGGCCGGAGCGGCCTGGCTCGAAGATGCTGCGCATGCGTTTGAAGATGCCGCCGCTGCCTGTGTTGGTGGCACCGCCGCTTTCGCTAGTGCTGCTGTGGCGGTTGCGCGGTATGCAGCTGCGGGTCGAAGCTGAGGTCGGGCGATTCGCGATCTTGCCATGGTGCTGAGAGGCTCACGGGGGTGTTGTTCTCCGTATCGTTGAGACCCTGGTAGGTGATTGTGTTGTTCGTGTAACGCCGGTGACCGGGTGGGCGGATTTCTGCTCATTAAAGGCTCGGGTTTGTGGCTGGAAACCCTGTGGAGCGGCGACCCCGGAGGCGAAGAGAATGGGGTACGGGTACGGACGGACTGAGGTAGTCCAGCCATCATCCACATGATATGTAGTGTCCGTGGCATCGCGAACGCGAGTGGTTGATTCCTCGGGGGTCGCTTCCGAAGACGAAGCTAGATACTCGTGTCGAGTAGGGGTCTGAGGCCGCTGAATGTTACAGTGGTTGGTGGAAAGGCCACTGCCGGTCGAGACGGGCGATTCCCGCTGCACGTCTTCTTGGGCGGGATCACTGTTGCCTTGGCCCTGGTCCCAACCACGGGCCTGTGGTGGCGGTGTCTCGGGTTGTGGCACTGATCCCTCCTCTTCAAAATAGCTGTCGACCTCCTCTATCCAGCTCTTTCGGGCGGGGTCTTCGGGAGAAGTTGGACTCTTCACAGTGACTTCGGGTATTCTTTGCGCCTCGGCGTTCTGACCAACCTGCATCTCCTCGGTTTGCTCCGAATGTTCTGGTAGCACAGGCGTTCCTTGCTGACTAGTAGTGACAGTCTCGGCCTCCTCATCTGCGGGCGGGGCATCGCTCTGGTCTGTGTCATCGAACAGGTTATCCTCGCCATGGACGGTAGTGCTATGTTGATGTTCTAGCTCGTACTGTTGAGGGTCTTCCTCCTCGTAATATGCCCCAACGTAATCATCGTCGGTTGCAACATCATGCGGGGGGTTCTCTCGTTGATAATACGCCCTCAACGAGTTCTGGGACGGTAGTGGTGTCACAAATCGCTGCGATTCTGTGTCGGTATCGTCGTCTGAATGCCCACGACGGCCCGGGGATTGGTGTGACCCATCGCGCTCTGGCTCGCACTCCCGTTCAGATGTCCGAGGTCTGATATCGTATGGCTCTGGTGACGGGCGCCTGTACCCTTTATACATGTAATCAACGGATGATTCACGCCTAGTGGCCGTGCTATCTTTAAGTACGGAGGCCTTGTCATCGTCCTTTTCGTGCTCGCGGTCATCAGGCCCTGGTGGAGGATCACGGGTGAGAAGAGGTGATGTATCATCTTGTGAAGGACCAGAGTCCTTAAGCTCAGATTCGACGTGGCCGCCTTGGATGCCGAGAGCGTCATGCACGCCGCTATTTGGCGCTCCCACTTCGTCGTGTTCCTGGGCCGGTTCGTTGTCGTAGCCAGCGGCATCCACGGCCAGTTCTTGCTCGGGAATGTTAGGTTCGCCTGCTCTTGGCTCTGGGATACGGTCCTTCTCTTGCTCAGAAGTTCCTTCTTTCTCCTTGTCTATCTTCTGTTGGGCCACCGTACTGCTAGGTTCTCGTGTTATTTCGGTAGTTTGCAATGGGTGGAGGCGAGGGAGGTTTTCTTCAAAGCCCGCATCTGTCGTGTCCCCTTGCCCCTGGCTTTCGGCTGCGTGGACCACTGAAGGCCCCGCAGCTAAGACTTGTGGTATGTCTGGGTGAGAACGCTCCGATTCGCTGATCTCGTTTTCTTCGATGTAACTTTCTCCCCGATGGCTGAAGCTGGTGTCCGGCGCGTCGCCATTGTCAGACACGTATCCGCTTGGGTCAGCGTGAGCTGAGAACGGTCGGGGCCCTGACGCTTCCGAAAGCTGAGAGTATGCATCACCCTCTGAGTCTTTTTGCCTTGGCGAAGACGCAGAAGAGGCTTCCTCGACGTCGGAAAGGTCGTGGTGATAGAAAGGGGTTGGTTCCGCTTCGGTTGCCATCATGAACAGCGCTGGGCGGTGTCCTGGCAGTTGGTGCTTAGGCGACGGAATGGCTTCGGCGACAACAGAAGTGTCCAACGCGGTAGGGTGAGCCACAGGGGGGTAATCGTGATTATCTCGGTACTCTTCTTCGTTAGGCGATGTAGCATTCTCCTTGAACGGCTCGGGGCTTTCCCTGTCTGTTGAAGGCACAGCTCCTGCGCTGCTACGCTCGCCAGCAACCTGCCCTTGGTGTACTTCACCCTCTTCCACCTCAGGAATGCCAGCATCCTTTATGGTGTCGGAGATGGCCTCGGCTTTGTGTGGTTCGGTAGCCTCACTCCTCAAACTGTGTTGGCTGTTGGGGCTTTCGAGGTGGCGATAATCCGTCTCGGGCGCCGCCGTACGTTCCTGGAGGTCCTCTCGGTAATCATGAACAACATCCGTAACCGCACCCTCTTGTGTAAGGGGCCACCCAGTTGCTTCGGAGACCTCAGCCTGGCTCCCTGCATTTTGTTGTACTGGTGAGTCATCGGCGCGTTCCATTGCATCTCGATCACTAATGTCCATTTTCTCTTGCAGCGATGGACTGGAGTCGGACTTATTCACGTCGTCTGCCGAGGGAGATGCAGCCGGTGCCTCTTGCGGCCCTTCGTCGACTATGTCCGCTTTCTGCTGCTCCGGCCCAGGATGGGCAGGGGCATCTGCCCTCTTCAAGGTCTCGGGCCCTGTCTTGTCGGTGAAGGAATGAGGGGAAGTATTGGTCCTTATGAATCTCGTGGACCTCCTCCTCGCCGGCGTAACAGGGAGTGTGGGAAGTGTCACTTCCAGTTGTTTCTCAATTAGACGGTTGAGTTCCTATTAATCAGGTGCGGTCAGAATATGGCTAGATGTGTCGGGTAGCACATATACATACCCGTCGCTTCTCCTGCAATGTTTGGAGCTTCTCCCGTCCCTTTGTGGCGGCCTCGTGGGCCTCTTCTTCGACCCGGCTCATCAGCTCGTCCGTCTCTTGCTCGACATCCTCCGTCTCTTCTTTGAGCTTCCTGCTCCGGACTTCGTCTTCCTCGTGGGCTTTCGCAGCCACATCCTTGTCCTCTTCACGTCTCCGCAGCTCTCGCTCCTCATCCTCTTTCCTTCGCCGTTCGATGATTTCCTCCCGTTCGGCTTTCCGCTTCCGTTCCAACTCATCGGCCTCGGCCGAGAATGCGGCGGTCAGAGCCTTGATAGCCTCATCTCGCTTCTTTTCGAGGTCGTCGAACTTCGCATCGTGGACCTTTGGGTCGAGAGATTGAAGGGTGCTGTGTATAGCTGCCAACGTGTCTTGCATCTGAGAGACAAGGTCCGAGACATCCATAACGGTGCCCATATTTCCTGGCGGCCGAATCGGATCGCGGCTACTCAGCAGAGGCAACGTTGGAGGACTGCGACGGTTTGTGAAACCTGGGTAAGTAGGTAGTTATGGGGGAAAGAGAGCTACAAGGGGATGCTCGGTGCTGGTGGCCCGTCGAAACGAAACGGCCATGGACATCGGCAATAGCGGAAAGCCAACAAGCTTCCCCTGGCGTTGGTGGTCCGACGTAACCTGGGGATGGCTTTTGCCCCCGGGGGCGACCTCTAAGCCGGGGATGGCCTGTCGTGAGAGGAGTATAGTGTGGAGGGCTGGGGTTGGTTGCCACCGCCGGTTCCAGTCTGGATATCGGAGTAGTTAGCTTAGCGGTCCTATTAACGGGCCGGTTTTCGCTAAGCCATGACTGATTAAGGCGCTTGTATCCGCATCAGGTGAAGGCCCACGGTGGTAGTTGAGGGTATCTTTTGGGTCACAGCTTGGGAACAGTGGTAGTGCATCGCTGAGTGGCGAAACCTGACTCGGACCCCAGGGTTTAACGGGCCTTTGACGTGTTTCAGACAAGCTTGGAATGCAGGACCAACAGCACAATGCATAGTTGGAGAGTAGAGCAGCGGAGGAAAGTTTAAAAGAAAACGAAAAGAACAAGTCAAAAAAAGTCAAAAAGCTCACCGCCTAACCGCCCGTCTTGAATTAATTGACGGAAGGGTAGAAAGCTACGAAAACTCCTCGAGGGAGTTTTGCTTTGGCGGGATTCGAACCCGCACCCTTATGGGGTGTACCACTACACTACAGTCTACGGCAGATTATGAGTCTGCGCTCCCCCCGCTTCGCCAACCACAAATGCGTCTCTTTGCTGGGGGAAGTTGCTGTGGTGAGCGAGGTACATGTATATCAAGGGCCAATAGGCGAGTGTAAAGGGAGCGGGAGAGGATAGTTGGGATGGAGGAGAATGAGGGAGGTTGTTGATAGGAGGTTCTAACGGGAAGCTAGAATATGGAATTGCAAGGAGGGTTAAATAGAAAAGCGGGACATACTTATTAGAGGAATATCTTGCCAATAGTGTAGCTGATACTATAACTAAGCTTTTATATGACTAGAAGGGGGAAAGGGGGGAGAGGGGGTCGGGGGTACTTGGTACGAGTAGCGAAACGACAAAACCAGGCTCTATAATATCCAATTCTTTTGTATTAGCGGTGGACCGATGCCACTCCGCGTGTTTATGTACGATTGCCAGTACTATGTAGACCGCAAGGGTGTCGTTGGCGCAGACCTCTTGCGTTGTGAAGAAGCCGAGCCTCCATCAAAGGCACTCATGGAGAAAGATGATGCAGAAGGGTGCTCACACAGAGCATCGCACCTGGTATAGCGATGATAAACAAGAAAAGAAATCCAAGCCACGGCACATATCCAAGCCTAAAAACGCATCTAAATCCTCGACATCCCGCCCTTGCTGGCCACGGCCATCCTCCTCCGGTGCGCCTCCCTGAAGTTGTACCGAGCATACGTCCCCATTCCGTAGGCAGTAAGCCCCAGAACTAGCCAGACACTGGTGATGATGAGACCGATGGGGAAGATCATGAGTTGGATGCCCGGAAGAACAAAAGCGACGGTGCCGTTTTTGAGGGCAGCCAGTTCGGCCTCAACTGCAAGCTCGGCCATGCGGTAATTGCTCATGACTTCATCCTTGGAGAACTCGCCCGCTACGAATGCAGCCTCGTTGGATGACACGACGGTGTTGACCGACTGGCCGTTGCCGTTGGTAGCTTTAAGCGTGACGATGGGCATGACGAGTGCTTGAAGTTTGTCTCTGGAATGGGATGTTAGAAGGGCGGGTTTTACAGGTGCTGGAAAAGAATGGGTGGCTTACACGTTGACTCCACCTGACATCTGGTCCTGATCGACCTGCCCGATGAACAGGTACGATTGCAGCAGCGGCAGTTCCCCGGTATTATTGGCCTGCCTGGCTTTGACGCGCTTCACCGGTTGCTGGTTGACTTCCGAGACCGAGGCGCCGTTGTAACTGAGCTCGACCTCAATGCTCTCCTGCGGTATCCCTTGGAAATCGCCCGTGGGCTCGCTGAGCTGGAATAACCTCAAATCGGCCTCAAAGGTTCCCGTCGAGTTGTTGAGCAGCGGTAGATTGTAGCAAACACAGGTACCCGAGGGATTGCTTGCGACGTTCAGGTTCTGCAATGCGGCCCGGCATGCTGTGTTCACTGCGGTGTTCCACGCTTCCATGTCGAGGCTTCCGTCACTCTTCAGTGGCGTGTCGTTGCTGAGTCCATCGGATTGTCTCGTCTCCAAGAACCCTCTGGCTCTGAGGTTTGCCCTTGCCATGTCTTCTAACCTCCTCTCTACCCCCTCGCTGTTGCGTGAAAACCCTTCCGCAACGAGGCTCCCAATCCCAGCTTGCGCCCCTGTCGCCAGGAAGGAAGCAGCAAGTGTCCTTTGCCAAAGCATCTTGACTGGTGTGTGTGTTGTGTGTGCGTGTATGTGAATTCCACCTCTTGTTTCTCCAGCACTGTTGTCCCCCAAATTAGATATTTCCCTGCCGCCGTTCGGTCGAATCCGGGTCGAAAACGGTATTAAATTCGATAATAGGTCGCTACCATGCAATCCTACTACCAATACACGCACCCGGCAAGCAGGTGGGCAGTTAGATCGAAGAGAGCGTGGTTGAAGAGAAGCGGGACCCGCCCGACGAAGGGAAGGTGGTTGTCGTCTTGTTTCCTCCGAGTCGACGGCAAGCGCAAAAGTAGAGAAAGGAAGGCCGTGAAGGTGGCGAGGGGGCGAAACTCGGGGATTAAACTGGTGGTGGGAAAGGAAACGGCAGACTGGAAAAGAACAGAATATGCAAGGTAGATCAGGGCGATCAAGGCGACGAAAAATGGGCTGACTCGAGGGATGTGAGGCCAGGGATCAGAGAAGGAAAACGAAAAGAGAGCATGACGATGTCTCAGATGGGAGGGAGTGGAGGTGTCTTAGATGGGCAGAGGGACTTTGGTCGAGGCCTCGAAAGAGATGCACGGCATGTACTCTTGGCGGAGGACAGAGGATGGGAGCTTTCCGGATGAAGCCTTCAACCAATGACAGCTGAGAAAGGAGCCAAGATTGGTCGTTTTGCTTCGGATCGATTGGCTGGCGCTGGCCCACACCGGGAGGCCACAGGCTGGGGAGAAACGTTCTTGAGAAGGGGTCGCGACACACGAGAAGCACCAGGGATTTTGATGCGTCTGGGAGCCAAAACCCCAAAACCCCGTATTTGTGTGTGTGTGTTTCGTACGAGGTTCCCCTTGTTTTCACCGGGGCTTGAGGAGGCCATTGTGTGATCGCCACTTCAAGGATGAACGTGCAGTGTCGGATCGCCCTGATGGAACAGCCCGAGCCCGATTGGCCGGGGTCTGTGGCAGAAGTGGTCGGACCCTGTCCCCGCGATTGGCTGTTAGTGGCCAGGGGTGGTCTGGGGATCGCAAGCGAGCAGACCACGCCGCAGCGCAGCCGTCCATGGCATGAGACGACGTGGACGACGATTTGAAGACGAGCTAATGCCAATGAAATGGATGGATAGTTCGCCGTGCAAGGAAATCATTTTGTGCAAATTTGGTCGTGATTTGGGCGGGGTCCCCAATCTCGAGCCGACAAAACACGCTCGCAGGAAATGGAAAGCAGAACGGAAGCTTTTTCGCTCTTGGGCAGGTTTGAAACCATCACTTGGCTCCTGTCCCCACCGAGCGTGGGACCCCGCCAAGTCGCCCAGAAGCCGAGCTTTGAGTTCAGTTGAGGCTCACCCGCCACAACGTTGACCAGAACAGGTTTAGCGCTACCTTAACAAGCCACATCCGTCCCCCCAATTCGCCTGCCGAAAGCCGGCTTCATTTTCGTGCCGGGCGCCAAAACCTTAAACTCCAGCCAATCGATGAGGATTGCACGACTCGAAGCTCTTCTTCCGCTTCCCAGATTCCGCAACCGAAGGATGGGCCGGGCGCTTAAGCAGCAAAACCCCCCGCCCTACTCCATGCCGTGCAGCTCGACAGCTAAATAAAGTATGTACACGACATGCAGCCCGGCGCATCCGCAGATCGTGCATCGCACACGTGCGGCCGTCAGAGCTCCCCCGATTCCAAGATGCGCGGCTTGTTCGGCTTTCTCTTTTCTGCGCAGGGTCGGGTCTGCCGCGTTTTCTGGGACCTGGGTCTGCGGCCCGCTCGACGTCTGCGGCACAGTCTCACACGGCGGTTGCGGGCTTGGCCACCCTCACTTTGACCGCCTCCCCAGATTCTTCTGGCCGCTGCTGGCCAGGAACACACAGTCTTGGGATGTTTCTTGGCTTCTAGTATGCTTTAAATCCTCGTGGCGTAAAATTGGTCGATTGCAAAAAAAAAAAAAAAAAAAAAAAAAACGAAACGAATGGGTACCTTACTGAGCGTGGGCCACCTCATTCAATATCCCCTTCCATCATAAGTCATGTCTCCTCTAATGTCCAAGTCCTCCTGAACGTCCATATTTCTCAAGGACTTCCTCCCGCTCTAACCCTGCGGGCTTAGACGCCGCCAAATGCATGTGGTTTACCCCGGAATCGCTCTCCATGAAGGGGTTTGGATCCGAGGCTTGGTCAAGATTGCCCAGAGTGTGGTTCACACCCCGATGGGACGCTTCGTCGGCCTGGCATTGAATCAGCAAGTTCCCATCGATAGGAACAATGACAAGAGACTCACCCGAATGTACAGGATCAGGTCCCTCATCGTCCGCCTACCCTCAGGCATCTTCCAGTACTGCACCGCAATATCCGGGATCTTGAACCCCGGATCCGTCCACTGCGGCAACCACCCCTTGTCCATCTCAGCAAGACACTTCGTGTACGTCGCCACCGCTTCATCCTCGAGGTACCCCACTAGCCTGTGGCAGAAGCCTAGCGAGATTAGGTACCCAATGAACATGGTGTTGTAGAAGATGCCCTGCGCCGCAAACACCATGAACCGCATCAGCCTCCCCGGCCGGTACATGGCCAAGAAGGTCATCAGGTGCATGCGCTCGTTGTACGACTCCTCCAGCAGCGTCTTGATCCAGCCCTGGTCGAGCTTGAAGCGGCGGATGGAGTGCAGGTGACGCAGGCCGCCGGCGACCGCGCCGGGGATGCCGGCTACCGTTTCTAGGAAGACGAAGCGGACGAGCTGGAGGGTGTTGTTAGTATGGGGAACAAAAATGGTGAGTTGGATCGGCTCACCCATTGTGACTCTGTCATGGGCCGGTAAGCGGTCGTGGTGGGGTGCTTAGTATCTGGCCCCAGCTCGGACGGCATCCCGGTGAGGAAATCCATTCCCCATCTAGAGTTTGGTTAGCACCGTGTTGTAGAACAAGGCTAGATAAGGAAGGGGAAAGAGGGGGGCACCCGCCGGCAGGCTCTAATCATCCGCCATGCGATCCGGTCACTCAGTGTTCGTGGCTTTCGGTGACTGGGAACTACCTCCAGCACCACTTTGTCCTCCCATCCTTTGTGTGGCCAAGATAGTGGCGGTGAGCCAGATGTTGCAGGCTCTTTGGACAGGACGGTCTTCGCGCTTGGGGTTATGGCTGTAGTCGAGAGTCTGATCTGGGCTTGTTGGGTTGCAGATATGGCTGGCCCCGGTGACAGACGCGATGGTGGATGGGAACTGGATATTAACGTATATTGCTGGTGCCGGTGCAGCTTGTATGGTACGCGGAGACGATGGGCCATGGTAATTGTGCTGATGTTGAGTCGATTGAGGGTTCGGAGGGGCACCTAGTTTGTCAACGAGCTTGGGTATTCTGGTGGAAACCCTCGCTTTATATCCCGTTCGAACTGAGATATGAATCATGCTCATTCCGAGTATTTGTACATACAACGGCCGAGGCCAAGGCAGAGAGCTCGTCATCCGGTTACGGAATCGTGGGACGAGTCATCCATATCCAACGGCCGAGCAGCACCCGGCACAACGAGTTAGCAATAAATGAGACGAAAACCACCCGGATTGACTCTAGAGCCACAGCTGATAACAGCCGATGCTAACAGCATGTGGTCGATGGTGGCTGATGAGGAAATGACTGCCCCTTGCCTGCATTGGACTTGGTCGATCTTGGTTAACTTGGCTCGGGCCGTTATTGAAAAACAGGTACTAATGGGGCCGAATACATGGAAAGGGGTTTGGGACATGTGTGGTTCTGTTACGATGACTAGCGTTACTTCGTCCAGTTTTGACATGTGAATGTTGTGGGTTCCGAACTCGGCCCCGGTTCGGATATCAGGGGGCACACCCACACACACGCCTTGGTGGGGGGCTTCGTAGACCAAGTTCGCAGTCTTACCTCGGTAATTCAGTCGACATCTAGCTTTCCATTCTTCCCACGAAGCGCTTAGGTTATTAACTCAATTAGTTTAGCTAACGGGCTGTGGTTGTTTTAAAGTTGTGTAGTGTGGTAACCGCCGTGCTTCCTACATGACATCCCATATTGCTACACTTCTCGAACAGAACTTCATTGACCCCCTGAACAAGGATCAAACTTAGTGACATCATCGTATCGTGTAATGCTATATTGATAGAACTTGGCCGCTCGATCAACAGAGTCAGAAAGGAGGAAACCTAATTAAGCACCGGAGCTTGAGCTGAAAGGCGGTGCAAATCTCTAACAAATGATGGGGTTGGAGACTGGTACTGAAGGATGCGGAGCACAGATAAAGTAGGATAGTTATATGAAGGGACAGGTGTTGATTGCTTGGTATGTAGAAAAACAGGAAGCAATGCGGTTGTCACAAGAAACAACCCCTATTTTGTGTTTTGTATCATGGCGCCCGCCTGATAGTTTCCAATTGACAAGCTGGCAGAATTGAATAATCTGAATCTGTTATTCATGTATGGCGACGCATTATCAAGTTCTACTTTCCCTACCTTTGTGCAAGCTCGTTTCGACATGAGGTATTTGACCCTGCCCCTCAGGATCGTCATGTCATGTCGGAAAACGGCCCCTCGATCTGCGTTCTGAGGCTCTTGGCTTCGGTTTGGTTGACGGTATTAATACTAGCCTGGCCGGGAACATTTGCGTGCTATGAGATGTTCCATTTGGTTCTGTTGAATACTTGAAGACAGCTCGTGACTGCGCGTGCAGTGCGCACAGATGCGATGTGTCTCCAGGCAGCTTGACCCGACCACTTGACCGTGCGCAGGCTGGCTGATAGACATTGCCTCTGAGACCGGCCTTGCGTCGAATTCTTCCCAACTTTCCACACAGCAGCGAGCACAGCCACGTCCAACAGCCTTTGGTCTCACGATTCACCATGACTGGTACCATGATTGCTCAGCACGACACACCTTCCTCCTCCACAAGCTCCGTTGCCGCAGGTTCGGCAGATTCGACCATGCCGTATCTCACCAGCCCCGACACCGCGAGAACCAGCCCCGACACCGCGAGAACCAGCCCCGACACCGCCAGCGCCAGCCCCGATACCAGCAGCATCGGTCCCTACGTCCCAGGCAGCATCCCACTGCCAAAGATCTCGCTTCTGCCACCGGAGAACGGCAAAACGGGTCAGATTGCCGATAAAATCTTGATGCCGCGCCAGCTCCCACACCTCCCACCGGGACACACGCAAACGGTACCTATGTACAACATCAGCTACCCGGACCGGCCAGGGAAGCGGGAGCTTGTGCCGTTCAACGAGATCTTGCAGCACGTCTCGTTGCGCGAGCTCGAGAGATGGTACGTATTGCTTTCTTTCAAGTTAAAACACGCGGCGGCACATCATGCCCAGGGGCCATCAAGCCCCGGGGAGCAATTAGCCCTTGAGTGTGGTCGAGCCGCTTCTTGATCAGCCTGGGGCTCCCGGGCGCGTGACTAACGCCAAGATCTAGGGAGGACCAATGCCCGCATTTGCGCAAGGAACAGAAACAGCAGAAGGCCAAAGCCAGGCGACAAGAGCTGAGAAAGCAGAGGCAAAAGGAGAAAGAGGAGGGACCCAAGACACGGATGGTCACGCGTGCAACCAGAAAGCGGACGGGCGAAGTCCTGTTGGACAAGCTCAACCCGAGTGTAGGTAAATATTGAAGAAATGCGAGTAATAATAATATAATGGTAATGCCTTACGCTATACTCGGTGAACGTTTTTGAAGCCTGGTACTTCGGCCATCAGGCCTTCTCACACAGATGGCTGGATGGATGGAATTTATTTCGCCCGGAGGCACTGGGCCTATAGGGCCTTGGCACGCTAACTACATCCGGATCATATCGGTTTGCCTTTAACTCTGAACAGTGATGCATGGATGGATGGATGGAATTTATTTCGCCCGGAGGCACTGGGCCTATAGGGCCTTAGCACGCTAACTACATCCGGATCAAATCGGTTTGCCTTTAACTCGTACAAGCCCCCTACTTCTTCCCTCTTTCTCGCTGCACCATTTACCTCTTGCCTTGGTTGTTGTTAGCAGATCAACTTGGAGGCTACTTTCTCCAAGTGTTCAGCGTCCTATCTTCAGCAGCTAAAGCGGGACCTGCTGGTTAAGGCTCGTGGTTGAGGCTCGTGGTGTTGAGTGTCGGCTTCTTCTACTGTGACTGGTCTAGACTCTCCTCCTCATTCAGCTCCAGCCTTCCTGTTGCCATTGCGTATTTGATCGTCGCCCGGACTGCCTTCATATCTGGTGACCAATGCCTTGTATCTGATGGCGCTTTCCCTCCCAGATAGAACGAGAGGCTTCCTCGTCTTGCCACTGTGCATTGCAGCATGTCTTCCCTCAGAGCTGTCCATCTCACGCATCGGAAAAGAAAGTGTTCCACTGATTCCCTCGCTTGTCCACAGGCACAAAGGTCTGACTCGACCGCCCCAATCCTGCTCAAAAAACCGTTCAGTCTCGCCATTCCGGTTCGGAGCTGCGCCAATACGCAGGCCTCCCTTCGCTTCAGCTTGTCATAGAGATGGCGCGTGTGCTTGCCTGGTAGTGCTGCGTCCATGGCCTTTGAGAACTTGCCCACGCTTACAGGTAGAACTCTTGTCGCCCGTTGTCTTTCCATTGCCAGCCTCATCGCGGTAGACTTGGCCTGGGGTATTTGGGAGTCGGGTGTGCGTCCTTGCTTCGACGCTCTCTGGGCTGCTGCCTTGGCATCTGACCCCAGCGCGAAGTCAATCTCCGCTGGTATCCACAGAAAGTTGACCGAGTTCCCTCTTTGTCGGTGCAGCCTGGCCAAGTCGTAGATTTGCCGTATGATGCTTTGGCCGGATTGCTGCCGCGGCTGTCCAACTGCTGCCAGCGCTGACTGGTTCCTAGTGATCACGGTGATGTGCCTGTGGCAGATGCTAGCCGGTAACTTCTCCAGGGCCATTGCGATGGCTGCTAGCTCTGCTGTATATGGGTTCTGCTCTTCCCTTGTCCCAAGAACAACAGCATAGTTTGTCACAGTCTCGCTAGTTCTGTTGAAGAGAATATCCCGTGCAAGGCCGCCCATGCCAACAATGCCCTTCTTTACGGATGAGCTGGTTGCGATCACGATTCCCGAAATTTTGTTGACCATCTCGGCCGCCTTCCCTCGATCGGCTTCGAGCGTCGGTCGTAGGCGAGGTACCCAGGGCGGGACGGCGTATTCCTGGATTGTCTCCATCCGGTCAACTCGTACTCCTTCGGCCACACGGGCAATTTTCTGCAGCGGAGATACGAATCGTACGGTGTTCCGGACTTTCTTCATGGCAAGGGGATGCGTTCCGGGCAGCGTGTGGATGTTGATCCACAGACTGGCTGCCGCCTGGGCGTGTCGTTCTCGTACGGGGTAGATGCTCGCTTCAGCTTCCACCACGGCTGTTGCCGCGGTTCGAAAGGCTCCCGTGATGGCCAGGGCCCCGATTTTCTGCGCCCTGTTCAGCCAGCTCAGTGCCTTTTCCCCGCACGCATGCATCCAGACATTGGCAGCGTAGTCCATGACCGGGGCTACTGTCGCAACAAATAGCTGTCTCGCTGTCCGCGGGGAAAGTATCTTCAGCCTCTTCAGGGCCAGAGCGGCTGCGAGGCCCTTAGCTGCCGTCCTAGCAATGTGCTGCTTGTAGCGGAGTTCGCGATCCATCACGACACCTAGGATTTTCGCACTTTCCTTCGGTTTGACCACTTCGCCTTTGACCGAGAACGGTTGTTCTGAAAATCGCTCCATGTTCCTCGTGAAGTGTATGATGGCTGTCTTTTCGCCTTCAAACTGCGCACCGCTCCGTTTCTCCCAGTCAAGGGCTTTGTCGATGATAGCTTGGAATCCAAGCCTTGGATTCCAGTGCGGTTCGACTCCGCTGACGGGCCCGTTACCCAGGCAGTGTAGTCGTCCACGAAGGCAATTGCGCCTCCGTTCGCGTCGATCTTGTGCTGCACTAGGTCGGCGTTGAAGAAGAGGAACAACACTGGAGACAGCGGCGATCCTTGCGGAAGACCCGCTTGGGGCAGCTCTTGCCGTCCAGATGTGAACCCGTTTACGGCAATGGTCGCTGTGCGCTTGGAGCAGAAGGCGTCGATCCACTTGACCAGGGGTTCAGGTATCCCTCTTGCCTTGAGCCTCTGGAGAAGCCTGTCTTTGAAGACCCCATTGTATGCGCCCTTGACATCGAAGCTGATCAAACTGAGCACCTTCCTAGCTCTCCATGCTTTGTAGATGTGTTCCTGAAGCAGAAGGAGAGCCTGTTCGGTCGAGCGTCTCTTCCTGGCTCCGAAGTGGTTGGCGGGTAGAAGGCCGCAGGTCTCCACAGCATGGGATAAACGCTCCGCAATGACTGCCTCCAGTATCTTACCCAGCGTGGAGAGCAGCGAGATGGGTCTCCAGGACTTGGCTAGAGTGTATTCGCTCTTCCCTGGCTTCTTCAATGGGATGATCTTGGCATTCCTCCACTGGCTGGGGATGTCGCCGTCTCGAAGCGACGTTCCGGAATAAATGGGAGCACCCTGTCTTTGACCACTGGCCAGAGCTGTCTCCATACCATTTGCCGGTAGACCGTCTTCCCCGGGCGCCTTCCATGGCTTAGCGGACAGGACCTTTTGTTCTATCTCCTCCATTGTTAGGTCTGGCATGTGTACCGGCGCCCGTTGAGGTCGTTGGCCCTCGTCTTCGATTCTCGCTGGCAAAGGTGGGAAGAAGGCGGTGAGTAACTCCTGCGCTTGTTCTGCTTTACCCTCCGTGATGGAGCCATCGGGTCGGACGAGCGGGGGTATCTTATCGCCCATCGTGCCGCTGCCGGTTTGCAGGTACTTCGTTGCTTGCCAGATGTTAGCGTCATCGGCCAGGAAGTCGTTCCAATGCGAACTCTTCTGTCTGCGGATGGCGTCGTGGTACTCTTTGGCTGCCATCCTGGCTCGTTGTTCGAGCTCTGGTGCTGTTTGCCCAATCCTACGTCGAGATCTCGCCTGGTTTCTCCAAAACGTGTATGTCTGGCGAAGCCGTGTCAGGTCCGTTGTCCACCACCGCTTGGCGTATGGTGAGGGTTTGGCTTTAGGTGTCAGGCCGTAGACCGCCTCGGTTACCGCTGCCATGAGCCTGTCCGTCTGCTGCTGGACATTGCCGTCCCAGGGGATGCGTTCGAGGTTTGCTGCCACCCTAGTCCTAATTTCCGCCCCAGGGCGCGTTCTTGAAGAAGGAACCTCGTCTCACTGGGACGGTCCTCCACCGAGGTGTCAAAAGCTGTCTCGATGCTCTGTGGTCTGAGCCATGGTCGCAGGGGTGAATCGCGCATCTGAGTAGTTGGTCTGCTAGTTCTGCAGAGGCCAGTACCAGGTCGATTGTGCTCTCAATGTCGCCTGACTGCCACGTCTTCGTGCCTCTTGGGAGGAGGCTGCAGAGGGAGTGTTCGTCCATGAGGTTGATGATGCGGTCTCCCTCGCCTTGTCTCCGTGGTGAGACATCGTCCCCTCCCCAAAGCTGGTCGTGGCGGTTGAAATCGCCCGCCAGGATGATATCCGTTCTCGTCCCTGTTCCGTTTCGAAACCTCCTAATCAGTCGGTCAATTTCCCTCATTGCATCTTCCAGTGCTTCGTCACTACCACCCTCCACATACACTGACACCATCAGCACTGCCCGATCTGGGAGCCGAATGCGTGCTGCGGTGAGGTCTGCCGACGGCACTGGAATCTGCTCGACCTCTATATCGCTTCGTACCCATAGCATGCTCCGAATTGGCCACGTGGTTTCTCGTCTTGTCGTTGGTATAAGCTTCGTCCAGTTGTGATGACTCATTGGGACCGTCGTCACCGAGCCTTCGATCAGCCTGGCATATGGTTCGGAGATGGCCAGCACTGCGAAGTCCTTGAGTCCCTCGTCGTTTAGCAGACTCTGCTGCACTTCTCTCCGTTTGCGGACGTTGAGCTGAAGGATCTTAAGCGTCTTGGGCCCCATTGTTCAACCAGCGTACCCGACAGTTCTTGCTAAATGACTCGTGTGGTCCTCTGCATAGCACGCACTTCAGGACCACGGACTGACACGTCTTGTGGTGGTGACCCTGTTCCGCACACCTTCCGCATCTTTGCGGCTTTTTGCAGGCGAAGGCCTTATGGCCGATCTCCTGGCATCTGTAGCACTGGATTGGGCCTTCCCGGAGCGCGAAAACGGTCGTGTAAGCGGATTCTCCGGCGAGATGGAAGTAACGCCCGTCTAGAAGTCGCCTTGCTTCGCTGCCCTTCGTCACGTAGACAACCATCGAGCCGTAGGCCTTGCTTGTATCCTTCCTGCTGAGCCAGGCAATCTTCGCAATGTTGACGTCGTTCTCTGTCCCTAGCGCCTCTGCGGCTCCCGGCAGGATGTTTCCGTCCGCATCGAGGACCGCTGTTCGGTTGGCATTGTCTACCCTTCACCGGGTACAACTGGTCTCTCAATACCCGCACTCCAGGAACACTGATCTTCACTGCCGCTTCCTTGACGAGCTGGACCTCGCCTTCGTCCCTGCAAATTACTCTGACTCGGTCCGGGTTTCGGGCCTCCTTCACAACCGCAGCGCAACGCCAGTCTCCCATGCTTTCCTGTGCCCTGGCCTCTGTCTCGATTGCCTTTCTAATGTCCGCCACCTGGACGTTTCCCTTCTCTTTCTCCTCCACCCTAGATGTATCGATCGTACAGAACAACGTGTCGGTAAAGGATGAAGGCGTCGTGTTTCGCGAGGAGAGGGTGCGCACACCGCTTGGCTGGCTTGATGGTGGGGTGCGAGCGACTTCGGCGTATGACCCTCTTGCGCTTGGTTGGGACGAAGCCATGGCTACCGGGTGGCGTTGAAGGGTATCAATCTGATCCCGCGCTTGTCTCAGTTCTTCAGAAAGCTGGGTCCTGGTGTCTGCAAGTTGGCGATGTAGTTCTTGAATCGCGTCGTGCTGCTTGCAAATCACCTCGCGTAGTTCGCCAATCGTGTTTCGCTGCTCGGTAATCATTCGGTACATTTCGTCTCGTTGTTCGTTGATCGCCTCCAGGAGCATCTGTATACCTGACTTCCCCGTCTCGATCCGGCTGTTGGCTCCATATAAAATCCCAGACGCGCGTGCTCCTCGCGTCGTAACCGCCCGCGTGGTCTCGCTCGCCGCTCTCCTCGACGTGGTAGCCACGTCCTCGAGCGATTGCATGGCTTCGCGAGCTTTCGCGCTCGGTTTCAACGCGCGGCTCGGTCGTCTCGGCGAAGGTGGTTGGTCGGCCACCTCGACCACGATTTGGGGCTGCGCCTCCGCCGCCATCTTGCAGTCCCTCGGCAGTGCCGCCCGACTTTCACAAAAGCTTCCTGGTCTCGATCGCCTCTCGCCGATGAACCTCTCCCTTATTTTTCGAATGCTCGTTCGTCTTTTCGTAAGATCGTCGCCTCTGACCATCGAACAGTGATGCAGTCCTCTGTGTGCACGTGCTGTTTGGTGCGATCACGTGATGGTAGGGAAAAAGGTGCCCAGGGTGGCAATGTTTTGCCTGTGCAAGAGGCATAGGGTGTGGCGAGAAAGGGGAGAGAGTAATGGGCTTGTACGAGTTAGAGGCTAAGTGACTTCGATCCGGGATGTAGTTAGCGTGCTTAGGCCCTATAGGCTTAGTGTCTCCGGGTGAAATAAATTCCATCCATCCATCCATCCTGTTTTGCCTGTAACAGGCCTCAACTCGCTTTGGAGCAAGCAAAACAGACGGCATGTAGACAGCCCACACACGACGTGAATCGATCGTTTGTGGCGATGCACTTACAACAGAGCCATACTGGGCCCTTTTTGTTGTACACGCACCGTTCCCGCTCACACCCCTCACGACCATCGCAAATCTTGTCGGCCACAGTATAACTCTGAGATTCGCAGCCGTTTGGCTTTTCGTCCGCTGGTTTTCCCATTTCGCATCGTAGGAGCGAAATCTCCTCCTTGGTGAGCAACACGTGGCCGCAAACCGGGTGCTTGTTCCGAACCCATAAACACATGATAGTGGTTTACAACGGCAACTAGGTTGGGAATAAGGCTCGGTGTATTATACTGTTCTCGAGTAATTGTTGGAAAATTGTGTACTGCTGTAATTTCTGGCGCTCTTTGTGACTACCTGCCTTTGGTAGGTATTTCGGCACATCCGTCAAGTTACTTATATAGGTCTAAACGGAGAGGATGGCCCGGCCCAGCTTTATAGCTTCTTCTGGGTTAGAAAGTCTAGTGGCTCTATCAAGGTGCCAACAATTGTTATTTATGGATTACATACTAGGTACGAGGTTACAGGCAGCTATAACATGCTGAAGGATGAGAACTGTTGCGTTAGGGGCTAGAAATGACGTGGTTTGTGGAGCTATTAGAAAGGATAACAGTGAACAGAGTAGATGATCGATTATTCTGTGCCCCCTGGCCATACAGATTCACAAATGAGGCGCTCAACCCATTCCCTGATAGGCTGTAAATGTGAACTGGAGTGTGCTTCCCATGGTTGAGAAAAGAACTCTGGACATTGTGGATTATTTGTCGAGGTGGTCCTGAGTTGAGGGGTCGTTGTATCTAGCATTGGCTTGTCAAAGCTTCCATGTCACAATATACGAAAATTCCTGGCTACCTGTCACTTTGCTGTGAAGCTTTTGATAATGAAGGCAGAGGGCGAGGTGTTGACTACCGGTATACGTACGATGTAGATACTGAGTTCTTTGGTTAATGATTCGTATGTGGCGCAAGAGAACATATGGCGTGATATATGGGCGGCACTAACAGGACCCAGCATGTCATTCTAAGTTTGAGATTCAGTGTCATAGGTATTCCACCTAGTGATATTGGTCGTTGCTTGCCAGCGTGGCGTGGTAGGTGTCCAGGTTATAAGAATAAAACCATGGTCAATAACAACCCGGAGGCCAAGGCTTGCCTAGGTCGCGAACACTACCCAAAACCAATATTGACAGGTCGGTGTAAGCGCTATCCTAGGCTGGTTCCGGCAATTTACCCAAAAATAGGAGTACCACAAAGGTTGCCATACTTACCCGGATATTGGGAAAAGTCTATGCAGGTCTGTCACCTATCATCAGCAAGCTTGGATGCTCGACAATTATTTACAAGACATGTGCTGCTACCCTGAAATTGCTCACCGTGTGTTTTGGCTTTGGAGACGGCCGCAGGAATGCGGGATGGCCGGAGGGGTAACACGATTCTGCGTTGAGCCATGATACTAAGACACCCAGCTATCCCTGGGATCAATCTCCTCCCTTTTTTTCTTTTAGTTTAAAGTGACAGTGGCGCCAAACACGTCAATTTGACCCTACCTATATATCACCACCATTCACAATGACTCTCCTCTCTATCCTCACCCTGGCCGGCCTCGCCACCGGCAGCGTGGTAATTCTGCCCGGGGGCACGCCCAAGCCCCTCCTGCTCCCAGCGGTCCCAGTCGCAGCAAACGACTACGACTCCATCCTGCGCACCTCAGCCGCCTCAGGGTTCCCCAACTCCACCGTCGACATCATCCTCTCCTCGTACAGCGGCACGCTCGGTGCCGAGACCGCCAACGCGACCGAGATCTTCCCGTCGAGCGACTCCTTCATACACGGTGCCATCCAGGCCTGGGGCGAGCACCTGCACCTGGAGCTCCGGCCTGAGGAAGTGTGGTTTACCGTGCTGGCGCAGCTCAACTTCTACATGGACGCCAACGCCGAGAAGGTGCGGCATCTGTTTGTGAAGCACGAGGGCCAGGAGACGATTGTTGTCGAGGATACCACCTGGACGCGTGTGCTGCTGCGGTTTAAGGACGAGATCCAGGCGCGGGTGCAGACGGACTGGCTGCGGGAATGGATCATGCCGGGCTTTTCGACGACGACCAAGGATGACGAGATGACGGCCAATATTCTTATGATGGGGCTCATGAAGGCGTACTTCAAGTACGTGGGCGGGATTATTTGTGGGCTGCCGAGTGTCACGCTGCTGGGTGAGAAGGAGGACTGGGAGAAGTTGCAGGCCAAATTGGAAAGGTTGGCTGAGTTTGGTGAGGAGCCGACCGCATATCAGGCCAACCTCGTGCCGATCTTCAAGCGGTTTGTGAAAAGCTTTGATGAGCCTGACTCGGAAGAGACAAGGGAGTTTTGGTCCCACATTGTGTTTGCCAAATCCTCTGGCATGTGTGGCTCCGCGCCGTTGGAGCTGTCGGGTTGGATCTCTGGCTTCTTGTTCTGGGATACGGAGGGCAAGCGGCTGGGTGGCCTTGGTGGGCAAGCAAGAAAGGCGGGGTTGACGATGGACGGCGTGGATTACATATGGCATGACATCCGAAAGCTTCCGGTAGGGTATGGAAAGGCGCCCTTCACCATGCTAGACTTTCGCGGCATGAAGGAGTTCCCCGCTTATGTATCTGCCGGAACGCTGGGTAAGCGGTTGGTTAAGGGGCCTCCGGTGGGGTATGAGGCTGCTCTCACGCGGGCTGGGCAAGACACGGCTTTGGCGGCCAACGCCAGTGCTCATGGTACAATCCGACCACTCTCGGCATGGATGGTGTATGGGCCACTGGATTCCGCCGGCGTCAAGGTGACAGACACCTTCGACATGGAGCTGCAAATGATCGCCAGCAGGGCCAATGCGAACTTGAATGAGGGCCGGTGCGGAGCTCCGTAGGAAGATGGGATTTATTGTTTGCTATGGGAAGTATAGTGCGATGTAGTTGACCTGTCAATTTCCCTGTATGTCATGAATCCCGGGCCCCGGAGTGCTTACGCCGGCTTGGCACGGAGCTGTGGTGGGGCCGGTGAGACCCCACTTGACCGGAGAGTGCCGGCAACGTTCCGGATCGGGCCTGAGATGGGTACGAAAAATCGTTGAGTGTCTCGGGATACGAAACACATCGGAAATTAACCACATTATTAGGGTCACTTATGGATATAGTATCGTATGCTGCCGTTGTTCAACCAAGTTGCGGCCGTCATGGCCGGGTCGGTACTTTGTTGACGGGTCCTCACACATCACAGACCAGGACAAACGAACAGCAAAGGTGCACAGCATGTTTTGTATTCCCATTAGGTCAATCTCGACATTATCATCAGATCATCACCGGTTACCCGTGCCCAACCGTTTATCCGAACCGATTCATCACCCTAAGGATACGCATGCGCCCGCCATGCCCCGACGCAATGCATACCCACCGCCCAAGATGCGTATTATGACATGAGGAAAGAAAGAATGATCATAAAAAAAAGACAGATCATCAACTAAACGTCAATCTGTACAGCTTAACGAAAAGGAAACTTTTGTGCCCGCCGTGACCCAACCCGACCTACCCACCCCCTCAGGTCACGGCCGCAAGAAGGCAGATGCAGAGAAAAAACAACAAAACAGACAGGACAGCAGAAAGGGGATTTCGGAAAGTAAAACCCGACACCTTGGAGAGCTTGACTCAGCAACAATGCCGCTCACCCACTTCCGGTCAAATGTCGTCGGGGCCATCCAGGTCGGACGCCGTCACCGACTGGGCCAGGAAGTGGGTGGTGGTCGGCTTGCCGCGGGTCGGGCTGCTCCCCCTGCTCTGTCCGGGCATAGACAGCGTGCGGGCACGCCTGGACCCGGGCCGCGGGATGATGCGCGAGCGCGTGCGCTGCTCCTCGAGCGCGGGGCGCGCCTGCTCCTTGGAGATGACCAGCCCCTGCGTGATGGACATCAGCTCGCCGTTCTCGACGGCGCACATGCTCGGCCACACCACCAGCAGGATCTCATCCGGGTCCACCTCCCCATCCATCAGCTCCTCGTCGTGCCCGTGCCCGTGGCGCAGCGCGTTGCCGCCGCCGCCATCATGGAACCCGGCATCGGCCGCGCCCCCGGCCGTGTCGGACGGCGCCCGCCCCACCTCGCTCGCCTCGATGGTCTCCAGCCGGTCATCCCCAAAATCATCCCCATCATCGCGCGGGTGGCCCGCGTTAGCCTCGGCAGCCTCCGCAAACTCCGGCAGCTCCAACACCTGCCAGTCGAAGTCATCGTAGGGTGGACCAAAATACGGCTCGATCTTCATCTGCGCCAGCTGAATACGCATCCACTGCTCACAGGCCAGCTTACACGCGGCCTCCAACCCGGAACAAAACGCCTCAAACTGCAGCGCGGTCAACAAATGCTGCACCAGCCACGACACCTCGCGCACGACCATCTTGACGCGGCGGGCGCCCTGCTCGACCTGGCGCTCGGGCATCATAGCCACCAGCGTGGCGCGCATGTGGGCCTCGCGCGTGGGGTCCTCGTCCTCGAGGGCACGCAGGAACTTGACCAGGTTCTCGTCGTCGTCGTCGAGCAGGTACACGGGCCGGAAGAGGTGCTTGTGCATGGCGCGCGAGAGCACCGCTAGCACCGCGCTGATGCGCATGCCCTTGGCGGCGGGGGTGTTGGATTGCGGGAGGGGGATCTGGAGTTGGGTGGCGTGCTTGAGGTAGGGCGAGTTGCGCAGGTTGGTCCAGCAGGAGGGGTCGTTGAGTGTTTGTTCGTCGATGTCCGGTCGGAAGGTCCCCTCGACGAGGGTTACGATCGTGGTCCAGATCTTGTCGAGGACCGTCACGCTGAGAGGGGGGGCGGGGGTTAGTATGTTTGTGCGAGGTGCCGTGCGTGCAAAAGAAGGCGGGGAAGAAAAAAACTTACTAGGTGTCGTCATTCTCGCTATGCAGGACCAGGCGGTACTGCTCGAGGTTGGTGAGCTTCCGGGTGGTGAGCTGCAGGCTTTGTGTTGTCTCGTCCAGCTGCGACTGGAGGTCCCGGCCGTGAGCCTCGGCGCTGTTTGCCCGCTCACCCTCGGCTGTGAGCTTGCCGTGGAGATCCTCGATCTCGGCGTTCTTGTCCTCGACCGTCTGCTGCAGCGAGGCGATCTGCTCCTCGGCGGCCCGCAGCGACTCCTGCAGGCTCTCGATCTCGTTGTTCTTCTGAACAATGGTCTCGTTCAGGGAAGCAATCTCTTGCCTCGCCGCCTCGAGCTCCTCCTCGAGACCCTTCTTTTCGCCCTCCAAAGTCGCGATCTGCTCCTTCAGCGAAGCGATCTCGGCTTCGTTGTCGGCCTTCACCTGCTCGAGGTCCGCCCTGGCAGTCTCGAGATCGGCCACATTCCCCTTGAGGGACTCAATTTCGGCCTCGTTGTTGGCCTTGACCTCCTCGAGACCCGTCTTGGCCTCGGTAAGAGCCGCGATCTCGTCTGCGGCCTGAGCAGCGGCGGCGGCAGCAGCCTCCTCGCCAAGCCGCTTCTCTTCCTCAACCGCAGCCTTCGCCGCGTCGAGATCCGCATACTCCTTGTCCTTCTTCTCCTCCAGATCGGCGTACTCCTTTGCCGTCTTTTCTTGGAGGTCGGAATGCTCCTTGGCCGCCTTCGCTTCTAGATCGGCGTACGCCTTGGAGGTGGTGTCCTGGAGGTTGGCATACTCCTGGGCGGCTGTCGCGGCTGCCTCAGCGGCGGCGGCGATCTTCTCTTCGAGCGCCTTTTGTGTATCCTCGAGGTCACCCTCTAACCTTGTCCTGGTGGCGCTAAGCTGGATGATCTCCTGCACCTTCTCCTGCACCAAGTGCTCGAGATCGTTCTTCTCGTCCACGAGCTCGCCCTTCTGCTCCTCAAGCTCGTTCCGGAACTTGCGGTACTCCTCCAAGACGACCTGGTGCGAACTTGAGAGTTTGTTGTTTTGCTCCTTGACGTAGAGGAACTCGCTGAAGACGTCGGCTACTAGCTTGTAGTTGGGGTCCGAGGTGAGGTCGCGGATGGCCCGTACCAGCCCGTCAACGGCCTGGGTGGGGTCGGCGTCGATGTGGGAACCCATCTTCGGCTTAGAGGAGGAGGCGGAGGCGGATGGGGCCGGAGGTTGTTTGGCGGCGCGGCTGGAGGTGTAGTAAGAGGAGGAAGAACCGCGGACCTTGGGGGTAGCCAGCTTGGGCAGGTCTTCCGTGAAAGGAACGGGGCCGGCTGAGAGAAATGATAAGGGGAAGGAGAGCCAATAATGCTCTTCTTGACGATTGTTGGATGGAACGCTGTCGTGGGTCTCACGAAGGTCTGGGCGTCCAATCTTGGGGCGAGGTTGAGAGATGGGGATGGTGTTGCGGTGGTGGAATTGGACGAGTCTTCGGTTTGTCTATATAACCGAGAAAAATGCCCTGGTTCCATGTGGCCTTGTTCCCGCCTGAGGAGACACTCATGCAGGCAGGGGCCAAGGGGGTGACGGGCGGAGGAGAGGCTGAGGCCCGGGAGGGCAGCGAGCGTCTGAGGGGGCTGGCATCGAGTCACCACGCAAGCAATCACCCAAACAGCGGATCACCAGACTGGTGTAGCGCCCAGTCTCCGATGCCCACCGCCCTCCAAATTGTCAAATTATGGGCGTCAATTGGGCTCGGAGCTGCCGCAACAGGGTGAGAGTGGTTCGGCCGGGGTGCCCACCGTAGACCAGCTGGCCCATCACAGCATGCCAGATGTGGCAGCATAAACAGAGCCCAACGTCCAACCACACCAGATGCAGCCTTCCTTGGATCCTTGGAAATTCAAAGGCCAAGGGGTACCAGGCGGTAACCAGCCTGCAACCCGCAGCCCGCAGCCCGCGAGGTTCCGGTATTGTAGCCATGCAGCCATTGCATCGCAGCCATCGCATCCGTTGTCCGTTGGCTGGTCCCAGTCTCATCTCGGTCCTGTGCAACCCGCCTCGCCAATCTGCAGCCGTTCGAGTCGAAACGGGCTTGGGTCGTTCGGTTGTCGTTGATGGGGCTCCATCGAGGCTCTTGACGTGGCAGCATCGGTTGCCAGCACTCTGTGCGCAGGGGTTCATTTGGCCTCGATTGGCGTTGATTGGTCTTGATTGGCCCCGAATTGGCCCCTACCTGGCCCTAATTGGCCTCGATTTGGCATCGCTGGCCCCGCACCCGTTTCTTCCGACCCCACAAACTTGCAGCGCCAAACATCCCATTCGAGAAGTTTGAGATGTGGAAATCCCCGGCCATTGAGTTCTGGCTCATCACTTCCATCGTTTGGATCGACTGACGCTGGTGAATGCTGGTGATGCTGGCGATGATACGGGTGCTGGTAATGTCTCCCTTGCCGGTTTCTCCTTCGACCTGCATGAAGAACGCGAGAACTCTCGTTCCAAATGGTCGACACCGAGTCCTCAACGCCTGAATTCTCAATTTCTGGGCTCCACCCGTCCTGTTGCATCACAAAGCGCCTTCGGTGGCCGGCGCCGGTGAACTGGATCTGACCGTCCCCCGGACCCCGGTCAACGGCTCCGCCCAACCGCGTTACGGCCCGGACCTCGCGCCAAGAATTGGGCTCGACGCCAACGCCCAAACAGGAGCCAAAGCCAACTGGCAGTGGCAGTTTGACAATGCCGTCACCGGATACCAGGTACCCGCGGAATACCAATTGCCAATCGATGAGGCCAGCTGAACGGCGAGCCGTCCATGGCAACCTGAATTAGCCCCCCTCGAGGCCGGGCTAGAGCCGAAACACGCCCACCACCTCCCGGAATCAGCTACTCAATCTTGCCTCCGTGCCACGTCGTCGGCCTCGGGTTCCTGGGGTGAACCCCGATCCGCTCCATCCCTTGATAGCTCCGAGTTCGATTCCGCCCCCCGCCGAGGCTGACACTTTCCGGCTCGTCTTGTCACTCACCGCCTTCGATGTTACCCTTCAACCACTCGTTTTCTTCTTTGCCGATTGGATTGGGATGGGAACTCCATTGTGTATCGCTCCCAGCCTCTCTGTCCAGCTGACACTGTTGCATTGAGTCATTGACACTTCCCGACGGCAGCTTCTTTTCCCACCGCCTTGAAGCTTGGCCCACGGTTGCTTGGAGCCAGCTAGATTATTGGTGTCGAGTGGCAGTGAGGCATTGGCCAATGAGCTCACCGCCCCTTGGAGATGCAATTGATGTTGGTTGTCGGCTCCTTGAGCGTGACATCGCGTGTGCGTATGTTTCGGCTATCAACGTGTTGATACCACGTGGGGAGACGCTCGGCCACAGCACACAGGTCTGGGCGTGTGGGACTGTGGGAGTAACTAGACTCAGCCTCTATTATTTATTTACTCCGTTCCGGGTAGCAAAAACCCCAATCCGCCGCGGTATGGCGGGCCAGCCGTCTGAGGTGCAATTACCTTAGGGCTCCAAGAGCAACTCCGCTCCAGGTTCCACGGCCGATGCTGAGGAACTTAATCAGTGGCGAGGACTCCCTCGTGTTCAGAAACCGCGATTCATCCAGGCGTGGTGTGAGGTAGATGAATCAGCTAACCAATACAAGCCGATATGGGTTTCTGGGCCTAGTTCGGACGGACGATCCATTGTGAAAAAGGGAAAGGCCCCTTAACAACGTCTCTCGAAAATCTTCCCCCCAAGCAACCCCCTTCCACCGCCAGGTCGCCTCTCTCCTTGAAATGACTTACGAGGAACAAGAGGCGGCTCTCCGCTCAATGACTGAGTTCTTCACCCACTGGCCTTCTATGAGACAAATTTGCCTAAGGGTATCGTCAGGGCATATAACAGGTGGCACCGATGTCATGCCAGTACCTAATGAAACCTGAATATAAAAAGGCAATGTTTTCCGCTCAGTTACCTACATGTAGTCGCCGCATTTCCCCAAAATCGGCCACCTCAATCTCCTGTTAATCCCCGGGCTAAGGAAAATCAGGAAGGCACGGTTTTCCTGTATACTAAATAGCAGAGGGTCCGGCACGCCCTAGGGCATAGCGGAGTATGAATAATAATAATAGTAAAGTAGAGCAATAAAATTGCCAGGGCCATCTAGACAGTCTTTTGTTATCTAGACTGAATGGGTAAGGGATGAGCCTCAAAGTGGATTTGCAAAGCACAGTTCCAGGGACACATGCAGTGTTCTGGAAGATCATTTGTTCACTAACATTATTATTGATGGTGTAAACTATTGGCATTGGACTCGGCTTCCTATTAATGCATTTTTCAGCTTTGGCTTTGCTATTATAACATTGTGAGATTTGCCATCTGAGAAAGACGGGCACCCTAACGAGGAACCGAGGACCACCGCTGGGGCAACTGGCGCCAGACTGACAAGCGGAGCAGGATGGCCTCCGGGTCATTAGTCAGTATCAGAAGCTGCCTGGCACTGCAGTTGTAAAGTATAAAGTACCATACAGTAGTTATGTAGAATATCCCAGAGGGACTACTCCTAAATATTATTATTCATACTCCGCTATGCCCTAGGGCGTGCCGGACCCTCAGCTATTTAGTGTACAGGAAAACCGTGCCTTCCCGGGCCGGGTGAAAAACCCATACCAACAACCAAGGAACGATGCGTTCTGGTGAGTCTGCGTATACAAAGAGAGGAGGCCCCCTGGCCTCCGGGCGGGGCCGCTTCAGGCCGCCGCTTCCAGCTCGAGCCTCCTAGCTAAGCTGTACATCGGCAGCTTCCCCGAGTCCATCAGCCAGTCGAGGATCCTCCTCGCGAGCCGTGCCGTCGTGGGATCGATGCCGTGTAGAACAGAGTAAAAGTCCCGTCGTGTCCGAATTCCAGTTCTCTCCCATCTTCGAGTCAACGGTGGGGTCAAACACCACACTACCAGGTGTTCGGCAGTCTCTCGTCCCTCGCCACACTCGCAGGCAGGAGTCAGAACCTCCGGGACTCCCCGTGTAAACAAGAAGTCCCGTAAGCCTATTGCTCCCGTCCGGATTTGAATCAGCAGTGAGCTCTTCGCCTTGCTGAGACCGTCGTGCCATCTTAGGGTTTCGTTCCGGAATATCGTCTCCCGCTGATGGTCAAAGTCGTCCGCCGGTCTGGTGATTGCCCTGCCGTCCCGTTCCTTTAACCACCTCGCTTTCCAAGCCTCTTCTACTACCCTGTCCGTGTCTGCGATCCCCCCGTCCAGCGCGCGATCGTGCTCGCGGCTTTCTCCACCGCCGTGGCCTCCCGCAGTCCCACAGTTCGCGGTCGGCCCCTGTTACCGCTCTTCGAGCGTAGTCTCTGCTGTATCCTTTGACAGGCGGTAAGAATAATGCTCCCTGCGGTCTTCTTGCCGCCTTGGCCGTCATCTAGGTCGGTTCGCTGGAGTCTGGTCTCAAATTCCGCAAACCGTTTGTTGAGATATAGGTCCAACGGCGGCACCCATGTCTCCGTCTCGAGGTTGCGGATGGGGGTGTGCTTGAAGGCTCCCGCTACAATCCGCAAGCTTTTGTTCTGGGCCTTCCCGAGGGCCTTGGTGATGCCTTTTTTTACCGGCTCGCCTCCCACATCCGTGGGGATGTGAAACGACGATGCGCCATAGGCCAGCGCTGACCGGATGCACTTTGTGTACACTTCTCGCGCTTTGGCTAGCCCCAGTCCCCACGTCGACGCCGCTAGCCTCGACAGGGCATAGCTCTGGGTCCTCAGCTTCCTCTCCACCGCTGCAAGGTGGGCTTTCCAGTTGAGCTTCCGGTCCAGCCAGACTCCCAGGAACCTGGCAGACTCCTTCGGTCTGACGGGGCTGGTGCCTCTCCCTGGGCTGGTGAGTTCCAGCTGGTTTGACCACTGCCGTCGCCCCTTGCTGAAATGGATCAGTTCGCTCTTTTCTGGGGCGAACTTCATTCCCCGACTGTCTGCCCATCGTATACACGTTCCCCACGCCACCTCTAGTTGCCGGACATTCGCTTCGGGGTTTCGGCCAAATACCAGGAGGTTGGTGTCATCCGCAAACCCCGCTATAGCCAAGTGAGGGTGCTCGTCTTTTAGCTGCTTGTATAATGAGGAAATATAGAGGATGAAGAGAACAGGGGAAAGCGGTGAGCCTTGGGGGACCCCTGCCCGAATCGCCGTCGGTGCCGCCGTCTTGCCGTCAAAGAGGAGGGTGGCCTCTCGGCCCGTCAACCAGTCTTTTGTCCAGAGAACGAGCCACCTCGGGTAGCCCATATCTCGCAGTGTTGCCAGTAGTCGTGTGTGGTTAACCGTGTCGAAGGCTCCTGAAATGTTTAGTTGCAATAGGGATGCCGCAGCCTTCTGTCTCCATGCCTCCTGGACCTGGGCTACTACTAGCCGAACAGCCATCTCCGTGGAGCGGTGTGCCCTGTTCCCCATTTGTTCGTCTATGGGTCTCACAGACCCGGGGCCGAACGGGCTACTGAGCAGGACCCGAACGGTCGAGGGTCTTGACAAAGCTTTCGACAGCCTGGTTGGGTGGCTGACCTGGGTCGCTGGGGAAAGCACTCTACGGAAGAAGGCGAGTTGCGGCTACAGCTCTCCTTGGTGGACTGCGGAGGTGGAGCAGGCCGCCCGGGAGCCCAGGAGGGCCGAGAGGCTGGCGAAGGAGACTCGGGCAGAGTACTGTTGGGAGGAGCTCAGCGAAAGGCTCAGGAACCTTTCCAGAACAACGCGCGAAGCACGGACAAGGGCTTGGAGGAACAACCTGCAGGAAGCAAGCGAGGCAAAGAAGCCCGATCAGATGTGGAGCTTGGAAAGATGGGCCAGGCTACGGAGCGTTTTGCCGCCGGAACCACCGAGACTACCGGCATTCAAGGACTCGTCCGGACAGGTAACGGCCGAAACGCACGACCAGAAAGCCAGCGCACTGGCCGAGAGGTTCTTCCCGGACCCACCGGCCAACCTGACGGACGTGGAAGACCAAGCCTTTCTAGGCGACTGGAACCCGGGATTCGACGTCTCACAGGCAGTGACGCCGACCGAGATCGCGAAAGCAATAGGAGGAGCAGGCCCCTGGAAGGCGCCAGGAGAGAATCTGCTCCCGATGGTCTTCTGAAGGCATGTGGAACGCCACTGGCTGAAGTGCTCGCCGTATTGGCGACGAGGTGCCTGGAACTAGGATGGTTTCCCGACCGGTTCAAAAAGGCAAAGACCATAGTACTACCAAAGCCAGGGAAGGCGCCGCCAGTATATCAGACCCCGGGAGGGTACAGGCCCATTGCGCTACTGCCAACCCTAGGGAAGGTAATAGAGTCAGTGGTCGCCAGGAAGGTCACTCAAGCTGCTGAAGTCAACGGCCTTCTACCAGCCGTGCGCAGCGATGTTGACTCAGCCTTCACCCTCTCCCTGTCCATCTTCTTCCAGGCCCAGCCATCCGGTTGGGTTGGCCTCGGCCCATGCCCTTCCCCGAACCTCGAGCACTTGTGGGTAGTGGTCTGACTTTCCACGACATTCTTCCCCGTAGGATACTGTTTGGAGGTTTTCCGAAGTCCAGAAGTGGTCGATGGTTGACGGGCGGCCTCGCTGCCGCCCCTGGGGAGCTCGCGTTGTCGCTCCCCTTGCAGTCCTGATGGTGAGGTCCCACAAGAAACCCAGCTGCAATAGGTCTTCAGATTTCCTGTCCTAGCGTCCGAACCCATCTCACAATGGGTTCTTTAGGTTGAAGTCTCCTGCCAGAACCACCGGGTGGCTTGGCCTTGGCCGCCCTTGGAGGGCTCTCGGTACGTTCTCGCCGGCGGGGGGGTTGTATATGGACCAAAGCTCGAATTCGCGCCTTTCCCTTCCGAGGTCCGCCTCTGGGAACCACACGCGGCACCAATTCTTCGTGGCTTCGGAGTCCCACTGCCTGATTTCAAATCTTTTGCTTACATATATTGCCGCCCGCCCCTCGAGTTTATGTACCAGGTGGTATCTGCTGCTCCGGGGGCAGTATGTGGATAGAGGAGAAATAATTCAAGGGCTGGGAACAAAAAGTGGGATAACTACCTACTGTGTGATGATGTCATCACAGCAACCAAGGTAACCGGAACATCGAACCTTCCATCCCGCATATCATGTCATTCATGGCCAACTAGAAAGCACCCTCGGGAATCAAATCTTTATCAATACTGTGTTGTATCGAAACGGATCTCGATAAATTTCAGTTTCATTCACGACACAACTTTGGCCTCAAATACCAGATCATACCACAGCAGCCATGAATCGATTCGGATTGACCACCCGCTCCATGTCCAGCATCTCAATGCTCGCCTCAGCATGCCGGAGGCCAACAGGCGCGACAAAAATGCGCGCAACAGCCACATCCTTCCCCCGGTCCTACAGCAACGGCAAGTCCTCCGCACCCAAGTCCGCCGAGGAGCCCAGCGCAACCAGCGGCGGATCCCGCAGCAAAGAAGCCGTTGAGACCGGCTCCAGCCCAACAGGCGGCGTCATCCAGGACGGGCTCGCCGATGGCGACGCCCGCGGCCGCACAGGAGGCGGGCGCCCCCTCGACAGCTCCGTCCACCCGCCGGCCCAGCCTAAGATCAGCAATGCCAGCGTGCCGGGCGAGCGCCCCAATCTGAGCCCCGAACAGCAGGCTGAGGTGGACGAGCATAACCGGGATTTTGAGAACAAGCATGGCAAGGCGGAGCCCGCGGGGGATGATAAGGTGGATAAGAGCTTTTGGAGTGGGAAGGGGTCGAGACATAATAAGGCATGAGCGCATGTGAGCGTGGAAGAGGGCGGGCTTGTTCGGGGGACGTGGAGAGAATTGTGATAGTTAGTTAGCCTTGATTGTATCATTATGAGTTAGACGTGGAGATCTGGAGTCGCTGTACAGTATAGCAACTTGACAATTATGCCCGATAACGCTAGTGGGTGTCGATCTGTGTCAGTTCAAGGGTGCTTCTGACACTGGACTCCTTTCAAGTCCGTGGTGTCAATAACATTCATCACCCCCAAGAACCACTCGTTAGACCTAAGGGCCCTTCTCACTCCCCATGATCTTAATTCGATATCAGGATTACTGTTTCTAGCTTCTGTGACTACGTGTAAATGGGAAGAAGCACTTGTATGTACAGGTGCAACCGTGTAATGCTGCTTAGGAAACTGCGCCCTGGCATTGTGGGAGGCTCCCACCTTAACTGGAGGTCTTCCTCTTTGTTCCTCGGCCATCAGGTCGGTTAACTGACTCAACACCAATTTGCCTTCAATTATTCGAGGTAGTATCGTACGCCCTTCGGGTCTGGGTGTGGGGCCCCAGCCTTGAATCTTCCCGATGACGCACGCTGACACCGCTCAGAACCAATGATTTGACCCAGTTTCCCTCCCTATGAACCCACAAAACTCCACTCAACAACACCAAAGACTTTGCGGGTACATCACCACCAACATGGCTGCTGAACTCCATCTCCCCCATCAACTTGCAGGGGCATACAAGACTCTCACAGCGCAGTGCCACTGCAAGTCAACGCACTTCACCGTCACCGTCCCGACCTCAGCTCTTCCGCTTCCAGTCCACCTCTGCCACTGCAGCATCTGTCGCTACACTCATGGAACCTTCAGCTGCTTTCACGCCTCCCTTCCAAATGAAGTCGAACCCCACTTCGTCTCACCGTCTTCCATTAAGTCATCCCTCACAGGATACATTCACGACAAGGCAGTCTCTGAGCGCTTCTTCTGCACTACCTGCGGCTGTCACATTGGCGACCGCGACTTGAAAGTCGACCCTGAAACGGGGAAAACCCCATGGCGCGTGGCAACCTCCATCTTCAACACCCACGACGAGGAGACCTTCCAGATCCGCTCTCACTGCTTCGTTGACCCAGCCACCGAGCCCAACCTTGCCACCTGGCTGCCCTCCATCAATGGCCGCGACGTGCACGTCTGGAACCCAGGCCCAGACGACCCCCATTTCCCGTTGGCCCAGTCCCGCCCCCCCAAGCCAGACCTCCCAGACCGTAACCACCTCCTCGCGCAATGCCACTGCGGCGGTGTGCGCTTCACCCTTCCGCGCCCCTCCGACTCCGACGCCGCGGACCGCTTCCTCGCCCGCTTCCTACGCACCGGCCCCACCCCCCCTCCTACCCTCAACTCCAACCCACACCCAAACCCAGACCATAACCCCTCCACCGTCACATCACCACTACCACCCACCACCCGCACCCAACACCAAGCCCACACCCCGCCACCGGCCCCCCACCCTCAAACGCGTAGCCTTGCATATGCCTCTGCGACGACTGCCGCCTCGTCTCCGGCGCCCACACCATGCCGTGGACCTTTGCCCCGCTAGCCAGCCTGCAGCCGGCCATCCCGGAGTCGCTAGAGGGCGGGAGCACGACGCTGCGCGCGTATCGCTCGTCGGAGAGGGTGACGAGGGCGTTTTGTGGAGTTTGTGGGGCGAGTGTGTTTTATAAGTTGGAGGATCCGGAGAGGGTGAATGTAGATGGGGAGGGGAGGGCGGTAGTGGTGGTGGATGTGGCGGTGGGGTTGTTGAGGGATTGGGAGGGGGGGTCCGTGGCGGCGGAGGAGTGGCTTGCCTGGCGGACGGGGAGGTTGGCGGGGATGGAGAGCGGGAGGAGGTTTGATAGGGGGTTTGCGGAGGGGTTGACGGAGGGGTTGGGGAGGTGGGGGGTGCAGAGGTATGGGGCGAGGGAAGAGTTCGAAATTCCGCAGGATCTGTAGGGGCCTTGGGGAGGGGAAGTTGGGAGGAGTATAAGTTGGTGAGTGCTGCAGGGTACTTGGATAGGAATACGGGGGAGTGGTTGAAACTCATTTTATTAATGCTGGCAGCGGTGTCTCTCGCTTTCCTGTTGCCGTTACTCGTGGCGGTCATCATCATCCTTCGTGTTCATACTGTTTTGGTCCCTTCCAAGCACCAACACCTCCTTTGCTCTCCCATCTCACCCCAGTGCCTTCAGCCCTTCGCCACCCCCCACTACCTCGACCTTGGCCCTCTGTATATGTCTGAGCTGCTCTGCGTGTCCGAACTGACATGCGTCCCAGGCCCAGCATGTATCCCTGCCCCGTGATCCGGCCCCAACCCGGTATGCCTTCCCGGCGCCAGCCCGTCCGTAATCGTGGCATGTGATCCCATCACATCCGAGTCCTCCTCCTTCCCACTCTGACTACCATCACTCCGACTCTCCCGCCGCTCCTGCGCCAGATGGGGACTGCCGGGATGAGATTCCACGTACGGCGGAGGTGGGTCGAGCGCCCCCGAGGCCGTCACCGCCGTGGCCGAAACGCTCGCCTCCTTTATGACGCTCATCTCGACGTCTCTCCTTGCCTTGCGGCGGCGGTGGGTGAAAAAGACGATGAGGCCGGTGATGACGATGAAGAAGACGACGATGGAGATGACGATGGCGGCTATTGTGCCCGCGGACAGTTTGTGGTTGTTGTCATCACTCGGGTCCTCTGGGTCCAGACGGAACGGGTTCACGTCGTCGTCATCGTCGAAATCGTCGGGTTGGCGGAATGGTGGGAATGGCGGGTTTGTGAAGGTGAAGGTTTGCCGGGCTTGTATTGTGCGGGTGAGGATGTTGACTGCTCTAGTTACGGCAAGCATGGTGGGCGTTTGGAGGTGAAGGTTGATGTCTGGTGATGACTGAGAGATACACACGTGGAAACAAAATGGCCAGGTGGGAGCAAGTGTAACAGAGTCAAGCCAGAGAACCGGGGAACCTGATATAATTTTGCGAGCTGGGGTCTCCCCAGACGCCCTCATATTCGGGACTTCCCGAGCCCCGAAACATCACCAATCGCTTGTCCGAATATGGCAGCAGATCGTCCAAACCTCCCTCCACGAAAAGCGTGATACGCCACAATCACCCGCCGGCGCCGAAAAAGTCAGAACCACCGGAAGCCCTCCACTTGGCTTGTCCGCAGCAAATGGGAGGCGTATGTGCAACCTTTTAGCACGTCCATTGGCCGAGGTTTTATGCTGTGCAATGTCTGTTGAAACTTCGTCCCGGGCAGGAGTAAGACTCGGGTATGACATTCCACTCCGCCACGGCTGAAGAAGCGGGAGAGTGGCACACCTGCAGATATTGCCGACCTTCGGAAGGATTTAAGAAGGCTTACTTGCGGCGGTCAAAACTGCAATAACAGTCTATTATGGAGGTAGATAATCCGCCGTGAAGGCGGTGAGCCGCCATTGATCACTTTTGCTCTCCGAGGCGGTGCCACATCCCTGGCCATTTCTATATCAATCGAGGCCGGTTCGCACGTAGCATTCAACCGAGAATGTTTTCTGTACACATAGCATCATACCACCGTCTGACTATGTAGTCACTAAAGAATTTGAAAACACACTACTAAACATGGCACAAAGTCGGGCGTGACAATATGAGTGAGTGGCCCCCATCTTCCGGCACAGCCAAACCTTGATTTTGACGATTTGAACTTCCCTCTACCTCCAGGATCAACGAAGGCAATGATATGATAATATTCATGGTGGTGGTGCAGCGGGCCAAGCGCGGAGTTGTAACCTCGCCACTTGTTTGGTGCCGCCCTGAAGGGGGACCTAATATGCCTAGATACTACTTCCGCGCATCATGAGCAGGATGCTGCCCGAGTCCGGTTCGACCCCATCAATATCTTGTGTCATTACAAACAAGGTAATATACATTTGCCGCTGCAAATCTACATTCACAACCCTCGAGTCTGCATCCTCCCCGAATACACCCCCCCCCATCTGCCCGGATGTGATGTTCACAACCACCCGACTGTGCTCACAAATCGGCCTCGTCCATATTCCTCACAAACAACATAAACCACTGCACCGCATTCACATGATTAACCACACTAACCTTCTCATTCACCGTATGGATCGACCCCAAACCCGGCCCATCCTCAGGATCATACCCCGGCGAGAAACGAAAGATATGCCTGCTCAAATCCCAATAATACCTTGTATCCGTATTCCCCGTCATAATCCCCGGCGTAACCACCACCTCCTCGCCATACAGCGCGCGCGTGGTGCCCGCCAGAACCGAAAACGGGCTCTCGACGGAGCCATCCGCGGGCGTGACGGGGGCGACTTGCAGCTCGTGGTCGGAGGCGGCGAGGACGATGGAGGCGGGGGCCTCGTCCTGGCCGTCTTCGAAGGCGTGCAGGGCGAGGCCGTGGCGGCGCGCGATGGCGCCCGCCACTGCCGTTAGCCGGTCCTTGACGACTTGCGGGGTCTCGCCGATGTTGATGCGGTGGTTGACGACGGCGGTGGCCCGCTCCGGCAGCGCGTTGACTTTGATGCCACCCGAGATGACGTCGACGGCTTGGGAGGTCTGCATGAGGTATTTGATTTCGGGGCCCTGCTTGGCGGCCTCGAGCGCGAGGTGGTCGGGTTTAGCGTGGCAGGTGTTGTGGGGCTGGCGGTGGTGGAGGAGTTTTCTGAGTTTGCTGGGGAACTCGGGCGAGTATGCGGCACCGCATTGGAGCTGGGTGTAGTAGGGGTTCGAGTCGACGAGGCGGGTGCGGTACTGCTCGGATTCGATCTCAGTGATGAGCTGGCTGAGGATGCCGATGCTGGTGTGGTCGGAGGGAACGGAGGAGTGACCGCCCGGCGTCCGGACTGTGATGGAGACATCGGTGTAGCCCTTCTCGGCTGTGCCGGGCTTCGCAAACAGCGTGCCCCAAGCCCGCTCGAAGCTGCTGCCCTCGTCGATGATCACCGCGATGCCGTCGGTTCCGTAGCGTTCCTGAAGGAATGCGGACAGCTGGGATGCACCTTGGAGGCCACTGCACTCTTCGTCCTGGCCAAAAGACAATATTATAGTTCTTTTTGGCTGGAACTTGGCCTCGAGGAGCAGCTCGAGCGTTTCCATAGTCGCGATGAGCTGGTTCTTGCAGTCGCTGGCACCGCGGCCCCAGATGTGCGTGCCGTCGTACTCTCCACTCCAGGGGGGGTACTTCCAGGCGTCAACAGTCTCCGGGGGCACCGGCACCGTGTCTTGGTGAGCCATGAGCAGTGTCGGCCTCAGCGACTTATCACTGCCCTTCCAGGTATACAGCAGTCCGTGGGTGTTGACCTTCTCTACTAACAGGTGTTTGTGGATGAGAGGGAACGTCTTCTCCAGAAACTCATGGAAGGTATAGAAGACATCCCATCGCGGATCCTCGCCAATGACTCCCAGATCGTCAAAAGACTCCGTCTTGATCTGGACAGCGCCGGAAAGACGTTTGATGGTAGCATTCCTGAAAGCGGCGCTGCTAATGTGCTCGTACACCTTGTCGAGGTCCTGGTTCTCGCCCGGACGTAAAGGTTCCGGCTGTGCGCATCCAGCTCTGAAGTCTCGCTCTCGTTGTGTCGACCCTGTCACGAGCCGCTCCAGGGAGCCGATGTCCAGGAAGGTGATTGAGAATAAAACCAGAGTCAGAAAAGCAAGCAAAAAGCCTTTAGCCTGTGAGTGCCTCGGGGTTCCCTGTTGAGGGCCCGCACCGAGAGGCAGCATCGGCGCCCCTTCCGACTTCATTTTGTTGTTGATGATAAGAACCAAGTCCACGGTTTCGTTGTTTTGGGGAAGATGGCTCGGCGCCGCAAGCCACAGCTGAAGTGCTGGCACTGAAACCCACTTAAGCGGGGATCTCTGCCGGGGTGCCGAAGCTCAGCCGTGGAGTTCCCGTCCACCTGCTGTTTTGGATGATAACTAGCGCAAACATCAATCTTGATTATTAGGTAATTACAAATGGAATATGACGAGAAGGGAATGGATATTTGGTTTAAAGGAAGGCAACGTAAAACCGAATTCTTGTGTGACTTGTGCCGATATCTGGGCACTATGTGTGCTTGCACGGCACTCTGGTGAAGTTACCACCGGGGCTGCCACCTCGCTCGCCACATCCTTGGCCCGATGGTCGGTGAAGTTTCGGAAGAGGCACTATGGAATCATCTTTGGCGGGGAAGAGAAGGTTGAAGATAACGTTTTCAAGGAGGGGGTTCATTAGTATTGACGTCCTGAGAGGCCAATACTTTCTCCGAGAGCGGTTCCAAGGACGGATTACTTCTTCCAGGCGGACTCTGTGGATGATGAGCAGTGGGCGGAATAGGTACCATTAGCAGATGAGGCGTCCGAGTGCCTCCAAAGATGACAGACTCGCTTGACCTCTGAGAGCAACTCCGAAGGACATAGTCAGCCGATGTGAAGACCGGACGCGTTGAACTACAAGTTGTTTGGGATTGACTAGTCAGGTTTTGGCATCAGTCGGCGCGGAGCCCACCACCAAATTAGGAGAGCTGTGACAGTAATGGAAGATAGGCAATTCGGCGAGACAGCGAGTAGTTGATTCAACATTGCTGAAGATAAATCCCTCGGCTATGGCACAAATACAAAAATCGTGCGGAATAACCGGGCCGCTACTAATTTCTCTATACTTCCAATTCTTTTCGTCTCCCGAAAAAGCAAAAGCTCACCGGCTAGCCCCACGAAGGGAGGTAGCCGGCTACGAAACCCCCTTAGGGAGGTTTACTTCGTGTGCCTAGTTGCAGCCGGTTGGTGCCTCGTCGGGGGGCTGCGTAATTTCTTCTGAAGTGGAGGACTCTACCGGCGGCCCGATACCTCCCAGAGGAACCCCGTGCTAGCATCGTGATTCGAACCTTAGCCTTCCCTTAAGTCCGGTAGTGATGAGGGGCGAACCAGATGGCCCGTGGGCCGAGGGCCACCGCCTAACCGCTGAGCTACTCAGCTAGGTGGTGGTCCTTGTTGGAAGTCGGCTGCCCGAACTTTGTTTATATGGCACGAGTGGCACGGTGTACCTACTCGGTTGACTTGTACGCGACCCGGTTCACCAAAACAGTGTGGTTTATATTTTACCATGTCCATTAGCACGATAACGTATTGCTCGGACGGCAAGAAAGGCGCAGAAGAAGGACAAAAACGCACACGGGCGCAAATATCATAGATGGTAGGACAAGCTTCTTTGCCCCGTGAAGTGTTCCAGATGCCGGAACGCCTTCACCAATCGCTTTCGCCTTTCTCACAAAGGAGATGCAGGCATGCAGATGGTCTGGCGGATGCTTCGCGAGGATTATTTTTGTAACGATGGCTATAGGCCTTCTTTCTCTAACACAGGAGAATACATCTCCGTCCGTCCTACTATATGCTAACTCCCTGGACGCAAGGGTCCTGAAGGTGACTCGAATGTTCTCGTTCTTGTTGTGTTCGGTCGCGCTCAGTCACCAAAAGATTGTTTTATAATCATGGCAGAGCCAGTTACCAGTTGGAAGTAGCGGCGACTCGTAAGACCTCGAATACTAAAGGATACGACAAACCTTATTATAACAACAAAAGGGGTAAGCGTGCCTAGTCACCAATCGCACTGTAGTTGTCTCTAAGAGGTTGAGGTGTACCCAAACCGAGAGACGCCGAGGACTCCCGCTTCATGACTTCTGGCGGGCCTTTTCGGCCGGGCAGCCGGCGTTGACAATGTTTGCTCCAAGCTGTTCTTCAATTGTCTATCATATCGGTCGTCCCCTAGGTGGTCTCGGACTCGCTAGCCCACTTCACTCTTGCAAATTTGGGAACCCTTGAATCAACACCACGTGCGCCTCTTCAGCACAGCGACTCCACCAAGTTCCACATGAGGTTCCATTGAGCGGTTGCCTTGCTGGGGCGTAGTGCTGACGCCGAGTGATGAGAAGAGCCGCAGCAAATTGGGAGTGGATGCCCAAGGTAACCTTTGGTAGGGCTGAGGTGTGTGGTGAGCCACCGCACAGCCAAAAAGAGGTTTTGTTGGTCGACTTCAACACTGCATCGGCTTGACGAAACTGTCGTTGTCAAGCAGGGACTCGGAAGGTTGATTGAACTTGAGTGGAGCGTGTGCGAACCACCAATCGGTTTCGAAATGCTGGCGCTGGATTGGGAAAGCTCCCGCCCGAAAGAGATTTGCGGGGCCGAATCCCCCCGCATTCCGGGGCCGCGCTCAAAGGCGCAGGCGCTAACTGAAATAGAGTGGGAGTTGACTGGGCCGAATTTCGGCTGAGCCAGGCACCTCTGGATTCCCGCGTCGTGCCTTGACCAGAATGGGAAGGGTCGGACTGGGGATGTGCAAAAGGATTGGCTTCGCGAGATGAAGAAGGGGACGCACTAGTGCTGCAATGGCATTGTGCTGATGCTGCGATTGAAAAGGTCGTGATCGCCCTGCGCAGTCTCACCCTTTAAAGAATCGGTGCCGCTCACTCGCTCTTGCTTCACGATATTCGCCCGGAAGATACCTAAATACAGAAATACAGGCACCAGACCTTATCCGCCGCTTCGCAACGCGCCATTTCCGTCCCGCCATTTTTCATTGTCTCTCCAAACCACCAAACCACACAACCACGCGGCTGACTCGCGATGGCCGGCTGTTTCAAAGCTCTCGGTTTCTGGAAGAAAAAGAGCAAAGGGGCCTCGGCTGCCGTTCCCGAAGAAAAGCGCCGACACGCTGAAATCAAAATCCTCAGCCCCAACCCCGAGAAGCCACCGGTCGAGGTGGGGCATGTTCACAACACCCTCCCGCCCGGAGGCGTGCCGGTTCGTCCCCATGTCAACCCGGAGTACTCGGCCTACTCCACCCCGGTAGATACCACATGGGCTGACTCCACGACCTCAACAAAGGCACCGGGCTCCGTCGATGATCCCGCGGATTCTGATGCTGTCGCCCGCCGAAAGAAGGCCGAGCAGGAGGAACAGGAGCGGTTGGATTTCTTTCAGATGATGTGACCGATGGCTTGCGGTCATGTGCATAAGGAGCAACAACTACATGGAGCGACAGGGTGATCGTGGGGTCGCGTATATGCTGTTGACCAGCGAACTCCCCTCCCTCGCTCTCGGCACACCAACGGCCCGAGGCGCACCGTGAAGCGGCTATTTAGACGCCTATCACGCTCACCGCGCCAGGCACCGGTTCCGACCCTGCGGCTGCGGGTTTTTTGACGCCCCTCGGCAAGAAAGTACCAAAGACAACGAGTTACGTTCGCGGCCGGTGCTGGGAGCCAAGTCTGTTGAGTGGCAAGAGAAGCGCCTTGAGTGGATGAAGGAGTAGGTTGTCGAGTTGTCGAGTACGGATCTCGGTCGAGATCAAGGCTGGAAGAAGGATCTGGGTTATGAAGCTCTGCCAGAGGTTGTAATCAAGAGGAAGGACTGAGGAGGAAGCGACCGCAAGCGGAACGGGAGTAGGGTACCTAATTGCCTTACACAACCTGAAGAATGGTAGCTCAGATGGCGCCCTTTGGCTAAAAATGCCGGGCTCTAAAAGAAAGGAAAATAACACCAAGTGAAATAAATCGAGCAAAAGGACTTGAAAAGAGATTGAAGGAACAGAAAATGAATCGAGTAAAACAAAATAGAGAGTTCGTCGGTTTCGTGCCATCGTCCTTGTTGTTGAAGTATCATTCATATGTGTTTTTGGGGCTATGCTCGTGCCCTGTGTGAGGTTGGAGGCAGTGGAGTGGGATGGATTATGTTCACATTGATGTCGTTGGCTGTTTTGTTGCCCCACGACAACTGACCTCCATACACTCGGCTTATACCCATCTTTTAGGGCCCCGTCATGTCACGAATATGCCAACAAGCGGGACCCCGGGGCGCGGGACTCCCCGGGCCAGTCGTTTAACGAACCAATTACAGAGTGCTCTAAGGAGCACTCGAGAGCTGTGAGCTCTAGCGGGCTCTCGAGAGCAGCCTAGAGCGCAGGAATCAGGTAGTATATAGTAACTCCATCTGGAGAGCTCTGGGAGTTCTCCAGTTAGCAATCACAACTACAGTTCGCTACAAGCTCGAGAGCCTACTGTTGAGACAAGTCTTTGTTGTGCACCCTTTGGCTGCACCGAACCTAAGCACCCTTGAGAGATTACCTTCAACCGAAGCTGAACCCTAACAGGACAGGGTCCTGAAGTAGGTTCGTGACACGTGAGAACCAACCGTGGCAAATGTCATGATGGGCTGCTAGGAAATTGTAATCCCTTCCGAGTAATAATGAAGTATTCCAGCCATGGCCTTTGGGCTGCCCCCAGCTCGGGTTACTTTCTAGCTGCCACGTGTCTATTCTCTCCTTTCACTCGAATATGACCGTAAAGAGAGTCCAGCTGCAGTCGAGTAGAATGTGATCTATAACGTATATTAGCAACAAAGGGGCTAGCCGCTTCTAGAAAAGCCCACGCGAGCCCCCCTACATCCAACTCAAAGATAAATACCGAGGCCTTAGCCGTTCGATACTAGCCAGTTTTCCCAACATGTCAATCGCGGGCTTTTACATATCAGCCCCGTTATAAGCACAGCAAATCAGCCACCACGGGCCTAAGCTACCACATACTAATCACAATCTTTTCAGAAGCTTCTAAAAGCAAGAGCATTGTGCTCACAGCTACCCTTCGCAGAGCCAAGGCCCCCGACTGGCACTTGGGAGAATGTCCCCCAGGCGACGACGAACGCCTAATCCTGGGATGGCAGTAAGCGCCCCCATATCTTTAGGCCACTCCCCAAAAAGCAGGTCAGTAATGACCGAACTTTTTCATAACCCACATACTAAGGATCTGTTTTCCACCTACCAGCGTCGCCAAAGATAAGAGCTGGTTTGTCAGCTACGCGCCGCTCCGTGGAGTCACTGCCTACCACCACGACAACGAAAATCCGAAGGGAAGATTAGAAGTGGCAGGCGTTGGGACCGTCATGGTCCAACTGCCATCGACCCCTTCAAAGGTCCCCGCACTGTTCATCTTCTCAAAGTCCTTCATATCCCGGAGATTAAAGACGGCATTATATGTAACAAGCGGTTGGAGAAAACAGAATGCAAGAAATTCAAGATCGATGTCGACCATCCTTTCTACCCTAACCGCACGGTGCGAGACAAGAACACGGACGAGATCGTAGCTATATTTGACGGGAACTCTCCCGTGCCCAAGCGGCGCCACCTTATTGTTTCGCTGCATGGCCTATCTCGACGCGAAACTCAGGGCTCGGCAGCGTATGAAGATTTGTTCCCTACCGGTGAATGTTGGGCCCAATAATTACGTTACGGTCAAGGAAGAACACTGGTGTATCATAGATGAAGCATACGAACACGCCCTGCCAGCTTGATAACTGCGCCAACACTCGGCACGTTTGCGGATACGCGGAATGGTTTTTGTCAAAGAGCAGCTCTCTCAGGACTGTGGCTACAACGGAGATTTTGGTTGGGGCAACAGGACCGTTGCAGCCAGCCCGCTGCTTCGGAGCCTTGCAAACCGAGTATCTCGAGCCCTCGCCCGCGGATTCAGTCGCCCACGGATTCAGTTGTGAAGGTAGGTACCGAAGCATGGCTGCATGGTACATCTACTACATTATTAACTCAGATACTTAGGTAGCTAGATAAAATGGAATAGGTGGCTAAGTGGTCCCCACACAACCTATTTGCTCCTAAAGAACTCCAGTCTGTGCTGGTTACCCCTGAAGAAGTTGAGTTTGTTGCTCACAGGGAAGTCAATCCTGTTGCACCCGCCCAACTCTCACCTCGGCGTAATGTTGGACCCGACGACGAGGGTGCAGTGGCCCGGTGTGCTGGGTGGTACCATCCGTGAGCGATTCGATCCGGTCATCGTAACCCTGTATCCCCCGATGGAAAGGAGGAAGGAGTTCAGAAAGCAATAAGAACCAAGAAGTTTACAGAGGACGGGAAGGCGTGAGGGAAGGAATAAAAATTTAAGACTTTATCGAGGGGCATCAGAGAAGAAGCAGTGATGTAAAGGGGGGAGCAATGAGACACAAAAGTTTTACACCAGCAAAGGCCGTTTCAAAGACGACAGAGGGACTGACCACCGTAGTTAAGGTAGATATCTCGAAATAGTATCCCAGCGAGCCTGGCAAGGCTAAATGTAGTGTCGGCGTGTCCGAAACCGATGAGTCCCGACAGAAATCCACAGGGTCCGGATCAATTACACTCCCATCAATGTCACCAGCCCGTTGCAGTGTAATTGCACCTTACGTAAGCGAAGCCACATTGAATTGATCCACGGAAGGCACTCGTTGAAATGGATGCAACATGTTGAAATTGGTGGGGCCGAACTGTGGGCCCCGTTGTGGGGCAATAACCTAACCCAAAATGGGAGAAGTGGGTCCAAATTTCCATACAAATCCCTAACCCTAGCTATCATCAATCATCTTCCATGTGTCCGTGTGTCTTCCATGACAGTATTGGATCGAGATCATCAATCACGCCGGCATCGTACCAGCTGCGGAGGATCTGACAGAGAGATATTGTGTTCGCCTGGTAGCCAGGTTGCGTAAAAGAGTTAAACCAGTATAGGCCAGTTTCAAACGCTGAACAGAGGCGCTCAACTTCGGCGCTCATGTAGAAATCTCCGAGAGTAGAATCCAACGCCATGCGCGGCAAGGCCGTAGGTAGGTGTTCCCTTCTCTTGTGCCAGTAGGCACTACAGGGAATCCTCCTCGTACCAATCAAAGTCGCTATTATCTAGGGTTGCCAATACCCCGCTCGAAAACTAATTCCAAGTTCCGGACCAAGCGCAGGCCCATGAATGGAAAGGGTCCGAAGGAGAGGTGGGTGCTGAGTTTGTTGGAACAGATTCCGCTTTCCTGGGTTCCGAAGGATTGGGAACCGTTGTTGCTGGAGGAAGGATGTTGATTTTCGGTGGGGCGGTTCTGAAGGCCTCCTTTCTGGCTCAATGACCTGGTCCGTCTCGGTATAGTTGCCTCCAGAAGTTCTCGTAGAACTTGTTAACCTTCGCTGGCTTCGATCCAGTCAGCCGTGATGCTCACGCCGACGCCTTCCCGGACAGTATTGGAAGGACCTACCCCAATCGGTGCCGGAAGGGTGCCAATTGCGGTGGGCAGCGTAGATGAGAGGAGACTGGGCCCGATCTTTCTCCGGTAGCGTAATGGTGTGGTGGTCGTTGGTGGTGCCGCGGAAGGGCCGGGTGGATATGGTGGGGGATGCGGACGGGGGTGTGGGTGAGGATGTGGGGTCTCTTGTGCCCAAGGAGGGGGCACGGGGACCCTTCCCTCGTGCCGATCAAAGTCGCTATTATCCTAGTTGCCAACGCTCAAACTCGTTATTATCAAGTTCGACCAAGGCTCAAACTCGCCTAGTTGGCCCGGCGCTGGAGATGGAAAGGGTGAAGGAGAGGTGGGTGCTGAGTTTGTTGGAGTTCGCTCCTGGGTTCTGAAGATTGCGAACCTGTTGCTCGAGAGGCGGGGGATTTTCGTGGGTGGTTCTGAAGCCTCTTTCTGCTCGACTGGTAGGTCTCGGTATTGTTGCCTCCAGAGTTCTCGGACTTGTAACTTCGCTGGCTCGATCCAGTCAGCGTGATGCTCACGCCACGCCTCGAATCTACCCCATCGGTGCCGAGGGTGCAATGCGGTGGCAGCGTAGATGAGAGGAGACTGGCCGATCTTCTCGTAGTATTTGTCGAGCTTCATCCATGCGTTGTTGACGTTAATAGCGACGTGTCTCGCCGTCAACGAGGTCTTCAACTCTCGCCTTCGCTCTCTCGAGAGACTCAAGGAGGAACTCGTACCCATCGAGAAGATCCCAGCTTGCTCCCTGTACTAGACTGATCGGCTCATCGCAGGAGCTGCGCTTCTTCTCACGAGGTTGACCGTCGCCCTGAAGAGCTTTCACAACGAGCTCAAAGTCGAGAAGGATCTCTTTCAACACAGAGATGACCTCCCAGTCGTTCGCGGTCAACTTGTTCTCCTCATTTAAGAAGAGCGGCTCCTTCGCGCCTTTCTTTAGAGTGCCTGCTGTCGTCCGGAACTGCGAGTCAACGTGAAGCTTCGCCTCAAAGAGCCGAAGGTCTCGTAGAAAGGCTGGAGTTGAAGAGCGCGTTCCATCATGAAGTACTGAGAGAGCCACCGCGTAGCGTTGTCTGTCACCACTCCGACCGGCGTGTGTTTCTTGATCTTCTCACCTTCGGAGGCTTCTCGGATCCGTTGCTCTTGCGCCGAGATGAGCTTCTTGGTCCAGAGGTCTGACCTGTTGACCTCCTTCTCACGGTCAGTGATAGGTAGGTTGACAAGGCGAGATGCACATACCTGACAGAAGTTATGAAGCTTACCAATGGGGCCTTTCCTCCTCCATTGCTCATGCTCATGTTGAGTAGTGAGTAGGCTAGTAGAGACTTCTCGCTCAAAGGCATCACATTCTACACCAAAGAGTAGTGCTCTAACTACTAGGTTGATGATGTGGCCGAAGCATCGAACTCTCCTCTCTTTCCACTGGAAGCCGAGCTTCTCACCGATTATTTTCAACGCGGGCGTCGTTATTTGTAGCGTTGTCGACAGTGAAGTAGCCAATCTTCTTTTCAATACCATAGTTTCTAATAACAGGGAGGATGGCCTCCGCGATGTTCTCACCCGTATGCCGGTCACTCATCTCTGGCAGACCGAGCACAATCTTGTGAGGCGTGCCCTCTTCGTCTCGGAAGACTGCGCTCACGCCGTAGAGAGAGAGGCGGTTGCGTGAAGTCCATCCATCGAAGACTAGATGAACCAGCCCGGGGCTCTCCTGGAGCGTCTTAACCACCGCATCCTTATGCCGCTCAACCTCTCGTACAGCGAGGGCGTGAACAGTCTTCTCGGAGAGGTTGGCTTTTTGAATGTCGACAGAGGGGTTGAGGTAGGAGAAGACATCGCGAAGATAAGGGTGTTCAGCTGTGCGGAAAGGAAGATTGGCGCTGATGAGCCATCTTACAATCCTTCGTTGAAACTCAGCTCTATCGAACGCGCTGATCAAGTGGTTGGCCATCCTCTGATCTTCGGCGTTGTTCGCATTGAGATTGAAGAAGGTGGCGATGGATCTCGAATTGCTGCTCTCGCGTTGGGGCTTGACGGCAGAAGGCGGCGGTCGCTTACCGGTAGGATCGCTAAGCTGGTGAGAGTTAAAGAGATGAATCTCGACGTTCACAAGATTTCGTGGGTTATAGGCGGCTGGCTTCCGGTTGCGTTGTTGGATACATCGAAGGCATACCCATACACGGTCTTTGCCGTCGCGTGAAATATCATACCCGAATTTCCATACCCACGACCACGCTGGCCCCTTGCGTTCAGTGAATAGGTAGCCGGGAAATCGCTTGAAGAGAAAGGCCAGGTCTTCTTCAGTACGTGTAGGAACCGCGGCGACGGCAGCAGATGCTTCTGTAGCCATTATGGTGGCAGGTAGGCCAGAATGCCGAGCTCGTCAGAGCTTGAGCTGCGAATTGACTGGGATTAGGGCGGTGGGAGTTCTGCCGATGCCCTGACCGCTTCATGTTAGTATTCACCATACAAATTACTATTAATCACTATCACCTGCTAAGAAGGACCCACTATTCTGCAATGTCTGCAATAAGGGATCCACGTTGCAGAGGGCCAGGTTGAATTGCAGGGGTTTTGGAAGCCTTCAGTTGCATTGATTTATGTGGGGCGTTGCAGCTGCAATTCAACTGCAATGTGTATTTCCGTGTAATTGCTCCGGACCCTGGAAATCCATACCCCTGAATGGGCCGCCCGACCCCAATGCCCCCACTCCTTTGTAACCCTGTCGCGACTGTACAATATGAATCATAATTACTTATTGAAAACTAAAGTCCCCTGTGGGTTTATTTCCTATTCAGGGTATAGAGGTGACATTGGGCAGGCAAAGATATAAATATGTGTGGACAGCCATGGTTTCGTGCTATCAACACCAAAAACAGCATTCAAAGTACTCCTCGCCCATCACAGTTCAACACCATGCCAGACATAATAGCAACCATACCTGCAATAGATGCCCCGGATCTCAGCGAGTCCCGCCAGCGCATAATAGCACCGCACCTCCCACTCACCAAGCGCATCAAGTACTCTATCCTTGCTTTCCTCTGGTACAGGATCCTCCTGAAGGGCATGCTCTACTACGGCGAAGCCAAAAAATACTTTGTTTCCCCAGGCGAGAAGGAGCCTGACCTGGTCAAGACCTACCCAGTGCGGAAGTCATTAACGATCCGGTGAGTCCGCCCTCTTCCATCCTATCCACGCCCCAACTAATAGTCCCCCCTCCAGCATCTTCTTCCCACCCTCTTACAACCCCACCAACACCACCACCACCACCTCCTCCCCCAAACTCCCCACCCTCCTCACCATCCACGGCGGCGGCTTCACCGTCGGCGAGCCCCACGACAACGACACCTGGAACCGATCCTTCTCGCAACGGCACCGCTTCCTCGTCATCGCCCTCGACTACACCAAAGCCCCCACCGGCCCCTTCCCCACCGCCATCCACGACCTCGAAGCGCTGATCGGCTGCATCCTCTCGGACGGCACCCTCCCCATCGACACCGCACGCGTCGCCATGGCCGGCTGGTCCGCGGGCGGCAGCCTGGCCCTCTCCGTGGCCCAGCTGCCCGCGGTGCGCGACCGCGTCCGCGCGCTCGTGCCCATGTACCCGGTGGTGGAGCACGCGCCGACGAGGGGGGGTGGTGTGGCCAAGGCGTCGAGGCGGCGGTATAAACCGGCGCTGGGCGGGTTTCGCGCGCGGGAGTGCGATTTTGTGCTGCCGATGATGAGCCTGTTTAATTGGGCGTATTTGGAGCCCGGCCGGGTGTGTGATGAGCCGTTGTTGAGTCCGTTTTTTGCGCGGCCGGAGGATTTGCCGAGGTGTATCTTCTTTGTGGCGTGTGAGATGGATATGTTGGCGCATGAGGCGTGGCGGATGGCGTGCAAGTTTGCGGGGAGGAGGGTGCCGGGGTATGGGGAGAAGGTTGGGTGCGAGGAGGTGGTGGGGAAGGGGAGGTTGATCACGGAGGGGGATGAGAGGTTTGCGTTTGAGGAGACGATGGCAGACGGGTCGCGGTATCGGTGGCTGCTTGTGCCGGACATGATCCACGGGTTCGACCAGGATAATATCGAGGGGCTGACTGGTGATCCGGTTTTTATGGAAGACGCGAGGATTAAGACGGCTAAGATCATTGACCTCGTAGGGGAGTGGTTGCTGAGCGGGCCGTTGAAGGCGGACCCTTGATGGCAAAAGGGCAGGTACTGGAGAGTGGTTAGAATACAGACATTAGACGATCAACATGTTCCGCTGCACTCGCCCCCGGCTTCAACCAGTTGTCAAACAAAAACATGAATTTCCGAACAAGAAACTGAGTACTAAATGTACCTACGTACGTCCATATCCCCCCACCCGGAGCATTTTTCATAAGAAAACAAACAAGTCATAACACATGACAACGATACCGATATGTACCTTACCTACCTTATCAATCATCTCCCACCTAAGACTCATTCACACTCAAACAAAAACATAATCCTTCAACGCCTGCTCCATCTCAACCACATCCGCCTCCTCCACAACCCCCTTCGCATCCACCCACACCTCATGCCCCTTCGCACTGCCCTCGGCCCTCCCATCCGCCGCCCACACCTCCATCAGCGCATTCTTAACCCCGGGATCCACCCCCAGCTTCACCAACCGCTCCACCCTCTCCTCCACGGCATCCTTCTGATTCGCAATCACATCCCACACGGGATCCTTCGCCTCATAGCCCATCTCACACCGATGCAGCACCTCATACGCGCGCTTCTTCACATCCACCACATCCAGCTGCAGATCCCTGCCCAGCGCGATCTCGAACCCCCCCTCCGGCTCCCACCGATGCACATTGCCCAGCGCGATGGTCGTGCACCCAACACCACCACCAGTTCCAACCCCTCCCTCCGACGACGAGGCAATATCCAACACGTCGCGCGTCACGCGGAACCCGGGCACCTGCGCCTGCACGTCGGTGTTGGTGTGCCCGACCAGCTTGACGTGCCACTGGCGCCAGCGGCCCGTGCCGTTCCACTCGGGCCCGATGCGCAGCACGCCATCGGCTTGCGACCAGGTGATCGGGGTGCGCACGAAGGTGTGTAGGGCGGGGTCTACGTCCGAGTCTGAGTTGAGGTTGGGGTCGGTGTCGGTTTGATTTTGCGAGTGGTGATGGTGGCGGTGGTGGTCTTTCTCGGGCTCTTCGACGAGCTCGAACTGCGCGTCTTTGCCGACGACTAGCAGGATGGTGATCTCGGCTGGGCGCGGGGCACCGTTGGAGAGCCGCGGGGTGCCGTCCAGCGGAAGGATGGTGCCCTCCTTAGCGAGGACGGGCAGCTGCGACAGTTCGCGGTGCAGGCGCATGTAGCGGCCGCCGTCGTAGACCAGGTGCGGGTGGAACAGGTCGATGTACCGGCCGGGCGGCAGCCAGGCGCGGACGCTGCCCGTTAGCGTGGTGTTGTTGTTGGGGGAGGTGATGGGTGCTACGAGGAGGTTGGGGCCGAAGTAGTACTGCGTGGGCACCGTGTAGGCCTCCTTGGCGGTCGGGTGGTTCCAGTACAGGGGTTGGATCAACGGCTCGCTCTCGTAGCTGGCGCGGATGTTCATGGTGTAGAGGAAGGGGATGAGCCGGTGGCGGAAGATGAGGAAGTGCTTCATGATCTTGTGGGCTTCGTTCTCAAAGTTCCAGGGCTCTTTGGAGTTCCAGAGGCTCTTGGTAGAGTGTAGGCGCATAATCGGGGAGAATACACCCAGCTGCACCCAGCGGACAGTGAGCTGGTTGGATCGGACACCTGCCCAGTGCCCGCCGATGTCGTGACTCCACCAGCCGTAGCCAATGTTGGAGGCAGTCGCCGTGAACTCGGGCTGGAACTCGAGCCCTGCCCAGGTGATCTGGGTGTCACCAGAAAACCCGATCGGGTAGCGGTGGGAGCCGGCGCCCGCGTACCGGGAGAAGGTAAGCGGCCGTTCAATGGTCTTCACGTTGCGCTTGCTGGTGAGGTAATGGTAGTGGTTGAGCACCCACATTGGGTCGATGCCGGGGATCTTGGTCTTGTTTCCCTGCTGCCAGTCGATCCACCAAAAGTCGACGCCCTGCTTCTCGAGGTTGGCCTTCAGGACGTCAAAGTAGGCGTCGAGGAATTTCCGGTCGGTACAGTCGAATTCAATTGGCGCCTCCTTCGAAGTGTCGTGGTGCAGGGCTTTGGCCACGGCCTCGTACAGGTCTTCATAAGCCCGGATGCCGTCTGCTGGGTGGTCGTTGAGCGTTACTTTCAGGCCCCGCTTGCGCAACTGCTTCATGAACCCCTCCGGGTCTGGGAACAAGGCGCGGTTCCAAGAGTAGCCCGTCCAGCCACTTCCGTACTTTGGGTCTATGGCCACCTTGTGCCAGTCCATATCGATGACTGCTGTTGTGAGAGGGATGCCCTCGCTCTTGAAGTGGTCCATGAGATTGAGGTATTCGCAGGTTGTGTATTCATGATACCGTGACCACCAATTTCCCAGCGTCCAGCGAGGGAGAACCGGCTGCTTGCCAGAGAGGCGGTAGAAATCTTTGATAGCGGCCTTGTGATCACCGTTGTAGGCAAATACGTAGCCATCAATGCGGCCAGGGTGGCGCGTGCCAAACCAGCCGTCGTGATGGTCAAACAACATGGATTTTGTGTCCTCGAGGACAGCATAGGCCTTGCGAGAGAGCACTCCGGGCTCCAAGTCGACGCGGCCCCAGGCGCCATCTAGGGTCCTGGCGGTGCCACCCAGGTCTCCGTAGCTCTCGCCGTTGTAACGCCAAACATCGTCGCCGACCTTGACTGAGAGGCCTTTGGAGGAGAATTTCTTTTTGTCGTAAGTGAGGTGGAAGTATTCCGTGCTGATCTCAATGCTGTTCTTCGTCTCGTCAACTCGGTAGCGCGGGACATCAAAGCACCGGAACATGGCGAGGGAAGACGGGCGGTCTTCGAACCCCCCATCTTCGGACCATTCGTAGCGGATCAGCCGGTCAGTCAAGACGGTGAAACGGTAGTGAGAGCATCCCTTGCTGCCTGCGACAACCGCCTTAGGGTTCGCCTTTGGCTTGCTCGGGAAGGAGTAGCGGCTGCTGGCCATTGTTGAGACTCGAGCCTGAGTGAGTATCGGGGGTGATGGCTGAAGAAGGGAAGGGGAATTGAGTGAGGTGGACTTGGGGTTTTTGTTGCCGACACAGGGACAAGAATCCCAACTCGAGGTGGTTTCGAGATGAACTTGAGACGAATTGAGTGGAGGCGGTGTTGGAAACACGGGATTCCGGCACGAACCCGATGTAGCCACGTCCGTTTCGGGCCGCTGCCCCCCTCCGGTCAGCTGCGCTATCCCTGTCTGACACCAACTGGATGCGGGGAGGAGCGGCTCGCCCTGGCACGGGAGCAACAGCAACCAATCACGGTGGGTGTTCACCAACCACCTGCATGTTCCTGCTTCGCAGATCGTCCGTCAAGATGAAGATACTTGGCGTCCGTACAACAAATCGAATGCTGGTGGGCGCCAGTAAGATAGCCTAGACTTCCTGGGAGCGTTCAGTTTGACTTAAACAAACACACAAGACAGGCAAATGCTCGCCCACGCAAGATATAGCCTGACACCTGGGTCCAAGGACTAAGAAATGGGTGAAGGTAGAAGAGTGCCGAGCCAAGGCACTTCCATGCTGAGACAGGGCAGCCCGTCGGTGCTACGCTGTGTTGCGAGGTGAGAAGGTGGTACAGGGCCGGTCGCGGACCGGGAGGGCATCGGATCACATCTACTATCGAACGATGCAGATCGCTCCTCGTGTCCAAGAACATCTGATCGAGGTTGTGAGACTCTCGTCACTCCCCACCTCTCACCACACCCCGGTATTGACGTCGGTATCTAGCGGGCCATCCCACACGTCGCTCAGCTCCCATGCCGTCTGCTTGACCCCCCTTTGTGCCCTGGCTAGCATTTCGGCCTGCACCTGGGTAAGCTTGCTCCGCCAGTGCTCAATTTCTTCGGGCTTTTGTAGGAGCCCTGGCAGGTCGACCAGGGCGAGCAAGATATCGGCAACGGCGGAGCTGTTCGGCCCTCGTTCTTTCTCGAGGGCATAGTATGTCTGCATAAAGTAGTTGACTGCCTCGTCCATCCTGCCGGTAACATAGCGAAGGAAGCCCATGATAAAGAGGTAGGTTGGGAGGACGCGTTGCGATTGGGCGTCCTGCGGGGACGAAGTTGGGAGATGTGTCCCTACCAGGTCCAAGACTTCCTCCGCTTCCTTGACCCGGCGACAGGTGATGTAAGAGGTTGCTGTCCCAAGGAGCAGGCGGCAGTGCGACGCGGCGAGCCCCTCGTTGCTTTTCGAAACCTGTTCTCTCGCCTGGCAGGTGACGCGGTCAATCTCGGGGGCGGCAGCTGCCCCGCCTAGCCTAAGGACCAAGAGATACTCGCGCAGTGCAGCGATGGTGCTCTCGTCGCCCTCTTCGTCGCTCTGCCGAGACTCGAGCTGGTCAAGTCGGATCTTGGCGGTCCCTTGCAAAACAAGGAGGTAATCAGCTTTTGGGAGCGACTTAATCCGTAACCAAGCCAGGCTCATGGGATGTTTCTCTCCGAGCATGACGGCACACAACCTCGCCACAAATTGCACCACCACTCGTCCCAGCTCTGGCCTTCGTACCGAGAGGTAAAAACAGCATCGCATGAGGGCCGGGAAGACAGTGAAGTCCTGATCCTTGATGAGCTGTGGGAGGTCATCGAGGAGGCAGTTCGCTAGTCGGACGGCGTCGGGATCCTGGCCAGGCCAGTCAGCGACGTTGCGGAGCTTGTCGTACCATGTGTTGAGACGCGCGCTGGCGTCGGCGCCGCCGCGGCCGAAATATCGTTTATGGTCTGGTGAAAATTGCCACAGCCCTTGTTCAAAGGAGCCTTCGCTGTAGTCGCGGAAGAAGCGGAGGACTTCCTCGTGGACGCGCAGTTCGTGGGCGGCGTCGAGCTTTTGGGGAACAGACACGGGCAACATCCGTGGAGATTCCGGCGGCGGTGTGGTGCAGGTTATCTCGTGCGCAGATTTACTGAGGTCGAGGGTTGCGCAGCCATGCTTGGCCCAGAAATCAGGGGTGCGGGCGAGATATCGCTCAATATCGTCCCTGTATCCGGGGTCAACTGTGGGTGACAAATCGCCAGCGGGGCCAGTCTTAAGAGATTTGACAACCTACCAGTCGACAGGTCGGTTGCGAATCAAGAAAGTGGACTTCTTCCCACTGATATCGCGCTGTTTCTTGAGCTTTAGCATATAGGCCACCTCTGCCGCTTTGTTGTTCTTATCGATCCCCCATCTCCTAATTCTAGTGCGGAACATCTTGACACTAGGGGTGGGTGGTTAGCATTTAGCAGCGGTCTGCCACGAGGCTCGGGCTTGGCTCGGACACGAACGTAGCAAAGAAGAAATGGTTCACGGCCATGTACTCCATCACCTCCTGCAGGGATCGTTTCTCATGCAGGTACAGGCGAGTAATGGTCTCCCGTTGTGTGTCCCAGTCCTCGGGACTGGCATAGAGCTCCTGCATGCTCGGCTTGGTTTTGGGAGGCCCCATTATGGAAAGGTTTGACATAATAATTTGGAGAACGGTCAAAAAGGAATCGGGGTTCGGGACTCGAGAGCGCGGTGAGAACTTTAGAAGGAGAAGACCGTTTTTCAATTTTTTGGATTATCTTTCTTGAAATGAGTGTGCCGTAGCCAGAAAGTTCCCTTTGTGGATGCCCGTCAGGCTCACGGGGGCCGGCCTAGTTAGTCCAAAGCCATGCCGTTGACGTGAGCGAGGAGGCGGTGTTCTTGGACTTTTGACCGTGGCACCGTGGCTGATGGGAAACTGATTGGCCGTTTGCCAACGTTTTTGGGAACTTTTCTTTGGCGAGCGACGCAGAGGACCGGGATGTCTGGCTTATTGTGGGCCACCGAATGTCCTTGCATATGGCCCATTCCAGTACTGGTTAGTTTGCGCGGATATTACCGCCCCCTAGCCCTATTCGTTGCAAGACAGCGGGAGTGCTTGGGGGCTGCTTATTTTTGATCAATTCATCCTCTTACTCCGTATCCATTTCACATCGAAGCTACAAGGGTTGGCGATGTACTTCTCAAAGTGAAGTATCCAGCCCTGGTACACGTAACCCCGAATGAGGACATTAAGGAGGTCAAATTCTCCTCCAGCAAACTCAGATTATACATCTACCTAACATGTAACTTGCAACTAGTACAATCCTTACAGTTTTGGTCCATATCTGTGGTCACCATACTCCAGCTCCCGGCCCCAACACCCGGAGTATACCAGCCAGAAACCTCCGCCATCTGGCCCCAACGTCCCCGGCGACACCGTCAATGGATACCCCATTTGAATTTTCCCAAGTGGCTGTCCCAAGAAATCCTGCTGCCCTTCCGGCCTCTGCCGTTCCAAGAGAAGAACAGTGAAAAAGATTGTGGGAGGCATCGGTACAACAAACTTCCTCAACGGCAGCATCTTGGCGCTGAGGCGCAACAGCGGGCGCAGTAGTATTTTCTCGAGTTCACGCAACGGCTTCAACGGAAACCAACCAGAAGAATATGTGTCGTAGGAGGGAATCCAAGTTAGACTCCGTAGGTTAGGGAACGCGCGCGGGAGCAACTCGAGCTGTTCGGCGAGCAGGGCGCGGTTTTTTAGCAGGCACGCGTCGTTCTTGCGATGAGCCGACCGCCACAGGATGAGCGGAGACCGCACTTGCAGCGACGTGACGAGGCGCATGCCCGGGCCTATAATCCTGGGCGCGGTGGGGATGGTGCTCTGTCGCAGCAGCCCACCGAAAAGGTGCTCGTTCTCGAGAGCGATGGTGTTCGTCGTGTAAAGTACGAACAGTGCCTCACCGTACCTATTATCGGTGAGCACACAAGAGTTCCAATAGATGTTCGACCAAGCACTCCGCACGCTTGACTCACGCCCGTTGACATGACCGCAAGAACCCCATGACCCCGACTTTTATCGCAGTCGAACTACACAGGGACTCGTCACACGCCGCCCAGCAACGCGGCCCACCGTCGAAACCATCACCAGGAATTGTGGAAAGATGACGATCCGAGCCATACCTAGAATCGGCCTACGATATAGCATCGTAAATAAAATAGCCGTTTAATAGAACTCACCTAGGCAGTCGTTTGCTTCTCAGCCGCCGAACCAGCCGACGCCAGGAAATGATATATAAGTTCACCCTACGCCAAGGCGTGCGAAACTTGAGGGGATGCAATGGGGGGGCCCAGGTGGATGGGGGGGCCCAGGTGGATGTATATCGTCTGGCCGCCGAAGGCCTCGCGCAGGATGAGGTGTTGTAGTTCAAGCGGAAGTTGAAAGAACCGGGACTGATTTTGCTGCATGGTACTAATGGTAGGCCCCGCGAGGGGTGGCGGGAGGTAAGGGAGCTGCGGGACGCGCTGGGATTTTGACATGGTGATTGGGATGCATCATGCATCCAACATGTCCTTGATGACAGAAGCGATAGGAAAGTAATTAGCAGGTGAACCGTGGACGAGTCGAAGTTAAATGACCGATTTGGGGTGGGTGCAAGTGGTGACGTGACTGTGCAAGCCTGCAAGGGCCGTGGACGCGAGGTTCCCCACTTCGAGACTGCTTGGACCCGGGACCACCCACATGGGACGTGACGGGGTCGCTGGAGTTTCGCAACAACAGACAACAAACAAGTCAAGCGCTCGGCTGTACTTGTCTCTGTTCCGCACAGCGCTTCCTCTTCCGATCGATCATCCTGTCATTGAAGCATGCAGATAAACAAGGAGCGACAGCGAAAGATCCGTAATACGCTGCACAGGTCGCTCCCACAGGAAAACACACAAGAGTTCGCGCTGTCAGTCGGTTCGCTCTCGGTTCGCTCTCGGTTCAAAGCAATCAATCCCCCAGTCGCTGACAATACTCCGGGAACAGATGGACACGCAACCAGCAGCTCTCCCCTCTCCTCCGCCTCCCGCCCGAACTCCGTAACCAAATCTTCGAACTCGTCCTCGCCGTCGGCCAAATCAACGTGTGCTTCAAGAAGTGGCGACGAAGGTTGCAGATCAAAAACGGCCACCGCTGTTACGAGACGACCGAAGGCGGTTTCTATTGCCGCATTCTCGGCGAGGCCCAAAACCCCTGGGTACGCCTGAAAGACGACACGACGGAGCCGTCGGCTCGCCGTGGCATGACGCTGCTGTCGCCCGTCTGCCGCCAGCTGTACCACGAGACCGTCCTGCTCCCTTTCCGCCTCAACGCCTGGTCCTTCCAGTCGATGCATGTTCTCGATAGATTCGCTATAAAGGAAAAGAGACTGCCTCGATCGCAACGCCGCGCCATCCGGCTGCTCTATGTCCAGACGCCGTTGCCTAAGTCAACAACGAAATACTTTGTCGGCTTAAAAGTGATAGTACTCGAGTCAGCCCCATGACGGTGCAATCTGTAATAACGACCAAAATGTCTAACTCGCGTCGCTTGAACAGAGATTGGGGATGAAGTTCGACCGGCCGTTGACCACGAGACAGACCAACATTTGCCGGAGGAGCACGGGATTCAACCAAAGAAAGGACACATGTATTTCTTCAGCATCAGAGCCGTGCCAGACTCTTTAAACTCTCCGTGGTGGACCAAGGTCCATGAACGGGAGACCCTCCTTCATCACACGGCGCCTGAAGAGCGCAGGCCCCGCATGGGCTGTCCGGCAGGCAACCATGTACTTGGCCGCCAAAGCAGACGTGCCTCGAGCAAGTAAACGCGAAGTGCGAGTTGCACAGTAAGACATCAGTTTAAGATTCGCCCCCGCAGATTGCCCCCGTCATGGTTTTGCACCTCGCACGCAGCAATCGACCGGAGGCGGGCGGTGGAGAGCAGGATCTCCAGAATCCTGTCGTCACCGAGTCATGACTGAACGGGCAGACGATGAATGGAGGTCTGGGATAGACCTCACCGTGCTGGGACTGCCCATGGTGGAAGGCTTGGGGCATGTCATCGTGTCTTAGGGGCCGAAGAGTCAATGGGACACAAGTCAGTCTCATTTGTTCATCTCTGTGACAGTCTTTGGGGTAGTAGGACGACTATGACGCTGAAATCACATGGTCCGGTCCAGACTCCGCAGGGCTGGGGTCATATGAACTCTACCTATCCGCCTGTATCCGCTCCCGTCTCGCTGTCCCAGGAATCCCCCAACCCGACTCCACACCACTACTCCGGTTTCCTCCCATATACCACGCGATGGGGATAGGTTGTGTGGATGGTTTTGTTCCGCATCTCATGCCGGAGGTTTGCCAGGTACACCTGAATCTCTTCATTACTCCAGCCCATAACAGAGGACCAAACAAAGTTGACAAAGCCTTGGGTTTGTTAGTCCGGAAGATCCAGGGGATCGGGGAACGGGGTTTGGAACTCAACGCACCGGCCAAGTCTGTCTCCAGCACCAGCTTTGCAAATATGCCAATCTCCTTTTGCTTGGGGTCCCTGGGCCAGTCTCCTAGCGGACACATGTAGTCCTTGACGACGATATCCACGAAGCCGGCCTCCTGCATGCCTTTTATTTGCACGTCGTCCTGGATCAGGCGGAACGTGCGGCCAAACTTCTTGCCGCCCTCCGAGAAGACCTTGCCCCACTGGCCCATGGCGCTGTCCTCGGAGATCTCGCCGTTGGCAGCATGCCACTCGGCGGCCTCGTCGTGGTGCTCCATCCAGCCGCCGGGCTTGCAGCACCGGAAGGCCTCACGGTAGAAGGCCGGCCAGTCGATGATGGTCCCGATCATGCCGCGCACGTGCACGAAATCAAACGTGTCGTCTCTCCAGGTCCAGGGGAGGTTGGCGTCGTCGATTTCGAACTTGACGTTGGGTGGGATCCAGGTGGGTTGGATGGGGGAGATATCGGTGCCAATAACTTCGGCGTTGGGGAATTCGTCGCCAAAGTCGCTGTGGGATGTTGGTCAGCACCCCTTCGATCATTGACACCGGTTTTATCATTCAAGATGAACTTACATGGCCCAGATGCCTGTGCCGGTGCCAATGTCGACAACTTTCTAAGAGCAGTTCAGTATCGCGGCTCTCCCTCGCTCCTCGTGTCACAATTGCCTTTCACCTACACTGATAGTTTCACCTTTGATGGGAGCAAGGAATAACTTCCCATCTAATAGCAGCGTGCAAGCGTGGTGGCTGGCGAGCTGGTCAGCTCAACCATCTACTAATCGACCCAGTGGCAGACTGCCGGGCGCATCGATATTGAACGTACTGAATATCCATGGATTCGGTGTGCTTCTCGTCATTCGGGGTCCAGCCCTCCGACTTGCCGATTTCACTGGCATACGTCCTGCCGAGCACGGTCCTGTACTGGAGAATGCTGCTCGACAGCGAGGCCGTGCTGCTGGCCAGGTCGCCCAGCCCCGAATCACCATCGTAGATAACCTCTTCTTGGACCTTGCCAGCCGGTCAGTGCGAGGCTCTCGGTAATGTGCGAGTAGTGTGGGTGGTGAGACATACTGGTTCCCAGTGTGATGCTGGGAGAATGCTGGCGTCGATTGGCGGGCTGGACTCAGCCTGTTCGGAATCTGCAGGCGATTTTGGGGAGACGGGGGACTTTGGGGGCGGGGATTGGGCCGTTTCTTCGGTCGGCTTTTCGGCGTCGGCCATGTTCAACAACGAACTGGACGGGCGGGCAAGATGAGAGCAGGTGTGTGTGTGTGCAACGAGAATGGGGCCCTGGCGGTGTGGCTTGGTGATGCGAGACAATGCGACAAATAAACCCAGGACCGGAACCCCAAGGGGAAAACGCGGGATGTCATGGGTAGTCGTTCGTTACTTCGGTGGAGGGTACCTCCCTACCTAGGGTTGCTACTTGACATCCGCCCCCGGTCGCCAACTCGGGACCAACCTTCCATCCAAGGTATGTACTGTGATGATTTTTTTGTTGCAGCTTGCACGTGTTGCCAATGGGAAGATTGCCAACCCATTTAGCTTGCATCAAGGAGCATGATCGGGTTGTATTTGGAAAAGTGCGGGATGAGGTGACGTGCGCAGCCCTCCGTCTGCAAACTGCGTGTTGGCGGCCGTTGTCCCACGCACCCCAAGTCCACAACAGGGACCGATAAGCGACAGTGTGTTGATGGACAAGCACGGTATTATCTGCAGGAGCCTTGTCCTGAGGCTCGTATTGGACACAACATCGCAGGCGCAGACGCAGAGAGCCATGGCAGCATTGCAAAAGGCTGTGGTTTCTCAGGGCTGCGGGGTAACTCCCGAGGTCAGATAACCACTTGCTCTCTCGGCGGGCGGCAGGAGATCCCGGTGGAAGTTCCGTTGAGCACCCCTGGCTCCAACCGTTCGTGTGTGGCCCGATGCAACGGTCCGGCCCTCGCCTCGGGGATGCGAGCCGTTTCGGCCCACATCCCGCACCACTTGCAGACAGACACAGCCTGGCATGGATCTGGCGTGGCGGTCAAGAGAGAAGGGAAAAATATTGTGTCCGAAAAGATTTTGTTGGCTTGGCTTGCTTGGCCGGGGGTCCGGGACGAAGTAGTCATCTCCCCGGGGTTGGACAACGCTCCGAAGCACCGGAAGGACCACGACTTTTAAGTTACCCCGCCCTTCCGGACCAATACCGGCCCCGAAACCTTCAAGCTTACTCGGAGAGGCCGTTGATGGTGCGAGTCCAACCTCGACGAACCCGTGCCGGCCGCATTCTACCCTATCATGACCCTCGGAGGGACAAAGGCTGCCGCTGGTGACTGACCGCCCTGGCCCATTGGAAGAAGGGACCGACACTTTTGTGATAAAATGGTGGCTCACATATGACGATTTCGTACACAACCGCTGGTGATTCTAGGATTGGGTGAATTACATGGAGGTGGAGGAGAATTTAGGTAGAAGTTGGTTTATAACTTTATGTATAAGGACAATATGATTACGGGTAAAATCAAGAGGGAGGAAAGCTTCTGTTTGCAATAGGAATGAGTAGTATAGACCACCTAGAATCACCAGCCTGCCAAATACATCTAACTAGCTAGGTAAGGTAGGTACGTAATCAATACTGGAGGTCAGAGAGAAAACAGTAACATAAAATTCCGAGGTAAGGTAAATAAAGACGACCTCATTATCATGCTATTGATCGAGTTTCTCCAGGAGGTGCATGAGGTCATTGGGTGGGTTCAGATGTGATTGTTTTACCCTACCCGAGCACCACAGTTCCGCCTCGTAGCTCAAGGATGGACATCGGAGTTGGTCACTTGTCTTTCGAGACTAGATACATTGAAAATCCATCTATGACGGAAGGGCTAGGGCGGAGTCAGCTCGTGGGGGTAGCATCATCGACAGATCAACTTACTTCCAACTATGTCGATTAGGGGCGGCGATGACGTATATTGGGAGGCAGTGATGACCCCTTGGGGGATTTGGGGGACAAAGTCGATTTTGGCGTGCCACAATGAACCCGAAAGCTTCCTTCTACCCGGGCCCGGACGCCACAAGACTTACAACAAGTGAATGTATGTACGTGGCATGGCTTTTCTCGTGATTCGGCGAGCCGCCGGCTTGAATCCATGCCGAATAACAAGATCGACGGCTTATCAGTAGGACGGCGAGTTCTATCTGCCTATCTGTTTCAAATGGCAACTGGAAACTCTCGCGAGCAAGAAAGTGATCGCAGCAATCATATTCCCAAGCCCTGTTCCCTGCTGCCTACTCCATCGGCGATCCACCCGATCGGGCACGACCTTTCACCGCTCATGCGTCTGCAAATACACCAGCAAGGTACTCCTCGGCCTTGGTAAACTGGTAATCCGGAAAGATCTTGTTCCACTCATCCGAAACGGTGCCTGCTCCCTCCGCAGTGTTGATCAGAAGGCTGGCAAGGACCTGCCGGGCGAGCTCGTCGTTGATATTGGGGAGGTGGTCCAGGGACGGGAGCCACGAGGTCTTGACAATGCCGGCTTTGAGATCCTCGAGTTCCAACTGTTCAATCTTGAAAGACTTGCCTGCGTTGCGAGTCAGATCTATCCCCTGCAAGCGGGCCTGAGCATTGTCACAATGTCACTTACCTCTTACTCTCTCGCCGATGGCTATTTCTTCGGCTACTGATAAGGTGTTGCCGTTGATGCCACCAATGATGGGCCATTCGCCCTCATAGTCAATAGCCTTCACTACCACGTTCACCACGTCATGAATGGCGGTGTAAGTAACCTTGTTAGAGAGACTGCCAGGAACCCGGGCGCGGCCGTGCTCATAGTCGACGGCGGTGAATCCGGTAGGTTGAACGTGCGTAGCTATCTTGCGATTTCCGCCGAGATAATTCATGAACCAGCCGGGTTGGAAGAGGGAGTACTCGATGACCTATTTGGAATTAGTGAGAGTTGCCAAGCCAGTGCGACACGGCTGTATTGGGCGGCTTGCCTTGCTGTCTCTGTTCTTCTCGGCCAAGTACTCCCGGATTTTGACCTTGTTATCGTACCAACCAAAGTGGTTGAGATCGGCGCTGCCAGTGACATGAAGTTAGGCTGGTGTAGACTACCGCGGTGAAGGGGATGAAGGCAGGCTTACAGTGCCCACTCGCTTGGCGCAATACGCTTGACGCCGGCTTCGATGGCGGCATCAATCAATGTCTTTTGGGCCACGTTGTCCGTGTCATTGTGGACTACAATGAAGGAGAGGATGGTATGAACGCCCTGAAGCACTCCTACCAGGCCGTCCTTGTCCGAGAAGTCCACCTTCACCCACGTCGTTCCTTTGACGAGTTCCTCTGGAGCGGCGTCCTAGGTAACCAGCATCAGCTGTAAACATGAACGCGAGGAGTAAGACTACCCATGGCGTACCCTTCGGGAGAGGATGATGATTTCGTGCTTCCCTGTGGCTACTAAGCCATCGATAATCTCTCGGGCCACCTCTACAATGGAGCTAGTTAGCAGGATTCGTCCAAGGAAAGTACCTGGCTTTAACATACGTCCGGGGCCGGCAATGGCGACTTTAACCATGATAGGTGCCGAGTCGGGATGGGGTGGTAAGAAATATGACGATGAGCGACGTTTCAAAAACAATTTCACCTTGGTGCTAGGTTCGGGCGTTGAGATGGCCCACGGCTTGCATGCTGTGCATGGCTTTTATAGGTACCTACCTATGGTTGTGACTCCAATGCTGCTGACACATAAGCGTATCTGTATATCCACCATGGCGTATGCGCACAACCAACCATTACGATCTAAATCTCTCCGAGACGGTTTAACGTCGGGGAGTTAGGGCGTCGCTTGACGGGGAGGATTCGAGGCACTCCGCTAGCCTGCACGAGCACATCAGTCATGCCCAGTGCTTATTAATTCCGAGCATCCTGCCTCCTATCACCGTCGAAATCCCGGGGCAGAGAAATCATGGCCCCCAACGATGTCTGTTGGTTTTTGAGATCTCGTCTAACAATGTAACCCTAACCTCGTTTTCCAAATCAACTCATGCGAGCCTCTTTCTGCTTTTACCACTTCACCTCACCCATCCCATCGTCTATTAACACATATCCATTACTCAGATTCCTCGGGCCACACATCCCAACCAAAAGTATCCTTCATGTTTACAAACCGGCAGTGCCTCCCCCGGGCCACATCCTCAACCGCATTGAACTCCTCGTCCGTCAGCTCCGGGATCTGGAAGTTGCTCTCGATGCGGCTGGGCGTCGAGCTCTTGGGTAGCACGACGTAGCCCCTCCGGAGGCCCCAGGCCAGCAGCACCTGGGCGAGGTTGTGCCCGCTGTGCTCCGCCACCTTATTCAGCGTCGGGTCCGCCCGCACCGTCTCGCCCGTCGACGGCACCTGGTTTTGCGACCCCAGCGGCGAGTACGCTGCCGGCAGGATCTGGTTGTCGAGGCAGAACTTGACCAGCTCCGTGTTGGGGAGGAACGGGTGGATCTCAACCTGGTTGACCGTCGGCTTGATGCGCGCAATCTCGAGCAGTTTCTTCAGGCCGGGAACTGTCCAGTTGGACACGCCGATGGCCTTGGCGCGGCCGCTGTCGGCCAGCTCCTCCATGGCCCGCCATGTCGGTTCTGGGTTTTCGGTCAACTCCTTATTGATGATGTACTTGCCGTCGGGCCCGAGCTTGACCGAGTGGTCCTCGTTCTTCTCGGCCGCGATCGGCCAGTGCACGAGGAAGAGGTCGATGTAGTCGACCTTCAGCTTGGCGCACGAGTTGTCGAAGCTCCACTTGACATCCTCGGGGCGGTGCAGGTGGTTCCAGACCTTGGTGCAGATGAAGACGTCCTCGCGCTTGACGCTGGGGTTCTTGTTCAGGAAGTCGTGCAGGGCATCGCCCACCTCGTCCTCGTTCTGGTAGAACCACGCACAGTCGAGATGCCGGTAGCCGACCTCCAGCGCCTTTGTCACCGCCTTGTATGTCTCCCCCTTGGCGCCCTCGTTGGCGAAGGTGCCAAAGCCAACGGCTGGGATTCTGACGCCGTTGTTGAGCGTGTAAGTCTTGGATGCCATGTTGGAAGTGTGTGTCGCCCTGTCGATTGTTTATTTCTCGCTCTGAGCTAGCAAACGATGACAGGAAGGTTGAATATTGCCGATAGCTTGAGCTGAGTAACTGCCAGTGAGTTCTAGTCCGTGTTAGAGTGCTGCATGCGGAAGCTCTCAAAGTTCCCCTGAGTCCACTTTCCGCTTTCCTGGGATGATGCGCCAAATAAACTCTTACAACGCAGCCAAGCCGTGTTCACTTGGATTCTTCCCTGGCCACATATCGCGCGGCTCTCACGGCAGCTATTTCCGGGCTCAGGTTTGAAAGAATTGTCGGTGACGGGCCATTCAGAGATACGAAATGGTCGATCCACGACGGCGATAAACCCAGTCAGTTCCACAATGTGACGTATTTCAAAAGAGGATCTTTTTGCGTCTCCACAAGCAACTGAGGGTTTTTACATCGGACGGCAACAAACGGCAACGCCGCATGAATGGCATTCGCGGCCTTGTTCGGTGAGACCCCTTTTTCTGGAGCCTCAAGAACCCACATCTCCTGGCTGATTCGAGCTTCGATCATCAGGTCCCGAGTCATGTCGGGAAATCTCCCGAATCCCTCCGTGCATATTATCGCCTTGCCAAGGCCGCTTGGTCTCACCGACAAGCTTTTCCCTGACAGTCGTATCTGAGTGCACCAACGGGCGATCGCTTTGGTGCCACGGAGGCGACCGTTCAGGGTCTCGGGCTCCGCAAGAACCCCCTCGTTGTTCAGAGATGTGTATGGGATTTTCCGGAGCCGTTGGGGCGTTTGGGACCAGTGACGACATCGATAATTCCCGCCGGCAACTTTGGTGGAAACATCCGTTTCACACAATGACACGACAGAACAATGAGGTAAACTCGAGTGGCATTCGATGCTATCATCATCATCAAGCTTTTGCCAACGCAAACTAGTACATGGTGTACTTAGTAACGTTCCATCATGATCAGCGAAGGATGGGATGAGCGGCAATTGACAACAACGCCCCTTGATGACATGTGAATGCGTGAATGATGAGCTGCGTTGGCTGCCGCACGGGTAGCGGCAAAAAAGTCCTGGTATCCATCATCGGGTCCCTTGTGGGTTTTTCTCGACCGCCACTCCATAGTGTCGTCATACTGGAGCTCGAGAGGTGGATATTGGTGTTTATCTGACACGATGTTGGCTGATAGGCAACGCCGACGGCCTCCAACAGACAAGACAAGACAGGGACACGGCTTCACCGACGAATTCACGTTCCGGGAGTTGTTCCGAGGGCATCTGGAGATTCGCTTCCCGTCAGCCCTGATATAAGACAGCCTCCGTCCCAGGGGAAATCAAGTTTAATCCACATTCACCACTCCTACCCTCACATCACATCATACTCCCCAGGTTTTCCCCCAGCTTTCAGTCTCCTCAATTTCCTCCAAATCCAGTCTCTCCTGAGAAACCACCTGCCATCATGTCGAAACCGGGATTTAAGGAAGTCGATTTCGGCTCGTCCCCAAAGCACAGCATCCACACTCCCCCAGATTCCCCCGAGAAGACCACACATCCCAAGGACTTCCCGATTCTTCCCAAGAAGACAGATGGCCAGGCTAGCACTGGCCATGCCAGGAAAGAGAGCCGTGGCAAGGGGCTGAGTCTAGGGAGCCTCGAACACAACCTGACCATCCCCACATCACCAACCTCCCACAACACAATCGAGGTGCCGGCCTTGAGGTCCCCCGACGCGGACACCACGCAGTTCATGCACCACCTTTCAAACAACCCGTCGACAAAAGAGAGGAGGGTCTCGCGCAACTCCTTTCGGCGCTTCGCTACCCATCCCCAAGTCGAAGCGGCAGTCACGGCTAAGCAGCGTCACATACCCGGCCGAGGCCAAAGATGCTATCTCGGGCGTGAAGCCCGGCGTCGTTCAGGCGTCGCGCGAGATCCTGGCCTCGCAGGTACAAGACGTCTTTGCGCACAAGGTCAAGGCGGCCAAGAACATGTCCTTCGTCTTCGACATTGACGGCGTGCTCGTCCATGGCGACCGGCTCATCCCACAGGGCCAGAAGACGCTCGACATGCTCAACGGCAACAACCAGCTGGGCATCAAGATCCCGCACATCTTCTTGACCAACGGCTCCGGCAAGCCCGAGCTGGCACGTACCGAGCAGCTGTCCAAGATCCTCAAGAACCACATCGACACGGACCAGTTCATCCAGAGTCACACGCCGATGCGGGCGCTGGCCGAATACTACGAGACGGTGTTGGTGGTCGGCGGCGAGGGCTACCGGTGCCGCGACGTGGCCGAGGAGTACGGGTTCAAGAACATCATCGTGCCCAACGACATTGTGGCGTGGGACCCGTCCATCGCGCCGTACCGCGTCTTCACCGACGAGGAGCGGGCTTCGTCCCGGCCGCGCGACTTCACGCAGGTCAACATCGACGCCATCCTCGTCTTCTCGGACTCACGCGACTACGCGACCGACATGCAGATCATCATGGACCTGCTGCGGTCCGAGAACGGGCGGCTCGGCACCACGGCCAAGGACCCCGTCTCGCAGCGCATCCCCATCTACTTCTCGCAGGGCGACCTGCTGTGCCCGACCGAGCACCCCATCCCGCGCATGAGCCAGGGCGCCTTCCGCATCGGCCTCGAGGCTATGTACAAGGCCCTGACGGGGGTCGAGCTGGAGCGTGTGGTGTATGGCAAGCCCGAGCTGGCGACCTACAAGTACGCCGACGAGGTCATCGCCTCGTGGATGGAGTCGCTGCACGGCGAGGAGCGCGTGCCTGAGAACATCTACATGATCGGTGACAACCCGGCCTCGGATATCGTGGGCGGCAACATGTACGGCTGGAACACCTGCCTCGTCCGCACTGGTGTGTTCCAGGGCGGTGACAACGACGAGGAGAACCCGGCCAACTTTGGTGTGTTCCCCAACGTGTGGGAGGCGGTGACTGCTGCCTGCCGCAAGCAGCTGGGTGATGATTTTGTTTTTGAGTGGGATGCTCGCGTCGTCAACCCCGTGTTGCACGACACGGCCACCTCGGCAATCGAGGTTTGAATTGGCGTTACGGATGGATTTATGTTAGGACAGGGTTCGGATGAGCTTGGATGGCAAAAGGGAATCGGTGAACAGGGCCGAGATAAGACAGATACATGTAGATCAATACCAGCCTCGCGGCAGCAACCATGAGTTGCCTAGCTTTTACATTATCGCTTGAGATTCGGGCTCGTGAACCTTTGTGCCATGATGTCGGTCCTTCACTTGGGCTATCTCCGGTTCGGTTGCCGACCTTAGGGGTGACGGTTAATACTTCCAGACCCTGCGAACAAGTCGGGCGCAGGTTGGCTTGGTTGGCCCCTGATTTGACAATCTCTTCATCACCTTCATCTAGCGGCCATGGTACCTGCATTTCCCAGTGCCGCTTTCCGCGTGCAACATTCGCGACGTCGCGGCCTTCAGGTGCTGGTTTCGTCCGTTCCCTGCACGCCGTCACCGCCAGGTCCAAGTTCCTCTGAATGACCGGATGATCATTCCTGACGAAGACACGCCCGTCTATTGAGAACCCACCATCTAAAAAAAACCTAGTTCACAGGCGGCGTTTTTAAAAGAGAGTGTCTATTTCTACTGTGGCCCCCGGCTCTTTCTACTGTGGTACCTCCAACTTGCCCCGCTTTCCACCCTTACCTTCCTAAGTAGGAAGGCGGTGAGCGGCTTTCCGGTCGGTCGCACAGGTCGCACCACCGGTCGCATTCGCTTAATTGAACACAAATGCGATTTATCGCTGCAAAGGCTCAAAAACGCAAGAAAATGGCTTGTTTCAATTGATTACAATTGCCAAGTGCCCCTGAATCGCGTAGCTTTAACTGAATTACCTAATCTGACTGCCCCTGGGCCTCGGCTTCGCCTGTGGCCTGCGTAACCCTCTGACCACCACCGCCGCGAGCTGTTCTTCTTGTGATACCGCCCCTGACCGCCAAAGCTCGCTGTGTGGCCCTTCTTGAGCGCTGTGAGGCTCTCTGGGCCGTACCAGAACTACCGCGTGCCGCAGTCGAACCTCTGGCGCGCGCCCTGGCTGTAACCCTCCCTCCCCTGGCACCATAACCCCTGGTTTGACTGCCACGAGCGTTCCCTGACGCCACTACTATAGTATCTCGGTGGCCAGATGTCCCTGATGGCTCCCCATCGTCGGCTGTGAGGTCCACGCCTTCCTATTGCGAGGGTACTCGGCGGATGCTGGGGGCAAGGCCAGACTCTCGTTGCGTTGAGAGTGTAGATCGTTGCGTGGCTAAGGGGGCAGTTGATCGAGGCGCAGTAGGATCAGGGGCGAAAGGGCCTGTATTGCGGGGCCTACCGCGTAGGTCCTCAACGCGGTCAAACTCCTGATACCGTAGATACTGGTCATCATCAGCAAGAGACCTCCCCAACCACTAGAAGGGGTCAAAATCTAGGTTGGTGCGTTGTTTGGTGGTTGTGTTGAAGTCAAGGCAGTTGAGCTGGCTGGCAAATGGGTAGTGTAAGCTATGTGGGCTGTGTGGGGCCTGCGGCAGAATTCGCCGTTGTACCTTTTTTTGAAAGGGTTAGGGTTATGTATGGTGATCACAGTAGAAAGAGCCGGGGGCCACAGTAGAAATAGACACTCTCTTTTAAAAACGAGGCCGTCACGAGCTACCGTAGGAACCGTCACCGCATACCGTAGGCCTAAATTCTGCCCACACAAATCCCTAACCCTGGCCTCGCGCAACAATTCTGCCGCCCCGCCTTCGGCAATTCTGCCGCACTTCCAGCTTTCTGCGCGCGTGCACGCATCATCATCACCACCAACCCTCGCACACCAACAGCCATTGCAACTGCGCTGCGCGCGTACCTTCAGTAAGCGCCCCAGCTGTTTCGCGCGCTCTACAGGGCTAACCAGCGATAGATATGGCGCTTTCAGAGCTCGACTCCGACGCGCACAGCGATGCGCACAGCGATGCGCACAGCGATACGAGCGCGCGGGGCGACGCGCAAGCGCAGTATGGTATGCCTTGCAGCCATAAGCTCTTTGAGCGCTACCAAGTTAAGAATCTGATGCTGAAGAAGGAGGACTTCCATCCATACTAGTGGCTGGAGAGAAGCCTCGTCGACGAGGATCAGTACTTACAGTATCACGAGTTTGACCGCGTCACACAGTTGCGCGGCAGACCACGCGGCTCTACAGCTTTTGCCCCTGATTCGACGGCACCACGGCTCACACAGCCCCCTCCACAGCCGTCGGCAACGCCCCAGTCAACAGCAGCTAGCACCAGGGGACACTCAACAAGAGCCAGGGGCACCAGACGTGCCACATCGCGCCAGTCAGGCCTTGCGCCGTCGATACAGCGTGTTCCATCGCAATGGGAGGGCGTGGAACTGGTTGAGGCAGAGCCTGGGGTCTCCAGGACGATCAATGGCCTAGAAACAGCAGCGCGCGCGTCCAGACGTGCCCGGGACGGTCAATCCAGAGGTTCACGAGCGCGGGGAGGGCGTGCGGCGCCTTCAACACCAAGAAGCACGGCTGGCGCAAGCCGTGGCGGCATCGCGAAGCGAGGCACGCAGGCACGGGGTCGCCAGACGGCCAGGGGAGGCACAAATGCAGCTGTGGGCGAGGCGGAAGGACCGTCTCAGGGTGAAATGGCTCGGGATGGCCCGCAGGAAGGTTCACAGCGTAATTGACGGTTTCACGCGCACTAGTTGGCTGTGCGCAATTCCCAGCGATGGGCGTGTTATTGTAGGAATCGCGAGAACTAGCATAGGTAGCCAGAATTAACGGCTTGGCGGCATCGCTGTTTGCGCTGAATTGCGCTGCGATTGATTGCACTGTGGCAATTGACGAGCGCTGCGCGCGCATCGCGAAGGCGGTGAGCGATTATTTTCACCGCCTACCTTACTAGGTAGGCGGTGGGCGTTGTGGGGTGGTGCTACGGTATGCGGTGACGGTTCCTACGGTAGCTCGTGACGGCCTCTTAAAAACAGCCCCCAATGCCGTCCCTCCTCACCATTCTTTATGCCCCTGAACTGTGCACCTACCTCGCCCTCACCACCACCACCATCAAATGCACCCCCCCGTCCCCCAAATCTTTCATCGCCACCCACATCGCCGCCCAGAAAAAATCCGGCAACTCCATCCTGCTCACGGCTAGGTGCTTGCCTGACTGATACGATGGCAATACCGCCTCACAAACTGCTCGTCAATCAACGGCACCGGATACGCGTCTCCCCCCAACACGTGCTCTCCAACCATGGATGCACTCTTCATTATCTCGCCCGCGGTCTCAGCCGTAAAGCCATCCAAGACGGCCGTAATGCGGGCCAGCGGGCTTGTCGGATGCTCGGCGGCATGGTCCAAGGCCCGTTGCTTCCAGACACCGAAATCTATAATCTCCTTGGGCTCCCCACCGCTGACGGCACCGACCATCTTGAAAAAATCGGTCGAGGTCGGCGCCCGCGGATTCAAGAAGTCCCAGTCGCGGCCGGGCCGATCAAGCTCACCCGTCATCATAACGGCGACGATGGTCTTGGCCAGGTAGTCGACGGGCAGCACAGCCGACAGGTCAGCCGCCTCCAGCGCCGGGAACGCGCCCATCTCAAGGCAACCAACCACCAAGTTATGCAGAAAATCGCCGCGGTGGTGGCGGAAGTGCCCCGTCTCGGCCGACGCCGTGACGTACGGCAGGCGGTAGACGGAGGCGCGGCCCCCGCGCCACCGCGCCGCGGCCGCCAGCCGCTCGGCGGCGTACTTGGACGTCGCGTAGCCGTACTCGACGTGGTCCTCGCCCACGTCCAGGCCCATGTGCTTGGGCAGCGTGGAGACGGTGGACACGAGGTGGACCGCCACAGCCCGGGCCTTGACGCCTTGCCGCCGACCGCCCGTGGCTGCTGCCAGCCGGAGCACCTCGTGCGCGCTGACAATGTTGGGTCCCACGTACTCGTCCAGAGGCCGCATCCAGTCGACCAGCCCGCCGGCGTGGCAGATGGAGTCTACTTGGTTTGCCAGGTCGGAGAAGGCCGTGGTGGATAGGCCAAATAGGTGCTGGGCCATGTCGCCGACGATGGGTCGGATCAAAGGCGCGAAGCGATCCTCCCAGAGACTGTACTCCTGCAGTGTGGTTACCACCCGTTGCTGGGCCGCGTCTGTGTTGTTCGCGCGCACGAGGCAGTGCGTGGTGATGCCTTGCTTGAGAAGCTCGTGCAGGATGGAGGCACCGACGAAGCCGGTGGCGCCGGTGAGGAATACAGAGTCTGGACGTCTAGCGTCGTCAACGTGATCCGAACGCTTAAACGTGATACCAGCATCGAGACACCCTCTGCGGACCGCCGCCATGTTTAGTAACCCCCCAGCAGACATGGACGCCACCGATATCCTTCAACGGACGGTCGACCTCCACATCAAGCGGGTGGCTAAACCCCAACGCCTTGGCAACGACTTGCCGGACCATGTCTAGCATGATACCGAGGTGCTGTGATGGGTTGGCCTCACGCAATACATCGCGCAGATGCTTCTGGGACTGGGAGGGGCCACCGTTGGGGGTTTTCGTTGTGGTGACCCCGTCCCGTTGTAGAAGCGAGCGCAGCAGCGGCGGTATGCCGCCGCCCTGTTCCTCATAGAAGGCCCCGAGCCGTGCCGTGTCCAGCACAGCGGCCAGGGTTAGTGCGCGCTTGCTGGCAGCAGCCTGTGCGAGCAGATCCAACCCTTCACTGGGTGCCAGTTGGTCCAGGCCGAAGTTCGCGAGGTGGGCGTTGGTCGCCGGGCCAAGCCGGGACGCCATGCCATCGCCTGCCCAGGTGCCGTAAGCTACTGAAGTGGCTGGTAAGCCTTGGGCGTGGCGCAGGTGCGCGAGCGCGTCGAGGTAGGTGTTGGCCGCGGCGTAGTTGGCAAGGCCCGGCATGCCCATGACGCCGGAGAGCGAGGAGAACATGACAAAGATGTCCAGGTCCATCCCGCGAGTGGCTTGGTGCAGGAGCCATGCCCCGTACGCCTTGGGGGAGATGGTTGTCTCGCACTGCGCCTGTGTCATGGTCAAGAGGATGCCCGAGTCGACCACCCCGGCGGCGTGCACGACGCCTCGCAGCGGCCGGTCTTTGTTAAAGGTTGCCACAATGGAGTCGATGCTGGCCGGATCAGCGACGTCGCCGGCCATCACGGTGACTCTGACGCCCAGCTCGGAAAGTTCGGCTACCAGCGCATCCGCACTGGGGGCTACCACCCCCTGACGTGAGGTCAGTACCAAGTCGCGGATGCCGTGTTCGCTTGCTAACCACCAGGCCACGCGCGCTCCAAGGTTACCGAGGCCTCCTATTATCAACACAGCACCGTCCGGTCGTACCAACCAGTCCTTGGCGCCCGGTAATGGCGCTGTTATCGTCTTGTGGATGCGCTGCATCCGTGGAACAAGCACCCGACCCCCGCGCACGGCGCATTCCGGTTCAGTACTCAACAGCAACGCTGACGGGAAAGAGGCGTCGGTGGTTTCCTGGCCCAGGTCGACCAACCGCAAGTTCAGTCCAGGATGCTCGCTCCTAGCAGTTCTCATCAGACCCCAGAGCAACGACCCTGCCCCTGGTCTCATGGCCCGATCATCAGACTCGATGCCGACACCGACAGCATGGCGAGTGACCCATATAAACGGAGGCCTAAAGCCAGTTTGAGCTGCCGTCTGCAACTGTGCCAGCGCCTTGGCGATCAGATCTCGCGTCTGCTGCGATGTCACGTCGGTGTCTGTGTCCCAGAGGCAGACTATGCCGTCCAGCTTTGCGCCCTGCTCTAGATCGTCGATTTGGACCAGTCGGAATCTGGCTGCCGATAGGGCGGCTGTGACACTCGTTGTCCACGTCGAGTTTCTGGCGGCAGCATGAACCAACAGGGCCCATGTCCCGCTGGGTTCCTGCTGATGAGTGCCATCCGTCTGGGTTGGCTCCCACTCGATGCTGAATTGGAAGCGGTCATTACCGCCGCCGTTGGAGGCACGGTGGGCGGTATGGTTCAGACCAATGCTGGTACCATTGGTACCATTCAAGCAGGCAGCCGTTCCCGCACGTGGCTGCTTGTAAGTGCGCTGGAAGGCATAGGTGGGCAGCTGTACGCGGCGACAACCAAACGGCTTGAAGTAGGCTTGCCAGTCGAGGGGGAAGTGACGCATATGCAAGTGGGAGAGACTTTGTTGGAGGACCTCGCTGCCGTCCTTGCGGCGTAGGAGAGACGGCAACCAGGAAACGGGCCTGTTGTTATCGTTATGATGGTCTGCGAGACACTCTGCACCCATGCCACAGAGCACCGGATGCGGCCCTATTTCTAGGAAGACGTTGACCCCCTGACGGGCCAGCGTCTGGATCCCGTCGGCAAAACGAACCGGCTCGCGGACCTGCCGCAACCAATATCGCGCCTGTTCAAGCTGGCCTGGCTTTGCCAATCTGCCGTCCAGGCTGTGGATAATCCGTATCTTGGGCGGGTGGAACTGCACCGTCTCGGCTACGGCTAGAAAGTCGGCCAGCATGGGGTCCATGTACCGCGAGTGGAACGCATGTCCGGCCATTATCAGCTTACTCTTGTGGCCCCGGGAAGCGAAATGGCCCGCAATGCTTTCCAAGCCATGCGTAGTACCGGATATGACAGTCTGCGTGGGCGTGTTATATGCAGCAATATCAACCTGTGGAGTATGGCCCAGCGCCTTGACTGCTTTGGCGACCTCAGCGGCGCTTGCCCCGAGTGACACCATGCCGTAATCGCCGGCCTGGGCTTGCATCAAGCGACCGCGCGCCGCCACAAGCCGACACGCGTCGGGCAGGTCGAGGATACCCGCTACGTGGGCAGCCACGAACTCGCCCAGGCTGTGGCCGAGGACAAAGTCCGGAGTCAACCCCCAGCTCTGCCACAGTCGCCATAACGCCACCTCCAAAGTGAACAGAGCGGGCTGGGCAAAGTCGGTGCGGTCGAGCAACGCGGCTTCTGTACTTCCGGGGTTCGCCCACATGACATGGAGGAGCGGCAGTTCCAACCCGGCGCCGTCAAACTCGGCCGCGATTTCGCGGACCGCTTCCCCAAAGACGGGGTACACCTCGCTCAAATTCTTTCCCATACCTAGCCACTGACTACCTTGGCCAGTAAAGAGCATGGCCAGCTTGTTGTTGTCAAGTGTCTCGGCGACATGGATATCACTAACAATACTGCCAGCAGTGCCAGGCAATGCCGAGCCCAGCTTCTGCACCAACTCAGCCTTGTCCCGGGCCATCAATACCAACCGCTTGCGGAGATGGTTACGGGTGGTTGCGAGGGAGTAGGCCACGTCACCGAGACGGTCATCCGGTGAGTCCAAGAGATGTTGGCTAAGCTTCTGGGCCTGCATGCGCAGGGCCGCGCTGGTGTCGCCCGAGATGAGAAATGGCAGCATGGTCGGGAGCACCCTCACTGCCGTCTCCCCGTTACCCATGTGCGCGAGATGTGCCACCCTCGGGGGCTCCTCAACGATAACGTGAGCGTTCGTACCGCCGATGCCGAACGAACTAACGCCCGCCCGGCGCACCCGGCTCTCCCCTGCCTTCGTCGACGGCCACGGTCGTTTGTTCAGCACCGGCGTCATGTTGGCGCGCTTCCAATCCACGGCCGGAGTGGGCTTAGTGACGTGCAATGTCTCCGGCAGCATACCGTGCCGCATAGCTAGCACCACCTTGAGCAGACCCACGAGACCAGCCGCGGCTTGCGTGTGGCCGATATTCGACTTGACCGAGCCGATCAAGAGAGGCTCCATATCCTTGCCACTGCCCACTCGGCCCGGCCCAAACACCTCCGCCAGCGCCATGGCTTCGATCGGATCGCCCAGCCTCGTGCCGGTGCCGTGCGCCTCGACATAGTCCACATCCTCAGGCCGCAGCCGGGCCGCGGCCAGCGCCGTGCGGATGAGCCGTTGCTGGGCCGGGCCGCTGGGGGTGGTCAGGCTGGCGGCGCGGCCGTCGTGGTTGACGGCGGTGCCACGAACTATGGCATGCACGACGTCGCCATCGCGCCGGGCGTCCGCGAGCCGCTTCAGGACGACGGCCGCGGCGCCCTCGGCCCACCCGGTGCCCTGCGCGTCGGCCGAGAATGACCGGCACCGGCCGTCGGCGGCCATCCCCCCCAAGCCGCGAGAACTCGACGTGCAAGCCCGGGTTCAGCAGCAGGCTCACCCCCGCCGACACGGCCATGTCGCACTCCCCCTGGCGCAGCGCGCTGCAGGCTAGGTGTGTGGTGACCAGCGAGGACGAGCAGGCCGTGTCGATGGTCATGGCGGGGCCTTGAAGCCCGAGCTGGTGCGAGATGCGGCCGGACATGGTGCCGCCCGCCGAGCCGGTGACGGTGTATCCGTCGAGGTCGGCGAGGTCCCTGACGGCGCCGGCGTTGAGGGTCTGGTGTGCGAGGATGTTGCTGGTGCCGACGAACACGCCCGTCTGGCTCCCGCGTAGTTGCTCCATGGTGTAGCCGGCCCGCTCGAAGGCTTCCCAGCAGGTCTCGAGCATCAGATACTGGGCAGGGTCCAGCCTGCGTGCCTCTCGCGGTGGGATGCCGAAGAACGATATGTTGAAGGAGTTGATGGGGGAGGGTTGAAGGAATCCGCCACGGCGAAAGCTCGCGTCGCTGATGGTGTTGCTGCGATTCCAACGGTCGTCGGGCACGTTGCCGATGGCATCACCGCCGCGCTCGAGCAGTTGCCAGAGATCCTCGGGTGTTGCGATACCACCCGGCAGCCGGCAAGCCATGGACACAATCGCAATGTCATCATGTTGGTCAGCGACATAATCATCCACAGGAGCTTGCTTGCTGGCTTGAGGTTTCGGGTTATTATCAGATATGGCCCCCGGTGAGCTACCCCCGAGATATGCCGCCAATGTCTCGACTGTGTAGTGTTCGAACAGTTTGGGGACAGGAACCGGGCGGCCAAGCTGTGTCTCTAGCTCTTTTTGTACTCGAATGACCCGCGCCGAGTCACCCCCTATCTGGAAGAAATTATCCTGCACGCGGATGCGGCTGTGGCCGAGAACTCGGGACCAAATTGCCAGTATCTGACTCTCCAGCTCCGTAGCAGCTATCACGGCGGTGGCGGTACAGGGAGTCCCAATGGGAGCCACCGGGTCTGGAAGAGCTTTGTGGTCTATCTTACCATTAATCGTCACCGGGAGAGCCTCCATCTCGACGACAAACGCCGGAACCATGTAATCGGGTAGGCGCTCTGCCAGCCAAGGGCGTAGCACCTGGTCAAGCGCCTTCTCTGTCTTACCCGCCGAAGCAATAGTAGCCTTTGGCACGCAATAGGCCATCAGCTGGTCATCACGACAGACGACAACCGCCGCAGAGATATCCTCGCGTGTCATAATGGCCGCTTCGATGTCCCCGACCTCGACCCGGTAGCCGCGGATCTTGACCTGGCCGTCCATGCGGCCCAAGACAGTCAACTTCCCGGGTGCCACCCACCGCGCGAGATCTCCGGTCCGGTACATGACCCCCCCATCAAAAGGATTCTCCACGAACCGGGCGCGACTGAGTTCCGCATTACCGCGATACCCCCGCGCCACGCCCGCTCCGCCGACGCACAGCTCCCCTTCGTTCCCCAACGGCACGGGAGCCAGCGTCTCCGGGTCGAGCACATACAGGTGCCCATTGACGATGGGGCTCCCAACTAGCACCCCCGCCTCCACGTCCCGCGGCTGCACCCGCCAGATGCTCGCGTACACGGTCACCTCGGTCGGGCCGTACAAGTTCCACACCCCGCCACTACCACTCCCACCACCACACGCCAGCAGCAGGCGGTCCGCGAGCACACGCGACATCCCCTCGCCGCCGCACAGGATCTTGCTCAGGCGCGGCTGCCCGCCGTCGCCAGGCCAGCCCGAGTCCAGCAGCATCTGCCACTGGGTCGGGGTAGCCTGCATGACGGAGACGGCGTGGCGGTGCATGAGGCGGACAAGGGCGGCCGGGTCGCGCACCTCGCGGCGCTGGGCCAGCACGGTGGTGGCGCCGCGGAGGAGAGGCAGGAAGAGCTCTGGCACGGCCATGTCGAAGGAGATGGTGGTGATGGCGAGCAGGCGGTCGGTGGGGCTAAGGCCGGGCGAGGAGAAGGCCCAGGGATTGGAGGAGGTTGAGCACGTTGCCGTGGGTCACTTCGACGCCTTTGGGTTGGCCGGTTGAGCCGGAGGTGTACATGACGTAGGCGAGGTCGGTGCTGTGGACGTGGACTGCCACGTCCGGGTTGTTGTTGTTGCTGTTGCTGGTGCTGGTGCCGCCAAAAGGGGCCGGGTTCATGTTTGCCGCGGTGGTGCGCAACACCTCCTCGATCGTCAAATACGACACATTACACCCTTCTGCAGTGAAGGCGTCCAGCATCTTGGTACTGGTAACGAGCAGCTTGGGGCTGGCGTCGTCGAGCATCTGGTCGATGCGTTGCCTGGGCAAGTCTGGGTCGATGGGCACGTAAGCGGCCCCTGTCTTCCAGACCGCCAGCAGTGCCGCAACGAGGTCGACGGAGCGGTCCAGGGCGACGCCCACAAGGTCGCCCTTTCCGATTCCTCGCCGTACGAAGGCTCTGGCAAAGTGGTTGCTGAGCGAGCTGAGTTGTCCATAGGTGAGTGTCGTGTGGCCGCAGATGAGGGCCGTCTTGTCGCTGTACTCCTCCGCGGTACGCTCGAGAAGTGAGTGTATGCTTTGTGATGCATGTCTTGTGGGACCATCGGTGCCGTTGGTCCGGAACCCGGCAACGGTCGCCGGGTTTCGGTTGTCTTTGGCTTGGGTAGGATGCATCGTGTTCCCGTATCGATCGATAACAAGTGCCAAAAGCAAACGGGCTATGGAGTAACGGGTTGGTGAACCAAGGCCACTACGTTTAATGGCCAGCGTGTGAAAGGGGAAATATCCGGAACACCGGGACGGTGAGGTGCAACGTACTTGGGATGGCTTGTCACTTCAACAAAGATAAAACACCCATCCACATCCTCATGGCATCTAGTCAAACTTGGATATGCCTGGAGCTGGGCTTCACTCCAAGGTTTGGCCGAGCGCTGGGTTTCTTGAGCCTTGTTATCCCCATTAATCAGCCCAAAACGCGCCAATCTACAACATAGGTTTGGGGGCCTAATGGTACATGCATGCACAACCCGGTCAATTTTGACTCAACTGATTCCTTCAGGCTTGGTGGCTAGTGTGACATGGAGGAACTGGGATGTGTACGGAGCCCTTCCGATCGGCCCCCCGGACATGCCGGGGCCGATACGTCCGGGTGGGTGTGATGAGAATCCTGGAGGATGGCGTGGTGAGCTTTCAAGGGAAGGGAATACCTGGTAGACAGAGTCCGAGTCAGATACGAAGTACGAGGGCGAATGATACCCAATATTCAAACCAATGCAAGCCAAGATCTACACTCGGACTGAGACAGGGGATAGAAGCTGGGGGGGTCCTCCGATCTCAGCCATCGCATGAGGCAACGGAGCGATTTGTAGCCGAGCTCTTCGAACACCTCACGCTGACTTTCTTGACGGCGTACAGAGTCCAGCGCTTGCCTTGCTCTGAAAATCGCCACCCACCATGACCATTGTCGCAGTCGCTGGCGGCTCCGGCGACCTAGGCCGTCTCATTACGGACTCCTTGCTGAAGACCGGCAAGCATGAGGTTTACATCACATCAAGAAAGGTAAGCAACATACCCACCTTCACTGTCTTGTAAAGTTGTTAACACCAGACCTCGGTAGAATGTGAACACCACGTCCCGCATATCGCCGTTGACAGGCAGTCCCTACTCGCCTCTTATCCAGACCGACTACTCGTCAGAGGATGCTCTGGTCGAGCAGCTCACGGAGAGGAACGTCCGGGTCGTCATCTGCACCTTCATCATGGACTGTGATTCCGCCTCCGACGCCCAGCTCTGCCTGATCCGAGCCGCCGATCGATGCCCCTGCGTCGAGCGCTTTATCCCCTCGGAATTCAACGTCGAGTACGACGTCGGCGACGACATCCTCCCTTACCCAGAAAAGCGATTCCATGTGGCGGCTCGCCGCGCGCTCGAGAAGACGACCACGCTCGAGTACGCATACATCTACCCGGGCATGTTCATGGACTACTTCGGCCTGCCTCACGTCCCGAGCAGCCTGCGCCCGCTCTGCTTCTTTGTCGACCCGGAAAACGGGCTGGCCGTGCTGCCCGGTAACGGCGAGGCGAGGATGAGTATGACATTTACGACAGATGCGGCGCGATATGTAGCGCTGGCGCTCGAGCTGGACAAGTGGCCGCGTGTCATGACCACGGCGTCGAGCACCGTCTCGTTGAACGAGCTCGTCGCGCTCTTTGAGAAGAGTCTCGGTCGTAAACTCCAGGTGCGGTATCAGCCAGTGGAGAAACTGCTCAAGCACGAGGCTTTCGACCTCCCCACGAACGTGGGTATAGCAAGTCGCTTCCCTGACCGGTTTCCCGGGGGGTTGGAACAGCTGCGGGGGCTTATCGCTGATCTCGAAGCCGGCGTGGCGCTTGGGGGATTTGACTTTGGCAAGCTGGGGGGGCATCTTGACCTGGTTGAAGCGTTTCAGGAAACGGCCCCCGCGCCAAGGTTGATCGAAGACATGGTAGAGGAGGCCTGGAAGGATTCAAGGGAGTAAGTAGGGGGGGGGTGGGCTGGTACTACCACCCGTGTATTGCTGTTAACCCCAGATGGTTCGGGTATGAAGGTGGTCCGAGTTAGTCCGAGTGCTCGCTTACATACATGCGATCTTCCTGCGTGGCGGATTTTGTCTCTGTCCGGGCACCCCGCCTCTTGGATACATGTGCAGGAACTTGCCCGGTGCCGATATAATGACACCCGCCTCTGCTTCTGACGAGGCCGTACCGTACCTCGTAGCCAAGCGGTATTGCTAAACACGTCCACAATGGCGCCCACAGACAAGGCACAACCCCACCCGTCATGGGTCCAAACCGGCCCTCATACCTACAGGCAGCCGTACGGATTCCAAGAGGTGCTTTACAACGCCATCTCGGTAACCCCCGGATCACCGGGCCTCTTCCTGATAGGCTCGTCCGTCACCTTCAGCCACACGGCTTCCTCTCCCCTTGGCGAGCTCTCCCCCGACGCCCTAGCCCCTCTGCTCCGCAACGCCTGGCTACAGGTGCGCCAGCAATACCCAGCACTGGCGGCCCACAACCCTCTGGAGGGCAAGACATACACGTCCCCGTCATCGCCAGCGGACCTCGAAGCCTGGCTGGCCGCCACCTTCATCGTGATCCCCGACAAAAACAAGACATGGCATGACCTCTGGAAGACCCTGGTCAAGACGGCGCACATGACCATGTACTACCTCCCCCAAACACGCCAACTCTTCCTCCAAGGCGAGCACCACACGCTCGACGGCCGCGGACTCATGAACTTCTGGGACCGTTTCTTCCGCGCGCTCGCCTCCCCCACCCCCACGCACTCCCTCCTCCACCGCACCGATGGCTCCGAAGTCACCCGCCTCCCCCCCCGCTCCGACGACCTCCTCAACACAACCTCCCACCCGCCCAACCACGGCGAGCAGCGCGCCGCCAAACTCCTCGCCCCGCTCGCCGCGCTGACCGCGCCAATCTCGCTCCCAGTGCGCACCCCGCTGCCGGCGCCCTCCCCGCACAACGCGGCCCGCACCCTGCACGCCCCCGCCGCCACCACCGCCGCCATCCGCGCCGCCTGCAAGGCCCAGCGCCTCAGCGTCACCGCCGCCTGGCACGCCGCCGCCGTGCTCGCCACCCAGGCCATCCAGGCGAAGCGCTCCGCGGGGAACGTGAGGGGCACGCAGTTCGCGTGCTTCGGCAACTTCGACCTGCGCCGCTACTTCCCGTCGGACGAGGACGACGACGCGCCGAGCGCCCTGAGCAACCACCACGGGGTGCTTCCGTACGTAGTGGACGCATCGCCGGGGCGGGCGTTCAGCGCGATGGCGCGCGAGCTGGGCGCGTTCTACGGGCAGGACCTGGGGCGGGGAGACGGGGCGGTGTGGAGCGCGCTGGGGCCGATGGTGCGGCGGATGGTGCCGGCGTTTGCGGCGCTGGCGGCGGGGGCGCCGAGCGAGGAGACGACGCCGGCGCTGTCGAGTCTGGGGGTGGTGGATGAGTTTGTGAAGAGTAGGTATGGCGCGTGGGGGGTCGAGGAGGTGTGGTTTGGGGATACGGTGACGGGGCCGTGGCTGGAGCATTTCATGTGGGCGTGGCGGGGGCGGTTGGTGCTGAATTCGTGCTATAATCCGGCGTTTTACTCGCCTGAGGAGGTGGAGGAGTTTAACAAGACGGTGTTGGAGGTGTTGTTGGACGGGTTGGGCGTGGCGGAACGCGGTAAGCTTTGAGATCTGGTGGCACAGAGGTGCGGTGTGTTGCGAGCATAATGCCCGTATGCAATTTATTCTTGTCTCTGTGGTTTCTGAAGGGCATACATCGTAAACCCGGCACCTAGCCCTTGAAAAGTCCAGTCGACACCTTAACAATACGCCTCATCCACCTCCCCGTAGTCACGCTTCCACACGCCGGGACTGTCCTTCAGGAACTGGGATCGGAACCCGATCATACGCTGCCCCCGCGGGCTGAGCGTCTTGGCAATCTCCTTGGACACGATAAACGGATACGCCTCTTCCGGCGTGAGATAGGAGCACTGGAACACCAGAGTGATAGCCCTCCTCGTAAAGTCCTTGGTGCGGTTGGCGCCGCCGCCGTGTACGACCTTGCCAGTGATGAAACAGGCGTCGCCCACCTCCATCTCGGCGGGGATGGTGTCTTCGGGCGTTCCGTTTTGCTGCAGGTCCTGCCACCTGTGGCTTCCGGGGATCACTCTGGTCGCGCCGTTCTCGTCGGTGAACTCGGTCAAGGCCACGACGAAGTTGACGCTCGCCTCGGGCGCGTCGGGGCCGCTGTACGTAAAGATGGGGAATTGCCATTGGTCCCGGTGCAGCGGCTGCGCCTTGCTCCCCGGGCCGATGTCGATGACCTGGGCCGAGTTCATCCAATACCCGCCTGCGTCTTGGAGATAGATCTCCTCACACAGCTCGTGGATCAGGTCGTTCTCGAGGATCTCGTGGCGAAACGTCTCGCTGAGCGCGACCACGCCGTTCAACCGCTTTGTCTTGTCGCCGTGGAAATCCTTGAGCCATTCCTCGGACTGCTTGGAGCCCACACCGATCTTGTCCATGGCAGGTTGGACCTCATGGTTGAGCCGGCGAACTTGGTCTTTTGTGAAGAGGCCCTTGATGATGACGGCACCATCCTCGCGCAGGGCTCGAAAGACGGCGTCGCGGCCCTCGGAGGGCTTGACTTGCTGTAGCTTGGGCGTGGCGGGCATTTTGCCATGGAGCGAAAGCAGCTGGCGTGAATTGGAACCGCTCGTGAGAACTGAATTTCATCTTCTATCCGCCTGCAGTGTGATCTGCGGAAGAGATGCTCGACTGGGAAACAAGATGACATGACGCAACATTGAATCCTTCCACGCATGCGCCTCCAAGTTGCAGGGAACTAGTTGCTGGAGATATACTCGGACTTTGCGGTGCGAAGGATCCTAAAGTGCGACTATCTTGTCCGAGTCGATGCCCGCTAGCCCGTTCTGTCCGCGGCCGAAGGTGATGAGCACGAGACCGGGCCAGTCCATCCTCTCCGGCGCGGCTTACGTGCAGGAAACAGGCTCCAATGCTGAAGTTTACGGAAACCGCTGTTGGTTGCCGCTCTCGCTGGGGGTGGGAACCGGTGAGGGTGGTATATCAGGCTGCATATCCGGAAAGGGACGCCCACGTGGACTAGAATAATGAACCCTTCAACACCCCAAATCGGGTGTAACATTCAGCTCGGAATGGCGGCTTGGCTGGCGAGTAGGCTCCCGGCAACGGTGAGTGAAAGGACAGGCGAGATGAGATACGATATCTGGGGAAATGTCAGTTAGTGGACACCCCAACCCAAGTTAACAAGGCCTGGACTTGCCTGTTAGTAGCCCCGCGGTCATTTTCTCACTCTCCTTGGTTCCCTCAGCCACCTGAATCGAGGGTGATGAGCTTCATGGCGCTTGGTCCACTCGGGCATCATCATCAAACAAAACCACAGAACCGGATCGGAACCGAGCAGGCTAGTCTTGGCGGCGAGGACGTAAATAACACTAATGGAGACGGCAGGCCAGGCGATGAAGCGGACAAACAGAATGTACAGGGTCGTCCCGAGGGGCAAATTCATGCCACTCTCGTTATTGGCCCTGGCCTCCTTGGTAGAGCAGAAGAGGGTGATTCCGGCGACGACAACAGGCAAGCTGACGAAGAGTCCCCCGATTTGTTTCAACGCTGAGGTCAGCCAGGCGGTAAATATGCCTCCGTCGTCCGAGCTGTTGAAGAAGGCGCGGTGAAATGGCGGGACTAAGCCGACAACGGCGCCGACGATGGCCCCGAGTAGTGGCGCGTTAAAGAAGTCGAGGATGAATAGAAACCACCATTTGGTTTGGGATGACAGACGATTCCATCTCTGGGGGGACATAAACCAAGGCCGGCGATGGTCAGGTTTCGATGTCGGCTTCCCGCTCTTGCTAGGGAGTGAAAAAGAAAATGAGCTGCGTCTCAGGGGATGTGGTGAGTTTGGTAGTTGGCTATCCAACAACCGAGTCTCTTCGTTGGCTTCCACGTCTGGGGTTGAAGCAGCGGTATGACCATCTCGACCCCTATTGCCATTGCCGGTTTTGTCATCTTCGTCGTCCTCGTCATCGGCGGCGTGCTCTGAATCGATTAGGCGTGGCCCTACGGCGAAGGTGACGCAGTTGCTGATGGTCGAGTAGACTAAGAGGTAGGCCTTGGCTCGTTCGATGGCTTGTTTCGCGGTCTCGTCGGTCACGATGAGCGAGTCCAAGATGCCCGTGTCTTCGAGCGCTGTGATGAGGAGCAATGGATAGCTTGTGCTGTTGTTGATCAGGATGGCCGGGGTGACGAAGCTCGGCATGTCCAGAACGCGATGACCCCAGAGACCAACCAAGGAAGGAGACAATATGAACGATAATGCGCCATATTACAATCACCAAGTACCTGGGTGGCCGAAGAGGCATGGAGCTCGGAACCGACCTTGGTGAATAGCAGAGCTGGAAGGAAGATGCGGGGCGCAAATCTTAGATATGGATTTTGGTGTCGGCGCGGCCGATGACCTTTAAGGTGGGCAGCTATTCCTCCAGATAGTATACGAAGGAGGACCGATAGGCTGGCCTGAATTGCGGCGATAAAGGATGGTAGGAAACCGGTAGACATGCTGACGGCGGTCGGGTATGGTTTGGGAGGTATTATTGTGGTGTTGAGTGGTTGGTTCCTGTATCGCCCTCGGGAGGTTGATTATCAATGAATTAATGATCGAATTGTGGTGAAAATATTATTTGCGGTCCGTCTGGCAATAAACTTCTTAGCTCCCATGGTCAACAAAATCAGGTACAAAAAAATACAGAATGTGTGAGCACACGGGCAGTTTCCTCTCTTGGCAATGACGTTTCGATGTGGCAAAAACGGGCTTGAACATGTATGAAATCCGGCTCTTGGAGCAAGAAATGTGGGTGCATTGCGGTACCTGCATTACTGGATGTATCAAATTCCTTGCAGGCACATAAGCTTAAAATGGCTCGAGTATACTTGCGGTTAGTTGGGGTATAAAATGAGGGAAAACTGAGCTCTTCATCGGCTGCCCTTGGAGTTATCAAGATCGGTTCGGGAAAACATGAAATTGGCAACAGAACTAGGGACAGAGCTGGTACTCGAACTAATACACAACATGACAAGGAAACAGACTGGGATAACAAGAATAAACCCAACGACACAAGCAGCAGCTACAACCCTAAATCCGAGGCCTCACCAAACGAACCCAACCCGCGCAGCCACCCCTCAAGCCCCAGCAACCAACTTCTCCACCACCTCCCTCAACTCAGTCGTCCCATACCTCGTCTTACCCTCCGTCGGCTCCGGATTCACATCCAAAATCCCGCCCGGCAAATAACTCTTATTCATCTCGGCATAATAGCCCGCCACCAGTGGCGGAAAGACAGCCGCATAGAAAGCGTCCAGCCCCTCCTTCGGCACGGGCCGCAGCTCGATGCTCTTGCCCGTGGCCTCCTCAAAGAGCTTGTGCACTTCCGACGCCGTGTAGGGCCGCGGGCCGTGCAACTCGAAGATGTGCGGGTTGGCGGGGAGCGGGGTGCCGGTGGCGAGGACTTCGGCCGCGCAGATGGTGCCGATGTCTTTGACGGCGATCTGGGAGGGGGCGGTTAGGGGTGGGTGGTCTTTTTGTAATAAGGTTGGAGGGGGGGTTGGTTGCTTACCATGGGCAGGGGGTGGTCGATGGGGGTGAGCGTGGTGTAGAGAAAGCCTTCGGCCAGCGTCTCAAGGCCCATGCCCCAATTCTCCATGAAGAAACCGCAGCGGACAAAGACAACTTCGGGCGCAGCATTTTGGAGGACGACTTCGGCCTCGTGGTTGCTCAGGATCTCACCCTGGATGGGTTACCAGTTAGTGGAGGGCCGCCTTGCGTGATTTTCATTGCGAGTTTGCGACTTACAGTTCCGTGGCCATACTGCGCACCCATGCTCGACACGAGGACCAGGCGTTTAACGGAGGCCTTCTTGATCGCCGCCTTGACATTCTCCGACACGAGGCGGGCACGCTCGACGACGTCGGTGTTCTCGTAAAGAGGCGGGGTGATATGGAAGACGGCGTCGGAGCCGGAAAAGTCCAGGGTCGCTCCGTCGTCGACGTCGCCCTGCACGGCCTCGAAACGGGGGTTGGACTTGAATTCGGCGGGGACTTTGGCGAGATCGCGGTAATAACCCTTGATGGTGGGGTTGGAAGCGTCGGCGAGGAGCGTGCGGATGGCGGCCTGGCCCGTCCTGGGAGAAGCTGGAACGACGGTGATCTGCATGGTGGAGTTGGAATTGGGGATGTATGTTCCTTTGGTGGTGTTGAGTGTAGCTCGTTGGTTGAAACTGAGAGTGTGAAAGTTGTACGAGGTTGGAGGAGTGTGTGTGCTTTATGATGTCAACTATCGACTGAGACATGACGGCGTTGATCCGTGGTTTATAATCCGCATGCAGCCGCACCGGAATTCCAAACCTCACTTCATAACGCCGAGCTACATACTGCCATCCTGCCGCCGCCTAAACCTCAATCGATGGGGCTGACGACAACTTCATCGTGGGCCTCGTCATTAAAGTCTCCATTTTGACGCGGAAACACCAACTAGTATTCAATAGCCTCCATATTTGGTGTCGAATTAGTCAACAACTGGAGGAGAAGACCGACTTCCAGAGCAGTCTGACAGAGGGTGTCTCTTGGCAACCCCCCTTCTTTTGCAATGTGAGAATCGCTGTTGACTAATCAGCCAATCAACAGTTCACAGGCCGCGTGAAGAGACGCGTTAACCCACTGGGAATGGTGAAGACAAGCGAAGCCAAGCAAGATGACGTTTTGTGGTTCTAGTGCCTGTCAGGCGGGGGAATCTTAAGCAACGTGATTAATAATGCTCTCCGTCTAGGCTTATCGTTTTCAACAACGAACACTATGCTAAATCACCGCCATGATTCCTTGTCAGTCGCGTCCCCTCAAATCCCTCATGGTTTCTGATTCCTCGAGACACTCCCATGGAAGATGGCGCCGCATCGTTCTCAGTCAAAACCCCCAATTCCATGACCGGCTCGTTCGGACCGACCCGATCGAGTGAGGGGATCTTACCCGGGCGCCAAGTCTCACCTGCGATCCATTCCTCGCCGAGATCACCTCTTTCAAAGTTCAACCCATCCCAGCGAACCGAGCTTTGCCCGAGGGAGGGTGAACTCAACTCGGATCATCGTTCATCCCAGCTCTAAAATCAAGATCATGCCAAGGCTAATGTCCAGGGGTGCGGGAGGAGGTTGCCGTCGGACAGCAGCGAGAGCTGTTCGTTGATATGCTTGGTGAGCAGCGGCTCGAAATTCTTAGCCGTTTCTCGAGGCCTGGCTCGACATGGTGAACTCGCTTTGTGGTTTGACAGTCGCATTGAAGCAGTCAAGTTCGATGTTTCCGTTTCTGGCGAGGAGGATGGCGTCCCGGGGGATGATTGTGGGCAAATGGGGACGACAGGGCCAGCCGGTGATGGTACTTGGCGGGTGTAGAGCCTCATCTGTCTAGTATGGCTCATCCCCCGTGCTGGCCCCGTTTATGTCGTGTCGCGACTCGCGGGGCATGTTCCACGGCCGCCGTCTTCCTCGGGCAAGCCCTCGCCAACTCGTTTCTGTGTGGATGGTTGGTGGTATTGGACCATGTACTACCCAGGAAGGCTCAACTTCTTCGCAGTCTGGACACCTTGCCCTCCTGGACGAAATACCCAGGCTGTAGTTATCCCTCGGCCTGTCGCATTCAAGCCGTCTGTTGGTTCCTCCCTGGCATTTGACGATGTACGGTAGCTGCTCGACCTCGTGCAGGCAGCTATATCTAACTCTTGGGTAAAGTTGTTGGCACATGGCGGATCTGGCTTGTTGATGGGATGTTAGTTTACTCGAACGAAAAAGAGAAGCAATGAGGGCACTGGGGCCTTAATACCTGTAGATGCGCTTATGAGTTGAATGCAAGTTGAAGGTGCAACATACGGATTAACGACGCATTTATGGACCATCTACACACCCACGGGCCACAACACTGCCCAGTTCACTAGTTGTCCATGGGAAATTAGGATGACGCAGAATTGCCCAAGGCATCGAGCCGAAAAACCACAGGTGACCATTTCCACCAGTCAACACCACCCAAATGGAAACTATTGGCTGGGGCGAAGGCAACTTTTGCATTAGCCCCGCAATCAAGACAGAAGGCCTCCTCAGCGACTGTCGGTGAGCATGACACGCGATGGAGTAATTACGCCGGTTTGTAGGGCCTTGTTTGTGGTGCGCGCTCCAAGTGTCGAGAACATGGAGATGACCAGAGCACCCTGCGGTGGAAAAGGCAAACTGCGGTGTGTTTTACTCTCCTTAAGACATAATAATGATGAAGTAACTGGAGCAAATATGGTCATGTTTCTCTAGCAATATCAGTTGAGCACACCGGTTCCCCGAACCCCCCCAGCCGCCTAGCCTTAGTCTCCAGGTTCCGATATCACCCCCTACTTCCAAGTCAGCGACGTGACATTTGCCCTCCACGGCTCTACAACTGGCGAAGCACAGCGTATATCCGTCCCCGACGTGACGCAGGTGAGCTCAGGCACCAGAGTGCGCACCTCTCCGCCGAACAAGACTCTACAACACGCACCACAGTTAGCATTGAAGCAGCCTGGAAACCGACACCCCCTTCACCATCTCCCGCAAGCAAGAAACTCCAATCAAGAATCAACTTACGGACTCCCCCGATCCAAATCCGCACACGTCCAATTCACCCGCAACCCCAAAAACCCACTCGCCATATCATACCTCAACTCACACCCCGTCGGCGCCAGCGCAACATCCCCCACCGACTCCAACACGCACCTATTCCACGGCAGCTCCGCCGAGCTATTCGCCTCCCCCCCACCCACTTCCACCCCCTCCACGACCACAATCGCAAAATTCCCCGACGCCTCCCCCGCCGTCTGCAACTCCATCCCAAAGCGCGCCGTGACCGTCTCGCTGTGCGCCGTGGTGGTGTTGGTCTCGAAGCCGTTGAACCACCAGGCGGGCGCGACCAGCGACGAGATGGTGCAGCTCTCGGCGGTCGGGAGCGGGTCGTTGAGGGAAAAGGGTGGGAGGAGGGCGCGCGCGGTGGCGTTGCCGCGGACGGGACCGTCCGTCGTGCCGCCGGAGCAGAAGGTCGTGGTTTCGGTGGCGGTTTGGTTGAAGACGGTGCATTCGAGTGGGAGGGGGGTCGTGCCGCTGCCGGTGATGGAGATGCTGGGGGGTGGGGGTGGGGGTGCGGAATGGTGGGTGGGTACTATGCTGGGAGGTGGGAGGGGGGAAGGGGGTTGTGGCTTACGGCTGGGCTGGGCTTGGTCGTCGCAGAACCAGGTTTGGTTGATACCGAGGGTGAGGTTGTCGGGGTCGAAGGAGAGCTCCGTGTGGATTTGGTACTTGTCGGGGCGGCGATATGCGATTTGGCCTTCGCATGATAATGGTTGTGGCCCACTGGCAGCGGTCAGAGTCCCACCGCAGGAAGCCGTGTACCCTAGGTGGTCGTTCTTGATTATGACGAAAGCGTTTCCGGACTGGCGCAGTCCTGACACTTTTCGGAGATTTATCTGGCTGGCGACCACCTCCCAGGCCGGCGTCCCCGAGTCGGCCGTGCAGCCTGGAGTGTCATGTCCCGGCGGCCCACTCACGTATGATGGGGTAATCTTGACAGGAGAGGAAAGGGCAGCTTTGGCGAGCAGTGGTGTTGCGGAATGGCATGTCGTGGTTTTGCTCTCATCCGTTGTGCAGTTCAGGGCGACTGAGCTGTTACCAAGGGCCGAGAAGGTGAGCCTGCAGGATTTGTGGGTTAGCGACGCTGGTCGGTCGGAAAAGGGGAAGCTAGGTACGTACGGTTGACTTGGGGTCAGGTCATTGCAAGGCCATGTCTCATTGAACAGAAACCAGGCCGTCGAGGTGTCGGCCTGGAAAGACGCGATGAGCGGTTGCTCAGTCTGATTCCTGCTCCGGCAGCTCTGCCATCCCGATGTTGGGGTGGTTGAAGTGCATCTCAGTTCTGTTGTAACGTTTGTAGCCCTGTTGAGCGCGTGGAACGCGGCAACCGTAAGGTCCCCTGCTATCTGAGAAGTGAAATCTTGGACAAGCCAGCTCGGTGTTGTGAAGGAATTGGCGGTGCAACCTGCAGTTATTTGTGCCCAAGACAAGCCATTCCCAATCATTGGCCCAAGGACAGCAGTCAGCGCTGCAACTGGCAGGAATCGTGCCGCCATTTTCACCCGCTGTTGTTCTCGTTGCTTTCAAGTCATGCTGCGCAACGAAGGATGGGACCCAGCTTCCGGAAATTGGGCATTTTGAATGTTTGTAGGAATCGGCTGTGAGCTGTCAGCGACCCCGCAGCCTAAAGATACCAAGAAGGGCCAGAGTTTGGAGGTATATTTAGATGAATCTATTCCGGCTGTAATGGCTCGGAGGAGCACCTCTGGCTGAAGAGCCGGCAGTTACCCTGATGGTCGAGTATGCGGTCTGGGCTGCCATGTTGACCCGGAATTCGGACATTTTAGACGATGGCATGTTATTATTCTACAACGCGGTTTATCTTTGGAACGCAACGAGTGTCCAGCGCAAGGAACTCCTTGTGCCGTCACAGGGAGAAGGGTTATACGTTCGCTTTCACCGCACCCGAAAAACGAAGTCCTCATCGAATGGGCTCTTTGCCACAATGACTTTTAATGAAAAGCCTCTGGGCAGTAGGATGGTTTTAGTGTGGTTTAAAATTCGATGTAATAGCCAAAACTTGCTCATGGTACCGTTTTCTCCCCAGCACCCCACCCAAATTAGCTCCTGTGAACCTTTGTGAAACTCCATGTCCTACCAAAACCTGAACTCCAGAATCCTGTATGAAACCCCGTTCCTAACTCCAAACTCCAAACTGAAACCCCATTCCCAATCCCCAATCTCCGGGGGCTCACCCTTGCTTAGGCCGGTGAGGGAGGCCATGTCGCTCTCTGCTCGAGCCGCAATGTGTGACGAACCTACTTCAGGACCCTGTCCTGTTAGGGTTCAGCTTCGGTCGAAGGTAGTCTCTCAAGGGTGCTTAGGTTCGGTGCAGCCAAAGGGTGCACAACAAAGGCTTTGTCTCAACAGTAGGTTCTCGAGCTTGTAGCGAACTGTAGTTGTGATTGCTAACTGGAGAACCCCCAGGACTCTCCAGGACGAGTGACTATATACTGACTAACTTCCTTTGCTCAGGTTGCTCATGGGTCTTGGCCCTGAGCACCCTGAGCACCTCGGTGCTTGCCCATCCATTGGCCACGTGCTTACTCTTAATGATTGGTTCGGAGTATTGCCAGCGTACCCCGCCGGCCGGCTGCATGCGGCCATAACCGTGACACAATGTCTTCCGGGATGGTTCGGGGGTGGGCCCGCGACATTGCGGCGAGTGTTTTCTCGAGCAGCGGCAAGTCTCGATCTTCGCCATTGAAAGGAGGTGCGTCGGGCATGGCCTTGTACTTAAGCCAACAGATGTCCTCCGCCAGCCACTTTGGCAGAAGTCGATCCAGGTGTGCAACCCCTTGTCCATGCCGTACTTCTTGGGCCAGTCTCCAAAGAAGTGCTTGTCGATGCGAGCATCAAATCTAGGGCCCCAGACCGGACCATTATCGCGATGAAATGCAGAGGAGCCGACGACGCCCGGCTGTGGTGCCTTGACCTCTAACGCCCCCTCTGCGTTTCATTGCGAGTAATAGTGCCGGTCTGCCAGGGCATTCACCATGGACTGACCTCAACGACCATCGACAGCGAACCGGATGCGCCCGATTGGTTTTGGGACCAGCCTGGCCCCAGAGAGCCGGGCGGATCCTTTTCTTTTTCTTTTTTTTTTGGGGGGGGATTTTTTTGTGATTTTGTTGTTGTTTTTGGTGATGTGTTTTCCTTTTTCTTTTTTTGGGGGATTTTTCTTTTCTGGTTTTTGGATGTCGTCGGTATTGGTCTTGGTCGCCAGAGACAAGCCTTTTAGGACCCGGCCGGTGGCCTTGCATGTGGTTAATGACCAGGACCCAGCCGGGTATCTTTGAACCGGGCGAACCCATATCCTTGGGACCGACCGGAGACAACGGAATGAGAACAAACTCGTTGACCTCCGGACCGAGGTCGCCCTCAAAGATGCTATATTCGGGCCCCGGTCATCCCTGCATGGCTGGTTAGCAAGAGTTCAAGGTAGAGTAAGGTCCAGAAATCCTACCGTCTATCGACGAGGCCACCGCCAGATGCCCAGTTAAGCTTGAACACCCGGGTTGGGTTTGGCACCCCGGCGGCCGAAGCGCGAGGAAGAAATAGCCGGCACAGCGCGAATCGAAATGGCAGGGCCGCTGATGTTGCGTTGCGGCCTGTGTTTGTGAGGTTAGTGAGTGACACACAACAACAACGAGGATGGTTTGAGCGAGTTAGACATACATTGCCAAGTCGAAACGGCTGGCCGCCTTCTTCCTTCACACTTGCCGCAGGCCGCAGAGGACCCGAAGGAGCCTGGCCATGGTCAGCACATGGCGAGAAGAAAGACAGGAAGAAAAAATGGAACTGAGTGAAGAAGGAATGACATACCTCATGCGGGCCTTTGGCAGGGCCACCACCCGAAGACAGTGTAAATTGTGCCCCCCCCCGCCCCCCCTTCCCCTCCCCCCCCTTCCCCTCCCCTCCCCTCCACCGCCATGTCCTCTTTCTGCCAGCAACGGCAGTTGGGGGGTGCCGGTTTTATGGCATACCTGCGAGGGCAGCCCCGACAACTGTTGATAAGATGGGGTTAATGTCATGTTCTTCAAACTTAGAGCATGTAACAGCATGTGGCGATGACCGAGTTGAATGATGGTGGATATAAGAAGCTCAGTGAGCATGGAAAGAGACAGGCAAAGGTGAGGTAGGGTGGGAAGATATAAGAAAAGGCAAGGAAGAACAGGAAAAAGTGCCAACGGAGAGGGAGGATAGGAAGGGAAGGGAAGGAAAACGGAGAGGAGGTACGGGGAGGCAGAAAACCCACAAAATAAAGAAAACAGAAATGAGAACACAAAGAAGACAACTAACCCCGCAACCGCAACTCGGACACGATGGCATTATACCATCGTTCCTCGTTGCTGGCATGCCCGGCCCGCCACGCCTTCCACAAGGCCTCCTGGTGGATCTTCCCCCAGCAACTACCCGACGACACAAGGTGGTCCACCAAGTGCCGTGCTTGGGCAGTTACCGGGATGAAGCTCACCGATTCTGGTTTGACAAGTCAGCATAGGTAGGGAAGTGTCGGCTGGGGACCGGCCAAGAGGAGAGGTGAGAGAGAAAAACTCACGGCTGTGGAAGTCGAGAAGGTTTGAGTTTCCGGAGCTTAATGGGGCCAGTAAATGTTAATTTCCGGAGCCAGCGACGGAGCAAATCGCTGGGAGAGCGGCCGACGATGGGCAGCTAGGGCGTAGGGATAGGAGCGAAGAGGAAGGAAAATCGAGGGCAGCGAGGGGGACTCGAGAAGGACAAGGAGTTAAACGATGAAGGGATGAGGGACACTCACGACATCTTTGTCTTGTTTGAATTTTGAAAAAGAAACTTGAAATTTTGGTGGTGTGATTTTGAGTTTGTGGTTGAGGGAAGAAGAACGAGGAGGGCTAGAAGAGATTTATAGACCAGCAGGAGAGTGACTGCAGCGCATGCCTCAATTGAGGAAGGCAACGCCCCACTGCACAAGTTGAAGAAAATGGTTATCGCACTGTTAAGAACAGGGCAGGAGTGAAAACCTCTACTGTGAATGCTTCTGCTCCCTGGCAACCAACTTAGAGATGGGACGAGATTTTGATCACAGCCGATCCAGGCCAGAAGTTGTCCCAAAACAACAGGGAAGGGAAATGATGATGTGATAGACACTTGTAAGTTACTCCCTTTTCTTCACTGTCCTCCCCTCAGTGATGCTTGTTGGCGTCTTGTCAAAGAGTCAGCACTCGGTCACCAGAGCTAGACTTAACAAAGTTGAATTAGGCTTCAGTTGTGGTTATTGTCTCTCCCCGTGCTCTGGCGTTTGCAGACACCATCAAGCATCTACCATGGCAATGGAAAGTATAAAGTCAAGGCCGGCTTCCTACCGATAGCTTTGCTAGCAATGAGAAGACCTCATCCCAGTCTCAGCGGTGAGGCTGATTCGAAAGCATCATGAGCAAGAATTGGCTAGAAGCAATTAAACAAGGGAGTGAAGCCATGGCCAGAGACTAAAATCAGTGTCTTGCTGAGTCTAACAGGCTCTGGGAGGCTCTGAGCAGTTGCGACAACAATCGTTTGTCGATGACAAGGGGCTATAATCATTATCCTGGGGAACCCACCAGTGATTTAGACATCAGGCTAACATATTTGTTAAACAGCATTACATCGTGTTAATCCTCGATAAAGACATCTTGACTCATGGTCCTGCCTCCTGGCAAAACGAAAGACAAGCGCGAAAGTGGGGACCGACTCCAAGAAAGGTTCAAAGAAGACGATGGGAAAGGTTTGGGGCACAGTCTCCTAGCCAAGAATTTCCCTTGGTCTTTGAGGATGTTTGTTGCCGACATTCAGGGGCTGAATTGGTTGGTCGGCGGGGAGACGGAACCAGGGCCACCAGCACACGTATACTGGGTGAAGGTTTTACGGGCAAGAGGAGGGCGCAAGAGAAAGAAGAATATCACGAAGAGGAGCATAATTATGAATCAAGGGATAACAGAAAGAGGAGGCAGTCAATATCATCAAACTCTAGTTGGGCGACAAATGACCAGAAGGGCACCGGCCGAACGAACTCGCTATCGGGACAAGTGTTGTCTTAAGAGATGGATATAACTATAAAACACAGCGGAGAACCACGTCGTGAAACTCCCGTGGTATTTGACTTTGAGAGATGCAGGGGAATCACAGACAAAGCGGATACAGTACCTAAGGCAAGGGAACAAGGACGAGCTGCTTCCTCAAAACCGCCAACAATCAGCAGGAAATGAGAACTCTATCAGAAGGGTCGTCACAAGTACAACAAAGGAATTGACGAGACACAGTCCCTCATTTCTGGGTGGAGTGCGGTTGACGGACCACTGTGGTCAATCTTAAGTCAAACATCCACTTCCCCTCCCCCACTCCCCCCCCCCTCCTCAAATTACGGGCAGATATTTTGAATGGCGTCTTGCTGATTCCGATTTACCCAGTCTAGAACCCCGGGTGCTAAAGTTCGGTCTACCTAGGTTGCTAGCATGGATCGGGATCCAAAAAGCCGAAGTGAACGACTATTTCAAAATGTAAGGCATGTCCAGAAAGACGGGTATTAAGCATCCAAGATGGTATTACCCTCTAAATATCTAAATGTACATATCTAACGCTTCGCTAATGTAGACGGTTTTCCAGTAAAGTAATACAGCACGCCGTTAAGAATCGCAATCAAGAATCGCAGCCTCCCGCCTTTGTCACCCAACAAGTCAACCAGCCAGCCAGCCAGCCAGCCAGCCTTCCAAGATACCAGCATCAAACAGCACTCTGCTTAAAGTCCTTCTGCACGCGGATCCCATGCAACGGGACCTCATCCCCGCTCAAGCTCGCCCCATCGGCCTTCGCGCCCGCCGGCCGGCTCGTCACTGTATACCCGTACCCATGCTCCGGACGGAGGTCAGCATCCACCCCCCGCGCCGTATCCCCCGAGGCCTGGTCATCCGGCAGACGATAAAACGTCCCCGCGTTATCCTTCTTGGTCGACTTCTGCAGCTCGACCTCTGTGCGGTCGCTCAGCGACGGCGTGGTGGACTTGCCGCCAAAGTTCCTCGACGAGGCGGCCGTGGTGGCGCCGCCGCCGCGGGAGGTCAGCATGGTGCGCTTGATGCCGAGCTTGGCGGCGCCCAGGGCCATGACGGGGCCCAGCGTGGGTAGGCAGGCCGAGACGATGCCGGCCGACATCTCGATGGCGGTCCATCCGACGGTGGGGGCCAGGCTGTAGCTGGGGTCGTCGTTGGTGTAGGAGAAGAGGACGCTGAAGCGGTAGGCGGAGGCGAAGACGACGCTGGTGGTGATGGTGGATTAGTACTGGGGATATGAGGAAAGCCTTTGTGGTGGCGGCTGGGGAAGAGAAGGGAGAGAGCGGCGGGCAAGAACATCAGTGAACTTACAAGAAGCCCAAGCAAAAAGCGATGGTGACACCAATCTTCTCGGGTCTCCGCAGCTGCAACTTCCATACCTGGGGGATGGGCAGGAGAAGGATGACCACGTCGGTCAGGATGGTGGACGCGGCGTTTGCGATCCAAGTGCCGACTTGGTCGATGCAGTGACCCGGGAGATCTGGATACCAAAGCTTTTCCACAGGCACGCAGATGAAAATGAAGAGGAAGGTACATGTTATGCACCAGGCCACAACAAAGCCGCCGATGCCGTAGGCCATCTTCTTGAAATAGGGAAAGTGGAAGATGCGGTAATACATCAGCAGGATGGCAAGTTTGGTCCACACGAGATTGAAGATGTAGAGAATCTCGGCCACGACGAGGAACTTGGCCATCAGGACAATCTTTTCCATGGGAACTTTGTCCGCGTGGACGCCCATGCCGGCGTCATGCATGGCAAAAATGAAGCCGACCACGACAAAGTTCCATAACTGGCCGGGGCTGGGGTTAGTGGTGTTGTCACGGGCAGTGAGATGCTGTCGCCCCAGCACGCTGAGAACGGCATACCTGGGAAAATATGACCATATAGTCATCCCACCACAGCTTTTGACCTTTCAAGTGTCGACTGTACAACCTCAGCGCCACTGACACAACGGCCAGGACGGTTACTGACGCCACAACCTCCACGGTCCATGGTTGGATGTTGTGAGGATCGTATCCCGGAATGCCGGGCAGCACAGAGTCCGCCATGGCCGTTCTGAGGTTGTTGATTTTGAGTAGAGATGCAGGATCGAAGGATCCAAGGCTGGTCGCTACAGGGAAGTTGCTGGATTTTGACTTGTGGATTTCTTGCCATGCGCAACAACAACATGGGCGCCACGCACAGGGATAATACGACAAAGTTTCACTTGACATCTGCTTCTGTTGCATGGGTTGTGTGGGGTTGACCGATCGCCCAGACACCCAAGGGTCTCTCGCTTCGACTGGTGATTTCACTAAGGCGAGAGTCGAGATTCGTTGATCAGCCCGAGCACGTCACTCTGCTGCAGCAACCTTGCCATGGTGAAACAAAAGGCAAACTACGCCCTTGGCGAACTCTGACATCACGAGTCCGCGCTCGTTACCCTCCAAGGGAAAACGAAGGGGAAACATATTCCAGACAGCCTCAGACAAGCTCAAAAAACCGTTTGTCTTCCCCTTTTCTGGTTCTCCAATCACAACGGTTCGGGCCGGAGAGCTTGTGGATGGAACTATAGGGGTTTGGTGGAGGCCGTGGAGGACAGGCCCACAGATCAGACAACGGTTCTGTTCAACGAACTGAAGAAGATGGGGCCTTCAAGGATGATAGAGTCTGCAAATGGCTCCAGCTCAAAACGGACAATACTTCCCTATCTGTTGGGGATGTGCAGGGCTCCTTGGCGAAGGGGAGAAGAGTATCCGCCCAAGTCCCACCCCTTCGGCACTTTCACGGCAATTGAGAGCGGCAACGGCCAGTCACTGACGTTAACATTCGCTAACTGAGCGCTGACCAGTAAGGAAAGCATAGCAAAGTTGTGTTGCTTTTGGACGTTACCGAGTTTTCTCCAATCTCTGGACTGGTTGAAGATTTCGAAGTGGCAACATGGATCTGTGGACCGCCACCCATGGCTATTACAAAGACCATTTCTCCTGCATGCCCGCCCATTTCCGGTGACGCCGACGAGTTCCCGAGGGCCCAGTCCTGCAAAGCCACTAGCGGGACTGGTACCATGTGTACAGAACCCGGAATCGCGGAATGACGCCGAGCTCCATTAGTCCGGACTCAAGATGGCCAATCAACAACATTGCCGATCGGGGTGTCTTTGATTCGGGTCTAGCCGCGCCCTCGCCTCGGCCCCATCCTGTATCTGGAACTATTGGCGTCTCGCGCTGGAGTCGAGCATCCACTTTGCAAGGAACCCCTCGCCCAAGCCTTCACCAACAAGCTCACCGAGGGGTTCCCCAGCTATCACTGCTCCAGTTGTCTCCAAGGTCGAGACGAACCTCTCGGTCGATCAGTTCCTGCTTCTCCGCCTCCGTCCCACGTGGAAAACCGAGTCGTCGCCAGTCGAAGACAGGATCACCCGTCGAGCCATCCTCTACATGTACCCCCCAGAAGAAGAACGAAGAACACCAGAACACCAAGTCCCATCGCATCACGATTCACCTCCCCACCAAGCCACCGACAACCCCCGCCATGGCAGCCACCACGACGATTGACGTCCCACACCTGGGCGGGATCAAAGCAGGGTACGCGCTCTCGGGCGGCGTGTACGACCCGTCCAAACCCACCTGCGTGCTGATCAACTCCATGTGCACGACGGTATCGCTCTACCGGCCGCAATTCTCCGACGCCAGCCTCACGGACGCGCTCAACCTGCTCGCGATCGAGCCGCTGGGCCACGGCGCGACCCGCTGCGCCACCGAGCACTTCACCTACTGGGACACGGCCGTCATGGCGCTGCAGGTCATGGACAAGCTGGGCGTGGACAAGGCGTTCGCGCTCGGTACCAGCCAGGGCGGCTGGATGGTCGCGCGCATGGCGCTGCTTGCGCCCGAGCGTATACAGGGCCTGGTGTTGCTGGGTACGTCGATGGATTATGAGTCGGCGGATTCGAGGAGTAAGGGGTGCTGGGACCCGAAGACGCTGCTGGAGCCGTTTTATGAGAAGTGGTGCAGTCCGGTTCCGACGCCCGAGTTTGTGGTGGATGATGTGTGGTGTGGGATGGTGGCGTCGCTGGGGTTTGGGGCCGGTGGTACGGCTGAGATGGTTGCGTTCTGGACCGAGACGCTGAAGGGGGTGTATACCGGTGACGAGGGCAGGAAGAAGCTTAAGATGGCGCTCGCCTGCCTGCTGGACAGGGATGGGCTCTGCCGTAGGGTCAGGGATGTCACTTGCCCGGTGTATTGGCTACAGGTATGTGATGCGGCGGTGGATCGTGGATGTGTATGATGTGGCGCAAGCTAATAAGGCCAAAGGGAACTGAGGACGCGCCGTTCAGCACGACGGTCCCCGCGGAGCAGATCAAGCTGTTCACTTCCTCTAAGGAGGCCACTCTCACCATAATCCAGGGCGGCCACCACTACTTGAATGCAACAAACCCCAAGGAGGTCGGCGCCAGTCTGCTCCAGATGGTCAACAAATACAAATGAATTACCCGGCCATAAATCTTCCCGAAGCTCACCCAACGCTTCCGAGGACGATACAAGACCGCGCCGTCCCGCACATACTCTGCTGGTCAGAGGCTCGGCCGGCGTGCTCGGGATTGCCCCCTGTCTTGCTGCTACCTCAGACACCGGTTATTCCTCTCGGCCGCTGGGCGGCTAAGACACTATCTCATCGTTCTAAATGACAGTGTGGGTTAGACGCATGTACTAGGGATACAGATTCAAGAACACAGGGGACGTACAAATAGATAGTCACATTTAATAGGCTTCCGAGTCCGCGCTCCTAATATAATCTCTAGCTGCGCTTGAGAGAGATTAGCCCGGCCCCGACTCACCTTACACTACGAAGTGCAACAGGCAGCCAGCACTGTGTACAATTTGATAAGCACCACCTTACTATCTATGGATGACCTGGGCCCATCATACTGTTCAGTCCACCTTTTTTAGAACTACACCCAGACCATGTACACAATACCCCCAAGATCTGCCTAGAAAGGCTACCCATGACAGCCCGCAACACCGTGTTGGGCTTCCATCGAGACCGAAAGGCTCAGAAGAAATGGGCGCCTTCGTTGGAAGGTACTTCGACGAGGGCGGGGAGATCTCGGACCGGGTAGGCACGCATCTGACCCCAATCGCAACGCGTCCTCCTAACATATCCCTTCGATATGGTCTGCTGCCTTTGGGGGGCGCTCGTAGTAAACCCCGGCCATCATTGCGATTTTGCCCATCATTTCTAGTCCTATGCCGACGATGGTGGCCGGCGTCACTCGTAGTGGGGTGGAAATGTCGCTGCCGGCTGGGCTGGGGAGAAGAAGGGGGGGGGGCGTCAAGAAAGACGCTAACAAAGGCGCTGTTCTAAGAAGCGGGAATGGCATTGTGTCGAGAAGGCGAACAACACTTGGCCTGCACGAACAACCCCGGGTGAACCGGCCAGGCCCGCAAGCCCTAATCCAACACCACATCCGGGATCTCGCCACCTTCCCTTTCGTCAGGTGGGTTTCACATGCCCGGAGCTCCCCTACTAACAAGCCGGCCATTCTCAGCTTGATAGGTATGTGCCTTCTCGCACTGCTGAGTATGTGAGGGCGTTTCCGTTACTCCAGTCTTAATATGAACTCGCTCTTTTAGGCGTTACCACACCTTGTTCAACTCCCATTAACCCAGAATTGTATTGGAGCACATTAACAGCCTATTGTTTTCCCGAACACACGTATGGCTTACAAGGTCCTTTATCTTCTCTACCTCATTTCCTTCGCTTGAAACGCTTCTCCCACCCGACCCTCGCGTTTTGCTTTCCAATGCTCTTGTTCTACATACTAGGTCCCTATCTATGAAGGTCATATCTATCTAAACCAAAAACAGTTCATTTGATCGCAGGCTTCTCGCTGTTCACCCTAAACCTCGTTTACAACGATACTATCTCCCAAAGATCGAGAAAGCCCGCTCCCCATCGACCACTACCATGGATCACATGCCAAACGAAATCCGGCTTGGGATCGTCCGCCAGCTGCGCGACGAAACCGACAGGAAAGCCCTAATCGCTGCCTACCCAACGTGGAATAAGATCGTCGGACGTGAAGAGAAACTCCGGGTGGTGACCATCGACGAGAGTAGATGTTACGGCGTATCTATCGAGGACTTTCTCGCCACCCTCGAAGGCACCGGGCTCCGGCGGCGGCAATTCCTCGAGGAAGTTAGAGTGGAACGTTTCGTGGACGCCGCCGCATGCTACCAGGCTTGCTGTCCCATCACAGCGGAGCAGCACCTGAGCTATTATCCCCTCGCTCATTTCATGCGAGGATTGGTGGAAGGCATCGACAGAATCACAGAAAGGTCGGTCAACGCTGGCCTCGAAACGCCGGCAATCACCCTTTCACTGCGGGCCGGTGTCAACAATCTGAATGGCTGGAAGACATGCTCCGGTAATCACGCAGACGAAGAGGTTCTGAGGTGGCTGGCGCGCAATCATGACCTAAAGTTCGAGCCACACAACGAAATCGACCGCTTCGAGTTCAAGGGGGTAGATGAGTTCCGTTTCAAAAGCCAAGGCCTGTTCCAGCGCACCGATATACCGAAGCTCAAGGCTCTGATTGAGAAGCTGGTTGGTCTGCATGTGCTCCGTCTCGACTTCAAGGAGGAGTCGTTCTGGTCTCGGTGGCAGAAAGCATTGTGGCGATATGGTAGGTTAAAACACACCCATCTGACTTCATACGCTATGGCAGTTTAGCTAACACCATTACGCATTTTAGATATTATATGCGCGATCACGGGGTTGGACAAGAGACTACCTATCGAAGAGATCCACGTCCATGCGGGCCGTTACTCACCACACAACGAGCTCGAGTGCATTGACAATGCCGCTCAACACGGGTTCAACTTCACCCCGATGACGATCAGGTTACTAGGGGGTTTCTCCTCCCTCACCGTTCTCCGACTCTCCGGTCAGTTCTACGTGCCCGTCCGCTTCTTCGACAGATTCAACTTCCCGTCCGGGGTCTTCCCCTCCCTCACCACTTTCTACCTCGGCATCCAGCCCAACACCGATTCCCTCTCCTAATTCTTCGTCAAGGACACAACCGAGCACGCCTGGACCGCAGCGGCTCGGGACCCTAAGTGGGCCGAGACGGTGGCGCTCACAACAGCCGGCCGTCTGCCGCAGGATATCCTTCCGGGCCCGGAGGACAACGATAACAGCAAATTCACCAAGGCGCTCATAACGTGCCGGCCAAGCGCAACCGCACGCTACCCCACAACGGGACACTGGGGCCGCTGCTGCTGGGCGCGTCCCAGGCGGCCCAGGGAATGCCTCGGATCGAGACCTTTTCGATCTGCCTAGAGGATGACTTTTCCGACGACGACAGCCCGCATCCTTTTACGCCGCCGTTTCTAACACGGGTGTTTCATATGCACTTTGTGCTGGCGCCGAGTGGTGGGGGGAACGCGACGCTGACGTGGAAGCTGGGGCAAAAGATTGACTACTGGCGCCCGGCGGGGATTTGTTTGGATGCGTGGAGGATGGTGGCAAGGAGGAGACGGGGGTTGGGGCTGGATATCAAGTATATTGAGTGATTGCCATGGAAGGGCTTGGGTCCGGCAAGGGAACTTCTAGTCGGTGACGGGCATCACTATTAGTGTCAGGCATCATTAGACATAATCTCAGTACATGTACCTCTTGAGCAACGGGTGAAATGGTCTAACTATACACAAAGCTACCTCAACCCATTCCTACCTAACTAGACGAACTACATGTATATGTCTGTAGGTATCTACCTATGTACCCAACCCACGCTGCTCCTCTTGTGGCGATCAAAGACCTTGCACCGCACCGTCAACCCAGGCCACTGTTGAAACCATCGAGGGGTTTTTAAGCGCCATCTACACCAATTACCCACATCACGTTACAGGTGGCGAGAACACCGAACCAGTGCTAGTTATCCCATTATTTGTAAACTCATCATACGGCATAGACTAAACAGACTGTTTCTCTCACTCTCTGTTAACATCCACGCCCTCAATTTGACTCAACACTCTTAACCTCAAAAGTCCTCCATCTTGAACACCGAATAGGCCGGCTCCTCATACGGGTGCGCCCTGCAACCCAGTCAGCCAACATTGAACATGACATGACATGAACCAACCCCCAAAGCACCAACCAACTAAAACACCCAACAATAACATAACCACGAACAATAAAGAATACTCACCCCTTCAACGCCTCCACCGCCCTCCTCACCACCTCCTCCCCAACGCATAACGTCTCGACCCGCGCCTCCTCCACATACTCCAGCGTCCCCGCCTTGCCGATGTGGGGGTTGGCGGTGGCGCCGGGGCGGAACTGGCCCGTGCCGAGCGTCGTGTAGCAGACCTCGGTGTAGTTGCCGGGGCCCGGGTAGCGGCCTGCGCCGGCGGCGAAGATGGCGGCTTTGCAGGCCTCGAGGGCGGCGGGGGGGACGTGGAAGACGAGTTTGTACCGGGTGAGGGCGGCGGCCATTTTGGGGAGTGGGGGGAGGGGAGTGTTTGTGGTGCTTGGGTGGTGGATGGTAGGGGTCAGTTTGGTGTCAGGTTTGGGTTTGTTGCTGATTCACTGCCGGATTCAAGTTGTGTTTTCGGTTTGGAGGAAAGGAGGACACCCCCATTGGGGATGCGGGGCCGGCTCCAGTCGGCGTTGATGGGGTCGTG